CGACGAACTACTAGAGTAACGACTTATACTAGTCTTTTCTAAGCGTCTACCGTATAAGTACCCTAGGTATAATTACTAAGGGAGTATATAGGGACTCTTTAATTATATTAAGTCTAGGGGGATAGTACTCGGAAAGTAATAGTATAGCTAAAGTCACAAAATCGATAAATCTCTAAAGAGTACCGAGGTTACTAATTCGGAGAGCTTAGAGGAAGAAGAGCTCTAATCGTTTTATTTATAGATATACTCTATAAAAGGAAAAGTAAAAGCTAATATATAGCTTAGTTAGAGGAAGAAGGAAGTAAGAGAGGCTAGCTATAGAGGTATATATATCTTAATTCTACCTATATAGTATAGGTAGTAGATTATTAAAATAACTAAAATTTATCTTAATACGCCTTAGCTATTCGTACTAATTATATAAGCTAACGTACCTATTCTAGTTCTCCTAATATTAATATATAGTTAGTTTAATATCTTTTTATATAAATAAATTATAATAGCCCTATTTTCACTAATTATTTCCTAGGGAAGATAATTAATTAGTTTTTACCTTTTAAATAGGTCTAGTCTTATTATATATTTATATAGACTATAGAATTTTAACTACCTAAGATTAACTATATTTTCCTTACTTACTAGCGCTTTTACGGAGTAATTATAAGAATACGAAATATCGAACGAGTTAATTTAGTATAGCCTATATAAATTAAAAGAATATAATTTAGTCGCGAGTAATAAAAGCTAATAGTTAAACGCTAGAGAAGATACTAAAATAAAGTAATAAGAAGTAAGTAAGCTTTTTAAGATAACTTAAGAGTAACTTAACCCCGCTATATCGATATAAAGATACCTAATTAGGTATTAAGTTTAAAAATTAGTATTTAAAATACCGATATAGTATAATTATATTATAGTAAAGGGTTAAAGAATTTAAGAACCTACCGACCGCTTTCGCTTTAAATAATTCGATCTCGGCTCCTCGATAGAATATATATCATAAAAATGATTTCGAAGGTCGTTATCCGTAGCTAGGCTTTTGCCTTTATAGTATAGATATAGGTATTCTAATTTTATAATCGAATAGTAGCTTTCGAAGTAAGAATTAATATAGCTAAGAAGCGTCGTCTTCGTTATCTATTATTAGAACTAATTATCGGGCTCTAAGTCTTTATTACCTAAGCAAAAGGGATAAAGGCCTAGATAAATTAAAATATATCGAAATTTTAATAGTCTATATCGAGGCTAGAGTTCTCGTAGATAAGCTATATAATAATTACCCTAATCCTATATACTATATACGAAGCTTATATATAAGTAATAAAATTAAATATATTTATAATTAGTATACCGATAGGTCCGTTTTCTTTTTAAAGCTTACTAATACGGAGCGCTATTTAACGCTTTTCTTTTATACTAAAGGATATATTTCGCTCTTTATTATAGTAGTATTCTATAATTCCTATTAGTACTAATTAACTCAGAGCCGAAAGGGTTACTTACTCTATTATAGCCCTCTTATATTAGGGATATCGACTATCTCGTGGCTCTAGCCCTAGGTAATAGGCTATCTACGCTACTAATTTATATATTAAGAGTATATCCTCTAGGTATTATCGACTAATTTCGCTATTAATATTCGCTTTCTTAAATAGATTCTTACTTAAACGAGAGCGTTTAGAAATATATTTTCGGTATATATTAAAAATAGGTATTATATCGCGATAAGGGTAATTATTCCCGTTCTTATCTCTCTTTATATACTAATTATTACTTAAACTCTACTATTCTTTAATATATTATTTTTTAAAATATTAAAGCGCCTTAGTCTTTCGACTATATAATTTTACTCTCTTACTAGTCAGACTCAGATTAAGTATAGGTCTTAAAGAGATCTTTACCGATAAATCCTTAATCTATCGGTTAAGCTTAACAATATCTAGTCTACGATTAAACTCTTTTAGAGTAGCTATACTTACTTAAGTTAGAATATTAGTATCTCTATAGTTTAATATACTCCGCTCTATATCCCGATATTCGAAATTAGGCTATAAATTAAAGACGTAGGCCTAAATATTAACGTCTTTGATATCGGACTAATATAAAAGAAAAGACTTTATATCTTTTTAACCTAAAGCCTACCCCCTACTAGCGTTAGATACCTTCGCTATATTTTATTAGTATAAATTAAGCCTTTTATCTATCACTCGACGGACGATCCTTATTTTACTTATAGTTTATAGTATTAACTACTCCCCCTCGAATACTATAAACGCGTAAGAGATCGTAGAAACTATCTCTTTTCGCTAGACTCTAAAAATAATATCTTATAGACGAAAAACTTAGGCCGTATAATAAATCGGGCCCTTCGGGCCTAACTATCCGGAAAAGGGGTATTTCCTTAATATAATCTATCTATTCTAGCGTTAATATATCCCTAGATACTAGAGGCTTTACTAATAGTACGTTATATAGGGTTTCGTAGTTTCTGAATACTCTATCTACTACCCTAAGTATAATTACCTAAAACACGAAGTTTAGAGTAAATATAGGGTACTCCTAAAGCTAATCTCGCTTACTAATAGAGTTTATTAGTTTCTACTTAGTATTTATAGACGGACTTACTTATACTACTTTATCGTTCCTATAATATTTTCCTTTAGTAAATTCCGGGCGAACTATTACCTAGCGAACAACCTTATCCCGGCTTTCGTTCTACTTAATATTAAAAGTTATATACTAAAATCTATTTTATATTAATATTCGGTCTATTTAAGGAGTATAATATCTACCTACCTTATAGAAGAGATACTTATTTATTCCACGATATAAGCTCGATACTATTATTATACCTATACGCTATACCGATCTAGTAAAAAGAGATAATAAGCTACTAAACTATATACGGGCTCTTTTATATATATAATTATAATTATTATAGCTAAAGAGGTATCTTAGGAGGTATAGGATATCTATTCCCGTTATTTAAAACTTTTACTAAGACTTAGTATTAAGACTATATTTAGACGTAAGCGTTATTTTAATATACTAATTTTCGTTAGGTTCTTAGGGTTAATTAGTTCCTAGTAATCTAGTAGCTTATATTATAGATATCCCTCGTGATCTCCTCTAGTAGATCTTTCGAATTATCTCTTTTCTACTATACAGAGAAAGCTCTAAATATCCTAGTTATAGTTACTTAGGATAGAAATTTCGATTTTACGATAATATAAAATTCCGTAAAGCCTTTAAGTATCTATAGAGTCGGGTTAGAGCTATATTCGTATAGTTCGTCCTCTTTTCTAAGACGTCGATAGTATTTAAACCTTTCGAGTAGAAGTTAGAACCGAATTTTAGTAAGTTTACGATTTACCTATAATTCCTATAGCTTCACCGCTAAATTATATCTATTAACTATCGCGGGCGCTAACTATATTTAATAAATAGCGTTTTTGCTTACCTCTCTTCTATCCTAGTATTCGGTTATAAAGCCACGTAACTTAACACGCGCGAAAATCTCCGCGAGATACTTCTCGGAGTCGGTTATTTTAGCGTGACTTAGGATCAGGAGCAAAGCAGAAATATAAGTTAAGAAGGTAAGAGCGGAACTTACTTATATACACACTAAGTCCTCTACTTCAAAGCATAGGTAATATACCAGATACAGATATACTAGAATTTCTTTCGAGACCATTATCAGAAACGCTAGTAGCCTCTCACCCTCATCACTCCGGTCACCCCTCTTAGTAATATTCTCACCCCTATCACCCACACCCAAGTTTTGTCTTAGTCGACCTCTCGAAGATTATTTAGGGCGCCTTGGAGATTGAGCGCGTTCATATATTATGGCTTAAGTACGGCTGAGCGGACGGGAAGCCCTGTTTTCCACACCCTGTGGTCGTATGTGATTGAAAAAGTCGCATTGAGGGTCATGGATAAGCTTCATTCCTCGATAGAGTAATGGCGCGTCGCCCTGCGTGAAACGGAATGGAGACCATGAGCTAAGCATGCTTTACCGCGCCTTGGCCCACAGACAGACTCGATGGGAGTGCCCAGATTCAAATGAACAGCGCAACAAATAACTGCTGAGAAAGACTTACCTTCATAAACAAGCAGCAAAAGGCCGAGATATCCCAACTGCTGCATGATCTCTTGAGCCTCTAGTGTGAGCAATTGGGCTCCTGGAATACCCCAAGCCACGCCGATGAAGATCTGTCCAATCAACCCGCAATAGATGATCCTATCCAATGCAGCATTCACAAGATTCAGAATCAAGAGAAATCCAGCCTGAATAAGAACAGTCTCGATCCCTGGCTCTTCGTAAGAAAGAGCTGACTGCGACGTCATTGTAAGCAGGGCTCCTGAGCACCCACAACAAGTGCCACAAGGCTGACTTGAGAGGCTCTTTTCCTATTGAGTTGGACAGAAGATCACCAGGTTTGAGCTACTTGACAATATTTGACTCTGGAAGCGATTACTTCCACTATTGTCCTTTTGTGAGGTAAAGTGCAGCGAGTCAGAGCAGATGCTGGACGGTCACCTGACTTGACTTGTTCCTGACTCGCCGTTGAAAACACTCATGGACCCACATTGACTACCTCAGGCACCAAGGCCTAGCTGAAATTGCGGAGAGACAGCCTGCGTCTGTTACCTAAGCTACTTAGGCACAGACACACTCATTCAGCTTCAAAATAAGCAGATAATGCCAGGAGCACAAACCTCAAACCAAGTCCAGGAGACTGATTTGAAAATTGATACCACGTATCTCTAATCCATGTGTTGAAGCTCGAGTTAGCTCATCTGCTCAGAATCCCCGGGAACGTTGTTATCGTGCTCCCGTGATACTACTATGCCCCTCCGCCATCTTCAAAGTGATCAGCGGATTGTCCTTCCCACGCTGACCGATCGGTGAGTTGAGTCAGGCGAATACTGAAGTAGGAAGTACGCTGATATGAGCGCAGTCATTTTTCTAGAGGGTGTTGGCCTGTCTTGTAGTCAGGATGGACAACCCAGCATCCCCGGCCAGGGTGCAGCAATGTATCTGGGAAGGTCGAATTCCCTTGGAGATTGCGCTTGCTCCGTCTGAGAGTCGAAGCTACGACAAGACAGATACATACATGGCAAGTCCAGACCATGCTCATACATTTACGCAAGGCACTGGAGGTCTTGTTGACGCTTTGAACAGATCTCGTGTCCAAGGATCTCATACCTTCCATCGCTGCTCCCAAGGGTCCGCGCGTTCTTTTCATCGTATTTGATTGAACCAACATCCCGGCATCATGATGGGTGGTTTGCCTTTGAGGGTGTTCCATTGAAGTGGCATTACCCGATCGGTCTTCTTTTTGACCTCTATGCAGGCGCAGATCCTGCTTCGAAGGCCGGGCTAGGACTCGACCCTTCGCAACACACCGAAACCTCCCTCCCTGGCGGCTGACAGTACACTTCAGTGACTGGCCTTCCGAGGACCTCGTCCGCTTAGATGAAAATGGCATGGTCATGAATGATGCCTTCATCAACAGTGTAAAGGAGGCGGATTTTCTGCGGAACGGCACCGCCAAGGGCATCATGACTCTTTCCAAGGAAGACTCGTCGGGTCTATGGAAGGCAGTGGAAGAAGGTAAACCACACAAAACCGTACAATTCCTCTCCATGATGTCGTGCCCATTAACTGATCACATCTAGTGGATCTTTCATCTTTTCAACGAATCTCCCAGATTCTCTTGCCCCCTCCATCCCAACCTTTTAGAAACGTTCCCATTCGGATCTTCCTGCCTCTCCCGCCGGATGAAGAAGCCGGGCTACTCAAGGTGGTACAATCACCACTTCCCCCTTTTGTTTCAAATTCCACAGGTGCCCAGTCGGCCAGCCCACGTTCAAGCCCAGGCACTCAGCCTCAAACAATCGGCGGCGCCTTACATGCTTTACTGCCCAATTTGTTCCCCAGTCGCAGGACTCCTGTCCTTGCGAAGCCTGTGCTACATGGTGCTGTTCTTCCCATGTCGGCGCCCATCGAGGAAGTTGTGAGATGCTCAGCTTATGGCGATGGGTGGGCTTATATTGTTGTGAGAATGATGGGTTAATGATTATTTGGTATACAAACGACAATTGAGAATGACCTCCATCCAGACCTCTGGATGATATGATAACTTCAATCAATAAGCACCACGCAAATAGATATTGGAAGAAAAGCGCTTGATGGAGGGTATCAGCGTTAAGATGTGATAGTTGGAAAATCCATAGACGTCGTAGAAGACCTCGAACCCCAAACAGAAGCATCCTCCCCAACAAGCGTCGAACCGCCTATTTCATCTGTGTCCGATCCATGCTCAAGTTCATCAATTTCTGTACCAATGCTGTCGCGCTTTCTGCTCAGTGAGGGGAGATGCTTTGCGGTCTTTTGATATGTGTAGATAGGAATGGCGGTTTCTGGCTGGATGACCACTAGAGATTCTCGTGCATGCTGGAGAAGACTAAATTTGCGAGCACCTAAAGGCAAGGCCGGAGTCTGCAAAATAGAATCTGCCCCCGCCTCGAGCAAGAGAGCCAGAATTCGGCGCGATCCACATTCAACGGCAAGTTGTACGGGGGTATGACCATCGCTTGTCTTCAGGTCGAGTGCGGCACCGCTTTTGATGAGAAAAGCAACTAACAACTCTTGGGGCGATTTGCATGCAATTGCGAGATGTAGCGCCGTTGCCGACTTGTGTGAGAGCAATTGAGCATCAATATTGGCTCCGTGAGAGATCATCAAAGAAATGAAGAGGATCACGTTTTCGAGGGGGACTTGAATGATCTCCAGGTGACGGGCTATGACGCTGTGAATAGGCGTGAACCCGCTACATGTCATCGCGTTCGGGCTCAGACCGAGCTCTAATGCAGCGGCGATAATATCGAGGTGTTCCTTTTTGGAAGGGGCTATGATGTGCAATAGTGTTTCACCCTTGGCGGTTTCGACTCCAACGTCTGCACCTCGGTCTAGAAGATGAAAGAACATGGCTTTGTTTCCAGATAAAGCTGCTCGCTGTAAGACTGTGTGACCTTGCGAATTGCACGCTTCAATATTGGCGCCACCCTCGAGTAAGTGCGAGGCCATTGACAAGCTAGTTGCCGCGCCACGATGAGCAAGATCATGAAGGAGTGAGTTTCCCTCGCTATTCCAGGCATTTATGTCGGCACCACCGCTCAAAAGAAGCTCGAATGCTATCCAGTGCCCTTTTTGAGCCGCAAAATGAAGTGCAGTGTCACCACTGGAAGAACGGGTTTCCAAGTGCGCGTGGCGCTCCAACAGCAAAGAGATAGCCTCACAATTGTCAATCTGACAAGCGAGCTGGAGTGGTGTCACCCCTTCCCGGTTCAACATATTCATGTTCGCACCTTTTTCAATCAAGAATGATAGAATCCGAGGCCTCCTCATTTCCACTGCGAGATGAAGGGCCGTGTTTCCGGTTGATGTGTTTTGAAAGTCAAGATCGAAGCGGCTTCGAACCATAAGTGGAACTATTGCCTCGTCAAAGCATTTTCCAATCGCTAAATGAAGTGCAGTTGCGCCCTGCGAGTTTGCGATACGCGAGTTCACCTTTCGATTGAGGAGGCTTTTGATGAGTTTTCGATGACCCTGGCTCGCGGCAATATGCAATGCAGTGTCCCCGTCTCTAGATCTCGCATCAAGATCCGCATTATGTTCAATGAGAAGATCGAGCATCTGCTCGTGTCCACGGTGAACCGCACAATGTAAAGGCGTGATACCCAGCTCGTTGTCATTCTCATCGATGTCGACTCCTTGCTCAATCAAGCGTCTTGCTTTGCTCAGAATACCAAAGTAGGCGAGGACATGCAGACCGCTCCAGTCAATGAAGTAGCTACCGAGTCCCAACCGTTTTGGAATATCGACGGCTGTGACATAATTGGAATCAATGGGCGGTCTTCTCCAGCAAAGTTTATTCAAAAACGCTCGAATGAGCACTTGGGTAGTCTGCTCGTCCTCGCTGATCTCTCGAGCGTGATCACCCCAGTGCGTTATTGCATAGTTGAGTAGTGGGATCTGAGAAGCACCGTTCGGCATGCCGCGGGTCATATAGCACTCATCCACAACTTCATCCGAGGTGATGAGCGTCAGACAGGTCTCTGCAATGTGCTTTTTCGCGGTTGGAAAGAAAACCCTAGCCGCTGGACCACCGAGGTATTCTTTTGCTGTTTGATGAACAAGCTGGATCGTCTGAGTCAACTCATCAATCCGTAAGAGACCCGCCGCTTCAGCCAACGGATCTTGTTCGGAATGGTGAGAGCTTTTGGGCATCTTTTGAAGTAGCGGCTCAAATGAAGCCGCAAAACTCAACTCGGCGACTGTCAAAGGTCTTCGAGAATAAAGTGTCCAGAACAAGCACCGACTCGCATAAGTATTCTCACTGACAATGCGGGTCATGATCTCGCCGTAGGCATCATTGAGACTCTCTGGTAGATGAAACAGTGCGCGTTGAAGAAGACTTCCATCAGTGCATCTTGAAAGTAGATCGATATGGAAGCGGGCAAGTAGGAATCTTTATGAAGAAATCGAAGTCAGCATTTTTTTCAGGTTCAGCTCGCTTGAACAGGGGTGTTCTCGGGCGTAAGAAGAGCAGACCCACTTACAGTCCATGAGACTTTTTGACTACTTGCTGCACAATGGCAATTTTCAGGTCAATGGGATATCTTTTGAGTACATTGTGAAGACCTTGATCCTCCTCAAGACGCGCTGTGACATAAAGTTCCAGATCTTGGCGGGTTGCATGCACTGAAAGGCAGGGATCTTTCGTATCGATTCTTGATTCGCGTGTTGTCACAAGAAATTGACAATGATCTGGGAGCTTTTGAAGCCGACTCAAAACTCGGTCTGCCTCTGCTAGACACTCAATGTCATCGATGACAAAGAAGACGCGGGAGAAACGATTCACTTCTGCACGAATGGCGTCCTGGAGACCTTTTGCCGAGGCGTGGCCATTCTGAAATGGTTCTGACTCATAGAGTGTGAGGGTCGTGTGGGATGGCTGATTTTTTCTCGATACAAGCTGGGCAAGAATTGTCTCGAGAAAAGCTATCGTGCTGGTCTCTTCCGTCTCATCATGACCTAAAAAATAGACCACGGCTACTTCGGCAGAAGTGAAGACCTTTTGAACATTTTCAATCACAGTGGAGCTGTCGAGGGACCATCAGCCAAAGAATCAGAGGCAGTCATGACCAATCCTCACTTACGCAAGAAAAGTCTTTCCAGCACCCGCTACCCATGGGTTGACATATTAGCATTAGTGCGCGAACACAATCTGCAAGGTATGTCGCGCCTCAGAATACAACATACCAGGCCCAACGCAATAAAGTGTACGATGATTTCCGAATAACCATCCGTCATACTTGTCTTCGTCAAAAATCCATTGACAGCTTCCATTCTGTCGGTGAGTGCACAAGTCGGCTAATTTGGAGTTCATTTTGCCAGTTGCCATGTCTGTGACCTGCTTGTAGTCTCCACATTTGGGAGTGGTTGCCGATATCGAATCTGGGAAACACCTGTTAACCCAACTTGGGTCCAAAATCGGGCCACTGCTAGACATCTTACCCGAATCGAGTTCATGGTACTGTCGAAACTTGATGCGAAGTTTGTTCTCCACATGATTTTTTTCGCTATCAGGAACAGACATGATCAGAGCCCGTCACAATTCCTTTTCGACTTAGAGAGAGACCTACCTTGATCTAGGCTGCATTGTCAGAAGCAGCATTGTCTTGAACTCTTCCAGCCGCGGCACGAATGTGGTCTCCAGTAGGCGCTTTCTGAACAAGCGCGCAGTGACACCACCGGGCTGGAAATAACGGTCCAAAAGCTCGACGGTCGAGTCGAGCGAGGCAAGAACCTCGCTCAAACTCAATAAGCGTGCCGAGTCCGTGATCCATTTGTCCTCCGCGTAAATCAGTTGATCTTGAAGTCGACAACACAGATCTTGAAGCTCGCAGAGGAGCAATAAAGCCCGAGTGTTATTTTCAATGTTCTCTCTATTTCCACCAATGCAACGGACGAGCGTGCGTATAGTTCTGGATATCCTCGTGAGGTGTCCACGAACGACCGGGCCGGTGGCCATGTTCAAACCGCATCCATGGAAGTGTGGTGGTGCTAGTCAGACGCGGAGAACAGAAACACAAGATCAGTTGTGACTCGGTCGGAGAATAGAAGGCTGTGATATTTTGTCCATTCATCGGCTAAGAAGTAGGGGAAAGCCACGAGGTAAATGATCAGAAGACGAAACAGCGACTTCGCAAGCCAATCTCATGCTAGTCCGCAAACGCTTTAGAGGCGCCTATTGAAGCACTGGGGACAGTTCATGGAGCGTCATTCAATACGAGTGCAGCATTCAATTCGGGCCTGCAACGAGCCTCAGCATCAAGTGTGACCAGCGGGCTGTTGGATCCAAAGCGCTAGATGAAACGGTTCTCGAACCCCTCATATCAACAGAGAGTTCATGAGTTGGAACACAGCGGAGTTCATCACGAGATCTTGAAGGCAATTCGTTCATGCCCATGATGTGCGGTGGAAAAACACCAGCACACGAGCGTGTGTGATGGTTCCAAGAGAGGTGGTGCCCGTCCACTTGGCTTATGATCTGACCGTCCATTCACATCTTCGCTGTAGCCGCCACGTTGTGATAAGATTGCCGAAGGCATGTGACTGGCGTGCGTGGCACTGCTCAAAGTAGAACTATCAGTGCGCCAGAATCTTGAAACTGCGGCACTCTTGCAAGTTTCTCTGGATTTTCACTGAGCGGTTGAAGTGACTAGCGATACGAACCGCAGCACAGACCAGTGACCAGTGACCAGTGTCTACACATTTACCACAACAGTAATGCTGCTTTTCGCGTGTATTAAATAGCAAGTGGAAGTTTTTGTATTCTAGCGCCCACTGTACCTCAAGTCAAGGCGGAGAAGTCGTTACATTCAAGAGATCAATGTGTATAATGCATGGCACCCGGTAGCGACTACACCAATGATGGAATGAAAGTTAATTTCGGCATTTTCAAGGAAAGACGTTAATTGTTTATGGCAGGTGTGAACCATTTCGTCTACATCGAGAAGCTCTTCACGTACAAGAAAGCCAAGGAGGCAGCAATGTCGTCAAGCAAACCAGTAGAACTTTGCTAGAAGCAGTCATCGGATGCAGAAAGAATTCCAGTATTAGCAAGTTCAGAATCAGAGAAATGGGAAAGCCTTGTCATGATCGTTCAATGAGGGGTATCTGTAATGGTAAAACAGAGCTGAAGACAGAGGAATTTGAAAGGATTGTGTGCAGGAACCAGAAAGGCAAGTCATGTCATGGACGACTGTAAAGATAGGTCACGCATCAAATCATATTATTTCCATTGATGTTGATGGTGTTCCCACCTTGAAGGGCGCGCTTGGTGGTTTTGGCCAGCATAACCTCCCGCATCCATTCAATTCGTTCGTCCCGCGTGTTGACTGCAAAGTGATGGGATTTGCCACCGTTCAGCAACATGGCCTTGCGGTCGATGAGCCCGCCGCCATTGTTTGGTGCAGGAATTAAGGAAAACGCAAAGGCCGAGTTGTCTTCCGCGTTATCCCGGCGCTTCAGGACAGTCTTCTTGAAGGCCGCACTCAGTTTGGAGCTAGAAGCAAGAGATGAACAGGCAACAGCATAGTCATCAACGTCGATGTACTGCAAAGCCTTGGAGTTTCGATGGGCAGACTCTTCGTCATCATGCATTGCCAGCTGAGTTCCTTTCAGAGTGAAGTGGTGGTCTTGCCACTCATGTCGTAGTAGCCGAGTTGTCTTGCGTTTTTTCATCCACCCGCAATGGGTCACTGCTTCGTGGTCCCGCAAACCAACGGACGTCTGGCTATTCTTTCGGCAGCTGGGGGCTCGCGGCGTGCGTTGTAAATCCTCAGGCGTCTCAATAGGTCTCAACGCTCGGCCCTCCGGCAGTGCGCGGAGCGGCACAACTAGTTGCGCTGAAGGTCTACGTGTATGGTGATTACCCATACTTGACGATGAGCGCGCGAGAGGTTCAATCATGCGAAATCCTTCGTTTCCAAATCTCATATTGGGCGGCACAGATTGGGAATCTTCTCGTGCCACTGGCCCAATGGGCAACGCAGTTACGGGCGCGTCAGTATCAGACATGGGTGTATCTTGTCTATAGCAAGGATCCAATCTGTAGAGGTCGCCCGGAGACATGGTCGCACCGTGTGCCGGCCCATTTCGACTGTGAGGAATGGCAGTCATATCATCGGAGGTGAACTGATCCCTGCGCGATAAAATAGAGGGGGTGACTGTTCTCTGCGCAGAAAGTCCACCGGTATACGAAGAAACGTCAGATTTGTGAAGGCTTGGTATCTGTAACCTTGGAAGGTGACGGAGATTTTCTGCGAGAGTAGGCGTGACCTTCGCCGAATCCGGGGATTCACAAGCCGGAGGCGACATGAAATCCCTTGGTGGACTTGGGGGCGCGTTGACGGTCTGCAGCTTGTCAAGGCTTTGAAAGTTCAAATAGTTTCGCACATTTTCTTGGGGGTCTCGAGGTTGTACGGCTTTCAATTTTTCCTGTGACAACTTGTATGCCGAGGAATGATTGTAGCCCATAGCATCGGATGAAGCTGCCAAGGAAGGTGTGATCTCAGACCTGGGAGATTTGAGAAGATTGGGTGCTGTCTTGGGATTACCAGGATCCCCAGCAACAATGGCACGACCACCAAGGGAGTCAATGGGTAAGTCATGTGCTAGTCGGGCCAACTTGGCTTGCTGCTTTTGCCACTTACGGCATCCTTCACCCTTCGAGCATTTGTGCGCTTTTGGTAGGAGTTGCTCGATCGCAACGATAGACACAGAATCTCCGGGCTTGAGGTCGGCATCCAAGATGCCACGTTGATGTCTGCCGGTTAGACTGCCACTCGAGCTATCTCTGTCGGTAGTGTAGCACTGCTGGTGAACACTACTAGATAGATTGGTTGAAGTGCGAGCCGTGGATGGCTGAGTGCTTGAGATGCTTGATGACATCAGAGAGGTTCCAGAGCTGGCGCTCAGCGCAACATTGTCTCGGAGGGTTTGGATAGAGGACATGAGGCGGCGACGTTTTCCAAAAGAAGTGATTTCGAGCTCTTTGAGATCCTCGGCCTGAAGCTCCAGCAAAATTGATCCAGAGATATCATTCCAGTAGAACTTTTGAATGACGTCCTCTTCAAATCCAACACTGCGCAACCAAGTGACAACGTCCTGGGGCGACCAATCTGAGACTGTGTCATTGGAGGTTGTGGATGCCCGGTTGACAGTGGCAGTATTGTACTCTGTCTCAGGATATTCCGTGAGCAAATTAGGCACTGGCGTATCTTTGCGACTGGAATCAGCCACAGAGACGCGGTGGTGGAAGCTCGCAGTTGTACGGGCAGGTTCCTCTTGGAGAAAAAGGTTTACTTCCAACGCCGACTTGTGATCTGAGGCCATCGAGTCCCTGAAAAGATGCGGGCCAGATGGGCCTCGCACGTGCTTGTCATCAATGTGAAAGTCGAATGCGGTCAAGCCTGTGGACTCTGGAGTGACTACGTGGTCTGATGTAGAGGCAGAAGATAGAGTGCCAGTTCCGAACTGTGGGTTCTTTGGTTAGCATCTTGTATTGCCAATTCTCGATTGGCAAACTGAACTTACTGAGGCCACGCTCTGCATGGGAGACTCGTCGAAGCAATCTTCATCTTCGAAAATTTCTGTTGCCTGGGAGGCAGGGCGATTATACATTTTCCTCGGTGGGAAAAGCGGCAAAGGCTCCTCCTTGCGAGGAATCATCATGTAGCTCATGAGATTGTCGTAGTCATATTGTGCCTCCTGACCGGATCAGCTTCGTCTCCTGATCACGCTAGATACAAAACATACCATTTTGCCATAGCAGTGGCCAAGTGGCCAACCAGTATTGCGCGAGAAAACTCCTGAGAAATTTCTTCTTATCAAGCTCTTTAAGATGATCGCAGGCCAAGCTCGGAGCCTCAGAGTCGGTGCGAGCAATACCGTGAAGGTCAGTGATATAGGTTCATGCACGAGGTGGTATTGTAAACATGATCCAGAAAGGAAAGAGCGGGTTCTCAACAGTTTATGTAAAAAGGCTATCGATTGCTGGGCGGTCCCCTTGTGGGGCTGGCAAGCGACTCTCTCACATTTCACACGAGGAACCTGGGCGACTGGCCGGGTTTGACGAATTGCGATTGCAGCTTGGGCGTCGAACGGTCCTTGGGTCGGCGGCAAATCAGACTGCTAGGGGTTGCTGTGGTGTGCCTGGCTGTCGGCACGCCAACTTGGAACACGGGGAAGGAGGTGAAAGTATACTCGAACCAGGATTAGGCCTGGTATTTTTGGCATTATAGGTCCTCGTTGGATGCACAGGTGTGCATTTGAATTTAGATCATGCATGAGGCAATCGAAGGAGCGGGTGACGGAGGTTGGTGATAGGCCACCTGCACGACGCTACTGCCGTGACGATTTCCTTGGCACATTGCGACAGGTGAAGGGCGATTCGGAGGTGATATGAGCGCGTACATAGTTTCAAATGATCGGTTATAAATTGACCGTCGCTCGCTCCTCCTTGGTTAGAGAAGGTCGAGGTCCTAAATGACCCTGCTCATGGTGCAAGAACTGGAGGATGCAGTATCGAATGGATGTCGTCTGTTTCCGTTCGCTTATTCTGAAGAGGGGCCGCGCGGGCGTTCATACTTCACAGCGAGGCATGCTGGGCAAGGTAAGATAGGCACCCTGCGCGAACCCAGCCTCTTGCATTCACGAGCAGACTGTGGGTCGATCTTAGTCAGGTAGATTCAAAAGTAGATTGGCGGTCATTACCCTTGTAGACAATTCGACGCTCCATCCCACTCTCATCTCATCATCTGTCCCGACTCCCGACTCCCGAACCCACACCTATTGCACTGCACTCTGCAGTGCCGCACATGCCCCAACCTCTCAGTCCCTCGCCGCAACGACCGTCACCCCAAATAGGATCTGACGGCCCAACGCCTATCACACTGCAGCACATTTGAACTGCACTATGACCTTCCGTAAACAATTGGCTCGAGAGTGATGCCTCGCCGACCCGTTGCGAATGATGCATGTTACTGGATGGCCATGTGCTGCTGCAGCGCACTTTCGACGGGATGGTCTGTTCATGTGACACGCACCACTTTCGGTGCCTGTGGACCTGAGTTGGCTTCACTCCGATAGCACGCGAACAGACCCGACCGAAGCTTCCCAGGTCACATGGAGGAGATTTGAACTATCCTCCAAATGATTCTTTTCATCACAAAAATCTTGCGACTGAACGAATATCACATCTAGCTCTCAATGAGCCAGGTCATCTTATGGGATTGGTGGCGCTATCGGGTACAATCTCTGGAAAAGGACGAATAAATAGTTGGGTGCATCAGCAGCCGACGGTCCACGCCGGGCTTTCTTCCGCCGCGAGCGGAGATATGCCATTTGACAGGTCAATATATTTCTCAATATACGTCTCATTTGCACATATAATAGTAGTAGTAGACCATCAAGACAAACTTGTTCTTGTTCTTGGATGGACGGGTGAAACGGGTCGATCAGCCGGGCTATTGTGCTTCGGAAGAAATGTGATGCTCCTGCAGCCCCAGCCCAAATGTCTGCTGCAGCTGCAGTGGACGTCTGTGTGGACAGTCAAGGATTCTTCGGTTGCTTTAAGCTCTCCAGAAACCACGGCCCAGATGTTCGCACGAGTCTGGGTTCGAGAACCAATTAGTACGATACTCTCACAACAGTGTTCAAGGTCAGCCAATGGTGTGTAGATATTTAGAAGGTAGATGGAATGCTAACTAAGATCTGGAAACGCTCTGGAACTTGCAACTGGGAGGAGCTGCGTCCGAGACCATTCATCCAGTGTATAAATGAAAACTTTTGACAGGTAGGCTCCCGCAATGATTGATACCACGAGAACCATGTTGCCTAAGAATGTATACAACTACACACCGACTGGATTCGACAGTCCTACTCTTACGGCATTCATCAGTATCTAGCGTATTCCATCGGCCGCACAATCTCGGCCAAGCCTTCCATTGTATCATTGTGGCCATTCTCATAAAACGTGACCAGGGGACTGATGTTGAATATACCATTTTACTTCTCATGAGATGTGAGTTAACCGGTGCACGCACATGAAGCACCACTATACGAGGATGACTGTGTAGAGTAGCTTCTGGCGAAGTGCAGACGTCTAGGAACCCTTCCTCTCCCTTCTATCAAATCACATCGACTAGTAAAAGGCTTTCTGTAGTTACAGTAGAATGCAAGGTATGTAGCTGGACCATTGTAAGCAATGTTACATCACTCAAAGTAGCAGAAAGTATGTCGGTGTGGGTATCTTTGCGTTCAAAAATCAGCCAAATCATCAATGAGACGAGTGTCCAAGACCAGAGGGACCATCAATGCGCATCAGCTACTACCAAACTCTACCATTTGTATGAAATTACAAGTTGAACGATTTCAGTCTCAGTAGTCCGGTAGTGGTGTCAATCAGAAAAGCTTGGTGTAGTGCCTCATTCCAGGTGAGCTTCGGTACCATTGATTAGTCTATACTCAGGTTTCTCAGAACGGGCTGAAGTGTGTGATCGGGTGCTGTCAGCCAGTCACGGCCTCGTCGAAAAAGCGGGATGATTCAGGGTAACATGATCCAAAGTGATGCTAATTTGGGAAAATCTAGGCAAATCATTCTATTTCGAGTCCTTGTGACCTTGAAATATCGTATTAATAGCAAACACGCCTGCGAAAAAACAGGCGCTTAATCATTACTAATTAGGGGGGATTATGCTCAAATCAGCCGATGATCGGGTGGACCTCAGTCGCCGGACATGGAAGCTAGACGAATGTCCGAGCGCATAGCTTGGCGCAACAGTGCGCCTCAGCCGCCTCATGTCATTGGCTCAGAACCGGCTTCGAACTACAGAGGCATAATGACTCCAGAAGCTAGTGTGGACGGTGGCTTCGAAACGGTAGGCAAATCAAACCTTTACAACAGAAGCTTGGCATTCTACAGTTGCTAGCCCATCACACTCTCAACCCGCTTTTCTTCGCTCAGCAGATCCTCCGTTTTCTGAGTGAGGAGATTCATGATTGGCGATTTGGAGACCAGTATTTCCGTTTTGGCCAAGGCAACAGATTCATTTTGGGTTCCCTGGTAGGCGCTAGGACTAGCCCTTACAAGATGCAGTCACCCACTCAAAATCCGCCCTTGAGCAACAACTACCTAGCAGAATCCGTGCATGGCAACACGAATATGCCAATTGATGTCTCACTAAATTCCCGATTTCACCCTACCGTGCGTATAACTCAATAGGTCTTCATCAGGTAATAGATTGACTGGAAGCGTCTACCGGTATTTGCTGGGTCTTTTTAGTAAGGGTTTTTTTTTCCCCAGCTCAGAGTCATCTGAACGCGACCAGTCGTGACAATGAGCGACTTCAAAGTCCGTCATAACAAGAGGGGACTTATAATTTCGTCGTGCACCTATCACGATCCAGCTTGACAGTGGGAGGTAGCGGTTCTACCACACGATTTGCTTATGGACGCAAGATTGAGTGATCTACCTTGAAGTGGTCTAGAGCGTGCATGCTGTGATGTGATGAGACCCACTCAATTTGCATCCTACCACACCACGAAAGTCTAGTCATGACAGCAACCCCGCAACCTGCATATACCGATCGTTGATATTAGCCTTGACAAAGATTTGCTCTTATTCCTTTTTCGTCCTGTCGACCTATTTCCGGTACCAAAATTAGTGACAATTATGAATGATTGACCGACACTGGGAAGCTGATTCGCTATTCAAGCGTGGTCCCTGTCCAACATCTGTATGCCTAATTGACTCGCACGAGACTGGTCTTCCACTGCTTGCAAAAATAGAATCACAACCCGCGGGATTGCTGATCGCGCAGTCGGCTTAACTCAAGTGGTTTCTGTGAACTCCAGATAAAGATCTTCCATGCGGCCACTGTGAACTTTCTATCCTCATCCTTCGTTCTCACACTCATTGTACCTAATAGATCTGTGAAGCTGCCGGTCCAGCTTTGCTTCTCGTCTCAAACTCCCAGAAAAGAAATCACGGTGGCTGGTCCTCCATTTTACTGAGTGTTCTCTATTGTGTTGGCTGGGCCGCATCATCATTCTTCGTTGTCGAGCATTTTCTGCATCTGGTCATTGACTGGCTACTTACACTTTCATTTTCGACCTCTAATTCAATCTTCAATCATTCGAAGATGCCGACCCAAAAATCGATTGCTGCCGCTTCTTCGAGAAAGTCTTCAAGTGTGAATCTCTCTGATATGCCTTCAACGGGTAGCGACAGTGGAAGCGCTCAGGAAAAGTCTGGCTCGAAGATGCACAAGAGGTCTCGCTCTGGTAGGTTATCTGTTGTCTGTTGTCTGAGGGTGATGATGAGTGACCATGATGCTGATGTCAATCAAGGTTGCTTTACTTGTCGTCTCCGCAGAAAGAAGTGCGATGAGGGCCACCCATCCTGCAAGGCATGCACAAACCTATCGGTGAAATGCGAATATAAGCGGCCAATGTGGTGGGGCAATCCGGAGCAACGACGAATTCAAAAAGAACGTATCAAGAACAAGATAAAACAGACAAAATCTCTTGAACGAAGTGGAACGCGACCAGGTATTTTATATTCGAAACTCACCCTTGGGTCCCGCTCACCCAGATACTGACGAACCAGCAGATGGACTTCCACATAGTCATATATCCCTCTCATCACCAGGTCCCGGAGAAACGGACTTCAATCAGCCAATTATCGATGGATGTGAATCTTTCGGTCTTCATTTCGCGACCCCAGGCTTCGTGCCCATCTCATACGCCCATTATTACACTCCTTATGAAGTTGATATCAAGACTGAGCGCCAAACTTTCGTGAACAATGTTCCCCTACGGCACGACTCTTCAATCTCCACCTTCAGTGCCATGGGCCCGCCACAGCTTCACTCCACACTCCCGACTTTCCCAGCCGAGGATTGGTTCCAAGAAGAGATGCACATCGGTGACCATGGCTATGGGTTGATGAACGGAAGTCTGTCCGGCGAAAGCTCTGGGCAGTCTTATGCTTCTTTGACTGCCGACATTCCAGTCGCAGATCATGATCGGCCGTTGCTGAATCACTTTGTGGAGAACGTTCTTCGCATGATTTTTCCCGTCCTCGAAGCTCACCAGCAAGGCTCGACTCGTGCCCAGTCGGTCTTGAAATCTTTAGAGACGAACAAATCCTACTTTCATTGTTGTCTCAGCGTGGCTGCAATTCACCTCAAGACGACGACTGGTCTTGGCGGGGAACAAATCGACCATGATATCATGCGACACCGTTATGAGGCAATCTCCCAGCTCTGCCAAGCCCTGAGCAATGACACCGATCATGATCAGATCCTGGATGCGACTCTTGCGATGATTTTCTTCCACTGCTCAGTTGGTTCTCCGGAGGACCATCTCCCCGATATTCCGTGGAACGATCATTTCCAAGCGGTCTCCAACTTGGTGACTAAACTCGACCTGACAAACACGATGGTTCCATGCGCAAATGGTTACGTGCTTCCCCCTTTCAGTATGTCTCTAACAGCCTGGATCGATATTCTTGGATCAACAATGCTTGGAAAGACTCCGCAATTTGCCCATTCCTACCGCAACAAACATCTGGGCGGTTCGTCATCCGGCCTTCGTGAGCTCATGGGCTGCGATGACCGTGTGATGTATCTCATCTCAGAAATTGCTTGTTTGGAATCCTTGAAGAACGAGGGCCGTATAGACGCAATGACCGTGTGTACACATGTTTCCGCTCTTGGGAACCAGCTGGAGTACACCGAGCCCGCCGACCCCACACTAGAGAGTCCGTACTGTACAGCGACGGGCGCTATCAGGCCAGACGTTCTCACCAAAAACATCACAACGCTATTCCGTCTGGCCGCACGGGTTTACCTTTGCAGTCTCATTCCTGGAACAAGTCGGGCGCATTCGAGCATCTGTAACTTAATCGACTCCATAACCGACACTTTGGCGTTCATCCCCACCGGACCTGGTGGCTTCGATCGCTCCCTGGTCTGGCCTTTGCTCATTGCGGGTGCTCACTCAACTCCGTCAAGCTCCTTCCGCCAGGCATTGACTGAGCGAATGTTGGCCATGGAGGAGTTTGCAGAACTTGGTAGCTTTGGTCGCATGTGCCAACTCTTAAATGAGTACTGGCGGCTCACAGATGACTGCATTGAGATCAGTTCAAGTCAGCAGGATCAGACAACGCAAGTTGCCTACGACAATCACGGCACTACAATCGACACGCGATCATCACCGCCTCTTCTGTCTCCAACCATGCGAGAGCTCAAGAAGCAGCAGCTTCACTGGAGAGATGTTATGAATCGTAACGGTTGGCGTCACCTCCTGATCTGATCTGAACTTAGCAACTTGTGATGTCCGCATTTCACTTCCATAGATACCCCCCTTATGTATTAGCCACGTCTCTTGTGAATCAATTGATTATTTCTTCTCTGTTCTGAAGTACAGATTTGTTGTCTATTCACATCTGTGGAGGACAATATCAGGTAAGGTGCCCTCAGCCTATCGCTGCTCTATAGGTACCTATGAGCATTGTAAGCGACCTCCCCAAATTTCTGGAATGAATTCAGTGGCCTAGAATGGAAGCAGTTACAGAACTAGAAGCCGTGGTTCTGATAAAAGCCAACCGTGACAATTACTAACGAGCATATTCTTTCTGTAGGCACGAGAAAGCCACCTGAGTAGTTGTCGCTATTTGGATTTGGTTTATCTGGTAAGGAATCATGTCAAGCTCTTTTATGTTAAACTTCGAAGGTCATTGTCAATCAAGTCGTAACTGGAACCCTGCCCTCAGTCTGCTTTGGGCTCTAAACTGCAGTCGAACAGCTAGGTGGCGGGGTCCATATTGTTGAGACTGTTAGTTTAAGTAAGGCCCGCCGAAAATTACACGCCTACGTCCATACGCCTGCATTTATCGGTCCAACATCCACGTCTGTCTTGCTTGGCTAGTATATATGGTCAGTGTGTGAAAAAAGCGCCGGTGAGAATGTTCGGCAGGTTAGAAGTGTGTTGGGCTCGAAATTAGAACAAGTATTGAGTTTCCGGGGGGGGGGGGGGGGGGGGGGGGGATATTCGTCGCAGAGCTGCCGAAGGTTGGGCGGGATGGAGACAGCATTTGACATGTAATGCGACGATGTCCGGAAGATTGACAGTATATCAAGCGTCAAATGAAACTATACACCTCTATCGCGCCAGAATAGATAGAGACAGGTTAGATCTTTGAAGGAGGTAGTGACCTCTGGGATCTGTCATTGATTAAGCGGTTTCGAAGAGAAAGCACGGTCCTACAGCCGGAGCACTCGCAGCTAAGTGTCAAATCAGACGAAGGTCACTATTTTCGACCACGCGCTTTCACATTCGCAAATCACGGTCCACACTGCTACCTTGTCGCTCTGTTGGCGTAGTGACCTAGCCGCCTAGTGCTGGAGCGGCTGACTACCTGGATGACAGGGACTTGACGCCATATGAACGAGAACGCGCGCGACAGTTTGAATTATGTCTGGGACGGGAGTTCTTGAGCTCACGGCGGCAAGTTAGAGAGAGGTCACTATGTATAATAGAGCTCCTGCCATCGACCAACCCGAGAAGATCGGCTTCACCTCAATTCCATTTTGCCCTTCAATCCTTGCTACTGTTGGGCTTCTCTGAGGCTTTCGTCGTGGGCACTCCCGTTCTTTTTATTCTTTTTTACGTTCCCTCGGCAGTAATATTGTTTTAATTGTGTCCAGCGCTGGCCGCTAATTGTCAACTTACGAGATCTGGGGGGCCATCCGAAGTCTTCGCCACTTCAAAGAATCCTGACCGTGAAATTCATTTCCGGACTTTGAGGTGCAAAGCCCCAGCACCGCCATTGAGAGTGAGTCGGGCTGCGCTTCCAAGGGGCCAAAGCAGAGGACTAATCATGGGGCCGCCCCGAAAATACAGAAATTCAAGCAGTTCGTTTCAATACTGTATAGTATTGTCTGGCTTGTTTCTTACCGTCTGGTACGGTATTGACGACATCGAACTGTACATTGTACAATCCCTCTCGTTTCACCATCTGCAATCCACTCCGCCCACGCAGAAGATCTTCTGGCGCTCAGCTGCCCTGGTCTCCTGAGCCTTTCGCTGGTGAGATTTATTATTTGTCCCTCTCTGCCGCGTGTCTATCAATTTCATTTCTAATTTTTCCCATCCTTACAACTCCACCACAGACTCGATACTTGTTGTCCCTCCTTGTGGCCCAGGCTTTTCTGAAAGTCTGCTGCCTATCAAGCTCAATACCAACTGCCTTTGCAATCAAGCAACCCCACCTTCAAATACCCTTTCTGTTCCCACATACTTGTCAAAGAAGTCTTTGATAAAAATTCTCGATCGATCGAGATTTTGCTGCATCATGCCGTCTCAAAAGCCAGAACTGCCTCCACTGAAGACACCAAAGTCTTTCACATTCCCCTCCGAGATCCAAGACGACCCAAAATCTTGTTGTATCGACATCAAACGTGAGGACAGTGGCGATAGCTCCATCCCCACACCCGATGCGTATAAAAAGTTCCTCGAGGCCCTCTCGCCTGCATATGCCAGTCCACTGAGCTCTGATGGAAGTCATTCGAGATTCATGTTTGACAAGGAAGTTCCTCTGCAAGCCTCACAGCCTTGTTCGGCGACGACTCCGGCCTTTTCGTCCGGCGCCACTCTGAAATCTCCAGCGTTCTCACTTCCTCCAGTCTCTCCATGCACGACAAAATCTCCAAAGTCCCCACATGCGCTTCGACGCCTGCGAATTCCACACGCAATCAAGACATCTTTGAAAGATTTACCGCGGACTGCTACGCCCCTTAGTGCGACGCCCAGGAGTGCGACCATTCTACGCTCCCCATTCTCGCCCTCAACTTGGAAAATGCGATACTTTGAGACGCCGCGGAGCGCCACCCCCAGGAGTGCGACCAGCGCTAAAGCTGTCAGTGTCAGACAAGTTGTGACTCGCACGGTCACGTACAAGCGTACACCCTTGGAGCCTCCCCCGAAGGGCAAGCGCCGCAGAACCCAGGATTGCAAGGAGTCCTGATCGCTTATTCCTCAAAGTTGCTATTTTTGTCCGATCGCCTACCTTGGCCGATGAGGGTTTTCCCCGAAGACCGTCGCTTGCATATTGACAGATCTCCTCACTGTCTGGAGGAGTTGTCCTGGTATCGCAGCCAATATCGTGACGGAAACGATAAGGGCGCGTGGTGTTTGGAGTCTAGTGCATCTGGTTTTCTTTTTGGCTGTCTCTTTTCACATGCATGTACTTTTGAAGATCAAATCTAAATGGTGGGATCCGGAGATTCAGGAAATTAATTCAGTTCAATTGCTTGGCGAACCAACTCCAGTCACTCGCGGCTCGCGCCCTCGGTTCATCAAACTTATTGTAGAGCCACCAGCTACAAATCAGCTATAACCATGCGAGAAGGTCCCATAGAGGGACCTCGCTGCCTTTCTGTATTAAGTCAATATCTTTACCCAAAGTCTAATTGCAAGGCTATGGAAGCAAACAACGCTATCCCTCGAGAAACTGGATTTTTCGGAGCTCCAATTTAAGTGTTGGCGTCGCTCAATCCAGACACTTCTCAGCCATGTTGACAACAGAACGCCTGATCTGGTGATTTAGGTATCGGTAGTACCTAAAAGTTTGCAGCTAGGACAATAGTCCTTACCACGTGCCTACTGCATCATCTGGTGCTCAATCAGCATCGGCAAGGAACCAACAAGTAAGCCAACGATCCCAAAGCCCTATATGGGGCTCGTTAGAGCCGCTAGCGCTACCGTCAAAGAGGCTCTAACTCAATGATATTCGGTATACAGGATTACTCAACTTTAGCGGTAAGTTTTCGGCAATTCCAAAAGTTTCCAGCTTCGGAAAGGGTACTATCAGCGAAGCCTCGTTCCAAGACTCGTGGTCGCTTTCAAAAGTTTGAGGCTCATCGCTGTCTCCCCGCCGCCTGGGGTTGCGGGGCTGACATTTTGGACCTGTTTGCACGATTAATACGGCGTACACTGTGTACGCGGTGTGCGAAGATTGACATCCGTGTCCTCCTTTCATTTTCTTTAACGTGCCTGAATGGGCCTTGTGTGTATTTAGTACTACCTACCTATGCGGTTCACTCTGCGATACCAAATGACTTTCAAGCCACAATCTGACATTCCATACATAGTCATGCCCCAATGCTTTGTGTCAGGTTTTGAACGGCCATTTTGCGACTATACTGCTGGGCATTCGTGTTTTTGCCGCTACACAGCCCTTGGGCCAAGATAAAGGGACCTGGCAATCTCTCTTACATGACTCGAAAGTGTTGGTTAGCCTGGGTCGCTTCCTTGGGCCACTATGCTGTATCTTACACCGAGTACAGTAGTTAATCCGAGTTCTGCATACAGTTACAAGGAGTGAGTGGTGCAAGAGGCATATTGCTTGTTAGATGAGCTCATTTGGCAGAGTGCTCAAGTGGCTCGAGTAGTGTAATACGGCGTTAATATTTTTGGGAGCCACTTGACTGTAGCCCAAAGGCCAAGGACATCTTTAACCAAACATCGCTGATTCGCTGTTATATGCTTCGTTGAATTGAGATGAGACTATATTTCAGGAGCTTAGTATTGATTATTGAACATACTGAAGTTTGGCCATTTCAAAGTGATTATCTCAGTATGGCCATGAAGGAGCCGTACCTTAGGATGCTACGCGACACCGCAGACAGTATAGCACTGTATCAAAACCATTAGAGCTTTATGTTAATACTGAGCGTAATCACGGGTTCCATTATCATACTCATAGTACTTTACTACTTACTTCCTAATCCTTTACGTACTTATGTAGACTTGCTTAGCCGGCTATCGATTCTGAATAGTAGGACTAGATTACTTAATAGGGCTTCCTGAGAGATATGTGAGCTGCAGTTCAATGTCTTGCGCAATATTGATGTAGGGCGAGTTCTACTCGCTATGACGAGAAGCACGTTTTTAGAGGATCTGATGATACGTTTTCAGAGTAAGTATTATATATTGTTTACCAGATACCTAGTGTATGACTAGATCCAATTGTACAATACTGAGTCATGACTCATGAGTGTCTAACTGTCTATAGGTATTATGTAGTAGGTACTGTAACCTTATTGAAATTATCATCTGACTATAACATATATACACGCTTTATCTGCAAATAATAATCCCTCTATTATACAAAGTACAAAATATAATGTACATTGTACAGTCAAGTTGTCAACAGTGTACGTGATGGCATATTAAATTACGGGACTTTTCGTTACCGCCCCCCCCCCCAAGACATAGTATTCTATGTACAATCACCCATGCATTCTTAGAAGTTACGAGCAAACTTAATCATTAAGGGCCCCTCGTTGTTGCGACCAGTTAGATATACTGCGGACGGATGTCTGAGGTGACGAGCCCTGGATAGGACAGCCATTCAGAGAGAAGACAGAGACTCTGTGTGTGATCATAGATATGGTTTTGTGGTACGATGTCTTCGCTGTAGGAATTTAGGTAACTAGTAGGTAATGGACCTAAAAATTCTGTGCTTCTGTAAGCGCCGGCGCGATCCCACTTAGAGACTAGCGGAGAGTGGGGAGTGCCTAACATTAACCATGATTTGCTAATTATACTTCACCTGATTCTACTAGGGAGACCTAGTTAGTAGCTAGTACTTACAGATGGTGGAGACATTAGTAGGGTGCTTTGTTGTATGTAGATTGAAGATTGAAACTCCCACACGCTCTGTCTGAACCGCATCAGGAATTGATGATATTTAGATGCACATGCTCCGGCGGACATAATTCTCAATACTTCATCAAGACTACATACACCATTCTGTATGCTGACGTATTGATCAGGGCATCTCAAACATTGATCAGTGGTATAGCATAAGGTCGTAATGGGTACCTGCGAACGAGGACAAAGCAGTAATTTGGTACGTAGACCGCATCTCAGAACAGTCATGACCTGATACGTCGTGGACTGCATCGTCTGTAATGTGCAGTAGTGTGAACTGTGAAGAACTCTGACATGGCCTCTTTCAGAACTGGATCTGCATCCCATTATATTCTAGCCAATCATGAGAGGCGAATAGCCGCCCTTCTCTGAAGGCACCGTGCGTTTTGGATCACGCTTTAGCAACCCTCCGCTTTGATGACGGCTGGATCGGTAGTGATCTGACAGTCTGATCATAATAGCTGGGTATTCTCGGCACTCTTCAAATGACATTGAACTACCTAGTGGCGCCGACCGCCTCTGTGTAAAAATAGAAACTTGGAAATGAGTCAAGGTATCTCGCAGCTAGAATGTTATTTTTGGGTTTAGCACTTGTCGCTGCACAACAATACTATCTAAGATTTCAAAATCAAATAGATTTATCTAATATAGCTCGAGGGTGTGCTATCTACAGGGCCCCAGATCATCAATACTCTCTCTCTATGGAGCCCACTGCCAACAGGCTGATCCTTTTAATGTCCTCTACATGAGCCCATATTATAAATCATGTTCAGATTCTACCTATTTGAATAATATTTTCTCGCCAGATACTCTGCAAGTACAAAAGATATACCACCCATCGTTTTCTTCTGCCGCGCGGTTGAATCTACCGCATGAATTCCCCGGACGTGGTGTATTGTGTGGCATCCTCCACGACCCACTGCAATTGGAACCTATCAATCACATTGACCATCTAGGAGACAGGTGCACGGCAGTAATATTCTGAACTTGCTCTGATCCAGCAGTGAAGAGATCGCCAATTGGTTTTCATGCGCAGTCTCGAGGAGCAGCCTGTGAAATCCAAGAATAGACTGCATGAAGAATTGACGATTAAGTGCAAACAAGGAGCCTTTCCACTTATTTTTATCATCTACTGTGACACTTCCGGAGTCGAGGCCACTCTCTGAGAGGCTCGATAGGTCATTTGAAACCAAACTGGACATCCATACTCTATCACTCGCGCCATCTCGACACTATGGACTTTCTATTCGTTGCAGTTACTTTACTTAGTAAATATCGAGCGCCGAGCTTCCACGGGTGGGTACTCTTCAGATCGAGATCAGTCTATTATACGTTCTTCGTGCTGAAAGACTTCAGAAACTTTGAGATCCGGGGTTGCTCATCGCCACTCAAGGCACTTGGCTAAGCTCGTCGTCAACCTTAGGATCGTACCCCGTCTGCAGGCTTTAAGCCATGAGCATGCAAAAATAGCAACAAAATTATTCATTATTGTGCCGCACTATCACACATCGGATGTGCTGCAGACTGTTGATACGATGCAATCTTTCTATGACTCTCTGACAAGCAAGACAAGGTTCATGAGACCCCTGGCATGTCGTGAAGATCTCTACGGCAGCCGGATGTTGATGCACCTTCTGCCCGTGGGCGGCTCTTGCTAGTCCTATTCATGATCATGAACTGTATCATACCATACCGTACAGTCTCACCCTGTGGGAATTATCTCACAGAGGCTCCTCGGGGCTGGCGGACTTCACAGTGCTTCAATTTTCGATTCTGAAATCAAGAAGCAACGCTAACTCATGGGGAACTAGGTTAGTGCGCTGCGCGGGACCATCAAATCACGGTTTGTACACGACTTTCAGCAGACGGATAAGTTCCCAAAGTGAATACCTACCTACCTTGCATACGCTCACATACAATGCCTTTGTCGATATCTCTGCCTTGACAGGCGGACAGGAGAATCTGGTGTCTACAGCTACGAGAAGCCGTGGATGTAATTTGGGCAAGCGACATAATTTGGGAATTTACACTAAATCCCATAGCCATTGAAAGATCTCAATCGATGGGCACCTCGACCTGACAGCACTACTGGATATGAACAAAGACTTCAGCGTTATATCGGACTTCACAGGTCATCACTTTAGTAGACACGTGATGTGATATCTTCTCCATGCCGCTGCAGATCCACACAGAGATTGGGCCGGTCGGGCTGCACCTAATGTGTTTCTAAAATTAGAGGCGGGGGAAAGAAGGCAGCATTTGGAGTCCACATTCGATCGTCGCATCCCGTGCCCCGTCAGGGGCACTGTGTCCCTCAAGTTCAAACGGCTGTCTAAACGTGCGGAAACAGTCTTTCATCCAAAGACAATGAACCTCGCTTGAGCGTATCAGCCTACCAAATACGTGGGTAGTAGTGCGATTGTCCCGTGACAGACCCGCCTCTAACAGATCGTCCGCACGTAGACGCTCTCCTACGGGACTAAATTGCATCTTACCTTACTGGGCCTCTTTCCTGACAGAATCTCCGTCCTATCCTACACCCCCGTCTCTTTTTCAAAGGGCCCAGCTGTAGCCCGATTTAGTTTCTGCGTGACGGAGTGTCTTATCCGTGCGCCTCCAAATTTGCTCCGTCCTGATCTGCTTTGCATGAGCCTCAGAGCGAGCATTCCGACATGGCTCAAGCCCCGCCCACGTTCACGCCAGATACAGAGTTTGCCGACTTTGATACACCTCGCGATCCCAGAGCCGGCAGTCTGTCGGTGACTGCTCTGGCTCGGTTCGAGTTTGAGGCAGGAAAGGGAAATGAGGGTACCAAGATCCTAATGGTGGAATGGGAGGACGACGACATCACTCGATCAACCGCCGAGGGGTCCTGGCATGTCTCCTGGGCGGGGAAACCAACGGTTCTTCCAGCTGATGAAAGACCGAGCGAGAGCACACGCCGGTTCTACTTTCTTTTACCGCCAAATGTCACAATCCCACCGGTTGTCACCTTAGCATACGAATTTTCTAGCGTGTCGAAGACCCACGATGAACACTCTCTGCCGTCATCGAAGCGTGACGTGTTTCAGCTGAATCCGCTTCCTGCTATTTTCCCACCGGAGTTGGGTGCAACGGGCCGCGCTGCGGGCAAGAAGGGCGTTCTTCACACAATTTGGGCCAAAAAGCGACTACGGGTGCTGGAGAAGGAGATTCAAGAGGAATCAGCAACAAATGCCGAGGGAGTTGCCCTGCATATGGCTGTGCAAGAAAAAGAATGGATCGAAGGCAACTTTGGTCTAAGTCCACATGGAACCGATAACAGCCATGACGCTTCTAACTCGTTATCCGTGTACCCTGCTGGGCCTGCCACACCAGTGTCGCCCGTCAGTGGAAGGAAGCTGATGGATAAATTGAAGGGACTGAAGCTACAGACCAGTGAGAAGGACCTTTCGGCTAAAGATGGTGCGCTTGATCTAATTGCCAATGCCCCGGTGGGAGAGACTGACCAATTCCGCAGATTCCAACAACGCGCATCTTCTGTCGCCCCAATCGCCTGATGTCGCAGTGTCCTCATTCAGCTCTTTCCGCAGTTTATCGAATCGGGCTCCCAACTCAATGCTCACCCCAGATACAAATTTCACGCCCACTCCAAACCTTCAGGCAAGTCCAGCCGGTCTCGACTCGCTGAGACCTGTTGCATTCCACCCGCCAAACTTCATTCAGGAGGCTCAGCAATCGAGCGAGCTTGCGGGCTTCGCTGCGATCAGCTCGACGCCTGCCCTCGCACAAGTGTCTGGCGGTGACTCCGGCGACGACTTATTTGCCAAGGCACTGAGCCCACGCTCTCCAGACCTTCCTCGCAGCCCGTTCTCGCTTGCATGATATTTGCAAACGTGACTCGAACCTTTGTTTACAAAGCAGGTTTGAATTACTAAATGACTTTTCCTATGATTCCCCCCTCGGCGACGTGGCAGCGCTTGATATCACTGTTCTGCCAGACGATCACACAAATGATCGGCCGTATTCATGCCAACCTGATACCGTCTTCGCCTTTATATTCAGCACCTCATGTGCCCCTGTGTTTCCTAGCGCCTTCATGTTGATGTCATTCGCACGGGAACAATTTGCAATGTGCCATATGCTCAATAACAGGTCGCATTTGTACATAAATAAACGTTTACAAGACGTCATTACCGTGCCCAATCACTTCTAGATGCTTTTTGCGCACACAGATAAGACCAACTTTTGCCATTATATGTGGCTCACACTACAAACTGCAAATACCCAGATATCGTAGCACGCGCCAGAGGTTAGAAGTAAACTTCTGGCTACTTGTCCCCATCGTAACCCCCTTATCAACCCCACGACGACAAATATACCGAACAACAGCAGGAAAGAAGAACAAAGCTAGTGAGACAAAGAGCAAAGAGCAGGTGGTCGAGAAAGAGCAATCTACAACCACCCCGACAAGACCCCGCTCCCCCCATTCCCCCGCCCGCGGCAGACTAATTGCCCTTCTTGCGCTGACTTCCCTGACGACCGGGCTTACCCGTCGCTGCACCAGTTGTCGTCGCCGAAGCAGGCGCATCAGCCTCGGTCTTCTTGTGCTGCGCTGCCGTAGCTTCCGCCTCCGCCTCGGCCGCAATGGTCTCTGATTCCTGCGCATCCTTGCGCTCTGCATACCACTGGCCCGCCTGCAGGACCAGGACACCAACCAGCACCAGAGCCAGAATGGTATTGCTCGCGGCCATAACCTTGAGTGAGTCCTCACGACCCAGGATCTGGTCCTTGTCGTCCGGGTTGTTGGCGAGCGCGGCACCGTACTGGCCGGCCGAGGCGAGACGCAGACCCTTGATGATGTTGGCGATGTAGACGGTGACACCGCACATGTAGAGGACGAGGGAGGCGCCATCGAAGAGCATGTTGGACTCGGAAGGGCGGTAGAGCTTGGTGACCAGGCCGGCGAGGCCGAGGAAGATCACGATGTGCAGGATACGGGGAATCAGAGGCGGCGACGCATGCAGGAACCGAAGGTGGGCTTCGAAGTAATCATAATGCGAGGCCGGGGTAGGGACGGTCGACCACAGAATGGGATAATCATAGGGGAACATGGAGAATATAATGCCCAGGAAAAAGCAGGTTGCTGGATTGTGGAAGAGCTGCGTGTCAGTCCAATTGCAATGAGTGACTTTGGGTGGGTGGACTCATATTCCCCGGATTCCTGCATCGCGCCCACTCGTTTGCAAGCCAGTTGAGGCTGTAGTGGCCACCCGAGAGGAGGGGGAGGGGGAGGGGATATGAGACCACGGTTTCTGAGCAGTGAGAAGTGACTTACGGCACAGGATCAGGAAGGTCGCAAAGGACCCGCTTTTGAAAATCATTCTGAGCAAATTGGCAAGGAAGAGATGTGTTTAAGCGATCTTCAAGTGAAAGAGGAAGTGAAGACCAAAGAAGAAGAATCAGAAGCCAAAACAGGGGGCGCGAAGGACGAGCCGTAAAGGTTATCGCTAAGCGGGTAGCCGGTGCCAAGAGGAAGTACGCCCGAGCCTCCGAGATAAGACGAAAGATGGACCGAATGGGACCCAACTGGGGCTGAGGAGCTGTCAGATGTGGAGAGGCTGAAATAACCATCTTTCAAATCGTCGTGAGTCCAGACAGCTCAATTATGGGGTTACACCAATTGAATTCTCTTAAGATAGCAATTTTCAATGCCAGGTTCAACGTGCACTCGCAGAGCTGATGCAGAAGAAGTGAAGCTTTTGGAAAGTATAAGCCTAAATGGATCGTGCATTTCGTACGAAGCTGTGCAGCACGTGCACCACGTGCATCTCGTGACATTTGGATGCCTTGATGGAAGAGGGTTGAAGAAGGGTATCAAATATGTGAATAGTGGTATCGTTTTAGAAAAATACGCCCAGGTAGCATTCCTGGGATGCGACAGAATATACACAGAAATTATATATGTGAAGAATGAACCACCACCACCGATGACAGATGATGTTGCTTCTTCCTCATCGCTGATAACGAGGTAAAGATTCATCTGCATGGGCTGTTCCACCCACCAGTTGATCATCTTCGTCAAATTCGGGAGCCGTGGGAGCCGTGGGAGCCGTGGGAGCCGAGGCCGTCTCGCCAGCTTCTGGGACACTACTACTCGTAGCAAGAGGTGCGCTTGGGGCACTTGTATGTTGCAGTAGTCGCTGTCGCTCCAATTCCAGCTTGTCATCGGCAGGGACGGTGGGTTCACTGGGGCCAGCCCCATCACCGTTCGTGACCACAACGGTCTGCAAAGATTCGGCAGACCGAACCGGATGTGGGCCACCATTACCCATCGGAGATGAGAGATGTTCGTATGCATGTAAGTGATGATCGTCATCAGGCAGCACCGGTGCAGTGGGTTCAGCCACTTCCACATTGGATGGCCCAGCTTCGGGCTCAATGGGAGGCTGACTCGGTAATAGAGCTTCTTCATAGCGACGTAATCGTGTTTTCTCATCCACGGGCTCTGACGTCCCAGGAAGAGCGGACATGGAGCCGTCACGCAGAAAAGGCTGTGGAGCCTCTTCAGGATACTCGGGCCAGTGTCCCTCATATCCAAAGTCATACTCGTATTGCTCAGGCGCACCATAGTCTTCAGTTGCGGTCGCCATGGGGCTTTCATTATAGCCGTCTTCTCCCTCTCCAGAGGGGCCCGCAAGCGGGAACGGCTGAGGAGTTTGACGAGACCAAGTGGACTCCGCAGTCACGGACGGCTTTCGCTCAGCAGCTTGACGGCGCTGGCTGTCACGTGTCCCTACGACAACCTCAAAGGCCATTGATACAACTCCCTTTTCTCGGCGAATCTGGTCCGTGTCGAGGATGTTTCCACTCCAGTTGGACGTGATACCGCTCGCGCTGGCGTCTGCCGGGCTAAGGATCTGGCCGCTTGGGGAGAACGAACTTCCCCCGGAGACCATGTTGAGTCGAGGGAGGAATCGATCTGGAGAAGTAATTTTGCCGCGAAGATCGATGACAATTTCGACGTAGTAGCGAAAGTTGATCATTGCACCGGGCACACGGGTAATAGTTGGAAACGCATCCTCAGGTACGCGAATCGATGTTTTGACATTCGCCGTCATATTGCTGGGATCCACAATCAACGGTGCAAATGTCTGCGACATGTCTTTGCGAAAAGTACTGCTCGTCCGACTTGTGCCGAGAGTCAGACCCCCGAGTCCAGTACGTGAGCGGGGGTAACAGTCTTCGTAAACAGGTTTTTTGCCATTCGTCGTAGACCCTATCGGGATCGCAGGGTGCATGTCAATGCGACCTTGTCGATAGAGTGTGATGATGATGCCGTGCGCACTGCGCACCTGTTTCCAATGATTGATGGTCACCTTAATAGGCAACGTGTCGCCTGGTAGCACGCCTGCGCGCAAAACCTCGGCTTTGGCAACAATGGTTTTGTCAGATAGTGAAGGGGCCACACTGCGAGCTTCGCTGTTGCGGCCTCCTGTGCTTGCGGCCGAGCCTCGGTCGATCACGATCTGAAAACTCTGACTGCTCTCACTAGGGCGACTGGAAGAGCTGACATTGCTGAGGGAGGGACTCAAAGGTGGTCTAGAGTCTACGGAGCCAGCCGCACCGTTGGTGGGGACGTCGATCGACGAGCCATCGGGGGCTGCAGTTGCTTCTGAGTTGACTGATTTCACTTTGGACTTGGACTTGGTGCGCTTGGAAATCGGCTCCAATGTGACAACGCGAGCCTTGGGCGCAGGGAAGGGAGCTATGTCAATGTTTTCCAGGAAATTGACGCGCCTCCGGCAGGACATGGTGGGATTCATAGTCGTCGGCCGCGTAAGAGTCGACGTCAATGCGTATCCGATGGTACCACGCTCAAACTTTTAGGTAGAGGAAACATCAAAAGTCAGTACTCGCACAAGCCAGGACAGTTAGTGGGAAGGTTCATGACGCACATTGAGACTGCTAGGCAGCGCGTACGGAGGAAGCCCCATTTCGAAGCGAAATTTATAGATACCCTCCTTGAGACGGCCGTCGCCACAGAGGACAATCTCATCCTCGAATAAGGTAGACAAACCATTGCCCATGTACTCGGCTCCGCGGCGCCCACGACCTGGACCGAGGTATCCCAGGTCGGGGGGCGCTTCGCCGGCGGGAACCGCATTTTTGAAGACCTTGACAAATCCATGTAGACAAATCACAATATGCGTGATACGAACCGGCCGCACGACTGTTACCACAACCGTCCCTTTGATCACATCCCCGGGGAAGTATGAGCGCCACGGATCATCAGGGTCGATGTAGAAGTCGGTGATGCTGCGATTGCGACCGCCGAGCGGGGAGCGGAATTTGGCAAGGAAGGAGCTGCGGTTTCGACTGGCCGGCGACTTCGAAGGTTGGGTGGGAGGCAGAGATGACATGACACACGGCCGCAATCGAACTTCATCCGTAGACTATCGTGGCGACTGTGAGAGGGAGGGGCGAGGAGACCGTGGGCGCCGAAGTCAGAAGCGCCGTCATGCGGCGTGTGATCCAGCAGCAGACGCCCTAGGGAAGCAAGTGCGGAGTGAAGAGGTGACAAGTCCTCTGGGGGCACGCTCAAGCGATGGCTCGCGCTGGCAAGTTGAATCGAGGTACCAGAAGCTGTCCTTGGGATGGGAGGGGGAGTTCCTCAATCCAGTATAGTGTTGGATGAGCGCAATGGTCGCCTTGCGACAGTCTGCTGTCGGACAGGAACACGGCCCAATTCCTTATGACGACGCGCTGTTGATGCGTCTTCGCTGTGCGCACAGAGATCCTCCAGTCCAATAAAGGGAATGGCGAGTTATGACCAGATACCCGACAACCACATTGTTCCCCGAAAATGGATTGCAGTACCCGAAAGCGATCGGAGAGGTCGACCCAGCGAGATGCGCGTGTAGGTGGCGAAGGTGAATGTATCGCAGAGGCAGAGAGGCGGTCGTGGAGAGGTTTCACGTTCCCAAGTAGTGGGGAAGACTTCCGGAGAATGCAAGATCGTGAGGGAGGTGGTGAGAGGGGAAGGGAGGGGGCAGTTGGATGATGGCGAGGCGGTTGAGCAGAGTCCCTCACGAGGGCAGCTTGAGGTCGAGCCGGGACAGGAGACGAGAATGTGGGTCTTTGGAGCGTGGCGTCAGGCCCAGACTGGGAGAAGCTTAGGTAGGGAGAGAAGGGGTCGGAGGGAGATTCGGTCGAGGATTAGGGAATGGGCAGGCTCAGCCACAAATGATCGAGGAGAGGGGAGAGACGGAGAGACGGAGAGATAAGCGGAGTGGAAGAAGGACAGGCAGGCGGGAGGAGGGAGGTGGGAGGCGGATATGAGGCAGAGTAGGGAATGAGAAGAAGAAATTGGAAATGAAGTGACTAGTGCTGCTAGTGGTGGAAGAAGTCGGAGAAGAGGGAGGGGTGCAGGATCTTGCCCATGGAGAGGGCAAAGAGTCGAAGACTGAGGCCTCCTCACCACAGCCTCAAAACCCGGTCTGGTCGGTCGGGGCGAGAATGATTCTGTTACAGACAGCGGCAGGACACTCGGCTACCGAGTGGACGCGATTGAGAAAATAACATCTCACGAAATCTTGCGTCGCGACTTTTGTGCTCTACTATTCATTGATCAATACGACTATGCTTCGTTCTACTATCTAGGGTGCCTAATATCCTATACAGTAGATGATTGTCTCTGCAGAGGTAATAGGTTTAGTACGGGATCGTCAGCTAGTAGCCTAGTGAGTCCGCACCTATTTGTAGGACTAATACCAGGTCTTCTTCACTCCCTTTAGACTTTCAAGTACATGTCGCTTCAATAGTGGTCCGAAGTTTTCCCTCATGCGCAGTACGTCGACCGTTTTGAGGTAGTATAGGCTCCCTCAAAGCAGGCGAACCTTCATCACATACTCTTTTTCCGGTCTAGCTGAGATCTGGAGGACAACGCCCGGTCTGAAAGAAGCAATTCTCCCCTTCAGTCGCGTGCCTCTGTGATTTATCCTTTCCAGCCAAGCTTCTGTTAGCCTGAACCAAGAGAGCCGGCCAAGTAACCGCAGGTATGACCTGTTCAGGGTTGATTCAGGTGGACAGTTGGACAGTGGTGCCTCATGATCCCTGCTCCTCTTGACTCCTGTTCTTTTGACCTCGACGAGTCGACACAGATGATCTGGCGCCCTCCTGGAGATGGCCCCTGGTCGCTAGTGCGCTGGAGCGCTGGGAATGGAGTTGCCTGCTCATAAGAGAACTGTGCACATTGCACCAGCGCACTACAGTAGTAGGACTAAGATGTGACTGGTTTGCGATGTCTCAAATTCTACTGGATAGTGGGGGTGAAAAAGGCATCGTTCATTCGTCGTCAAGACCGGAGGATCCATCATGGCCCATGCACCAGGTTATGATAGCGTTAGATTTTTCCTTGGTTGGCGGTTTCATCTCGGGTCAACTGATTCGAGGCTAAGCTTTTTGGCTCACACTGCCCGTTCATCCATGTCGTTGGCGACTTGTTTCTTTCTGATAAGGTGATGATAGACACTTGGCCCTTCCTGCCTCAGACAGGTGTCCGTCAGTACCACATAGCCGTTCGTTGTGCGTTTTGACTTGCCTACTAGATCCATTCTCCTCTGGTGCACCAAAGTCATAGCGTAATAATGCCCAACGGTAAGCCCCACGGCTTCGCTCGAAGTATCCTCGGCGGGTGCCAGTAGTAGTGCTTTATTCCGCTGACACACATATTGAACGTCTCGGCTCGTGCGAACATTGTGTTCACATTGGGCTCGGCGGGACTGCACCGGTCACGCAAAGGGCGCTGTCCAAAGTTCCAAACCCCCAACCCCTACAATTCACGTAAACCCTCACCCTCGACGTATTCATCCCCGTAGCACTGTCGGAGAAGTTGATCAACGAGCTGCCGATCTCCCCCGGCTAGCTTGCGCATGTATTCCTCAAGGATGTAAATGTTGTCGGTCCACCGGAGCGCCTGCTGGCGATGGTCCTCCAGCTCCGTCTGCAGCTGCGATGCGCCCTTGCGGTCCATCGAGCCAACGGCCGACGACTCAGCCTTGCAAAGTCGGCGAATTTCCTCCTGAAGGTGGGTCTTTTGGGCTTGCAGGATGGCGCGCTCTGCATCACACGAGCTATCATCGCTGTCCTGTTGGCGCTGGGCCAATTCCGCGGCCAAGCCCGCCTCTGCGTCGGCACAGCCTTTCCGAGCCTTGTCCACATCCGCCCTCACCCGGGCCAAATGGCGCTCGCGATCTGCTCTGTCATCACTGTCGAAGCACCAGTACCAATTTCCACTGCCGATCTTTTCGACCCGAATCTTGTTCTCGTCGATCAGCTCTTGGATGAAATCCTTGACCTGGATACTGTTGATGGAGGCCACCGCGGGAAGCGATTTCTCCAAGTCCTTGAGCGTGTGACATGTACCCGTGGATTTCAAGTGAGCCACTATGAGATTCAGCTTTTCACTCTTGGAAAGCTTCGGCGGCTGCCACAAATCGAGGACGCGTCAGTTGTTACGTTCTCAAGCTTTCATAGACACTCCTGAAACCACACGCTAGTTGAAAGCAAAATGTCGCAATCATTGAGAAACCTACCATGGTGGGGACTGGGAGAGGATCCGCACGCTATGATCCCGTCCTCTCTTGTGACGTGTAGAGTTCTCCTGGATGAGATCGTCTTCCAATGAAGCTTGAGTTGGGTGTGGATTCGACCCAAATGGGATAGGATGTGAGAGGCTAAGCAACAAGATTGAAGCTTGATTGAAAAGCCAAGTCGGTGAACTCGAAGTGCGAAGTGTGAAGTGTGCCCCGTCACCTGCCGGGCTTGATGTGATGAGTCCTGAGGACTGAGAAGTCACGGTACTTTCGAGTACAAGACTTGCCTTCTAGTTTCAGTTGCTACACCACTCAACAGAGTCAACACGAGTACTGGAAGCGACTGCGCATAGTCCCCATGCATCAATGTTTCTCGCGTAGACGGACGCTCTGAACGCCAAACTCAGTCTTTCTTTCGCGGCCATTGGTCACTGGTCTCGATTTGAGTTTTTGGTCGTTGATCTAGTTGACAACTTGACTCAATGTGCTACAAGCAAACTCATCTGACCTAGGGTTTTCAATAATACTTGCTTTATTACTGTACTCATTCACCTTGGAAATTGGGAAATACCAGCGATTTATTGAAATAGAAGGGCATCAGCACTAGACATCAAACCAGCCATAAGGTGTTTAGAGTAAAAGCTTCGAGAAACACTGCAGGTGGAGATGTAGAAACGTTGATATGCGAGTTTGACGGAAGCAAGGGTGAAACGGCATACTTCCGTCACTCTTTTGAACTTCAAAGCTGGTGCTGGCGTTGGGAGGTTCTGCTATAGCTCTCAAAACAGACGTGGAGTAACATTCGGCGACTCGCACTGGCTGTGAGGGCCGCTACCTTCCCTCTGGCCATTGTATCAACTATCAACTGTCCACTATCCGGTATGGCAGTAGCGGACATGAGGGGGGTACCACGTCTTGACTGCAACAAGTACCATATTGACCTCTGTGCCTGGCAATAATCTGCCTTTAAGCGTGGACCTAGCCACTCGTTCTTGATCATCCGACTTTTTGATCGTGGAGTCGTGCTTCGGGGTTGGGGCATCCGGCGCTGGATCTATCCTTCAAATGGTGCGGACAGTGAAGGGCTTTAACGTGGTCGATAGACATAGTCCAGCTTCATGAGACATGGTCGTTCACAGAACAGAATCACACTGTCGAGTCTGTACTCTGTATTCGAACGCGTCGGAGATCAAAACAGTTGAGACGTGTAGGTGGCTCTGGGCCAGGTTGCTCGAAATGGCGATGATGATGAACTCAATACTTTATTGTTGAACGGCCTCTCACCGTTCATCGAGCTCAGTGTCTGCATCCGCATTCGTAGACTTGCTTCTGATCTTACGCCGTTTCTTCTTGCGCCCAGTATCCTTGGGCTTCTCCTGCACCTGGTCCACATCCACGGCGCTATTGAGTGATCTTTTCCTTCGCTGACTCGAATCTCGTGATCGCGGTGCAGGCGCGGCGTCGCGCTGTGTAGCCATACCATGAAGATCGTCGATCAACTCTTCGCCCTCCACGAGAACGAGATCGCCCGTCTCTCCTAGAGCCTCTTTCGCCATCTCCTCCACGAGTATGCCCAACGCGATCAAGGCTGTCTCGTCCATACTGTGGTGATCGTGGAGTCCGTGGTCGTCTGTCGCGAATTCGTAAAAGTCGGCCGCGTAAGCGTGAAGAGCTTCGAGAACGTCAGACCTCGGCAGAGCGCGTTGAGACGGTAGTCTTTCATGAGCAAAGTATTCCGCCTCGTCAAAGTCGATCGGGTTGTTATGTGTGCGAAATAAAACTTCCTCCGGTCGGAGCGATCGAGCTCCTGACGACGCGGTGTCGCGATATCGAGACGCAAAAGCTTCGTCGGGGTGGTGGCCCTTTCGATTGACTCGGCCTATAAAGACAGTTAGACGGTTTTCCTCGTGGTGAAATGCTGCGCACCCGAATTCTCACCAGCAACGGCATCGTAAACATTGGTGGTTCGTCGTGTCTGCTTGTAGGAATACTCGCTCTCGACGGCATCGGTGTCGTCCTCGGGAAGCGCGAGAGAATGCTCTCGAGTCGCATTACCCGACTCGCTATATGCCATTCTCGAGCGCTGCCAGCAGCTTCGAGCTGAGTCTCCGTGAGCGATTGATCAAAACAACCTGCATGTCATCCTCACCTGCGGGTAACAACGGTCGCCGCGACCTATCCAAAATTGATTGCGCCGGCAGAACTTTGACCCGATGAGGTCATCCGTCCAAAGGACTGGGGTTGAGCCTGGACTTGCTGCATGTATGAGATTCCGGACCGTGGCTACAAAGGCAGCTCGTGTCTTTACACACTTCACCTCGTGCTGTGTTTTGCGCCGGCCCACCACGTGAATGTATGAATGAATTCCTATCTTCTTAACAGAGCCCTCGGGTCTGTGCTGCCAAAGACATTTCACACTGCACATACCACCCAGCTGGTGCACAATCTCGAGCCCGCGCCGGGAATTCGATTCTCCAACCGCAGAGCTGCGCCTGAGTCCAATAACCGAGATGAGCGCGATGGGACGCCCTTTGATGAGGAAGATGGTGCGACGTCTGAGAGTGTTGTGGGCCATCCCTCCGGGGTGAACTGTCTGGCAATTGATCAATTTGAGGGCCGTTAGTATGTTCATCAAGGGCCTATCCGCTATTATCGTCAATCAACTTCTAACAAGGATAGTATGATCTCTGGTGGCGCAGATCCATCCATACATCTTTGGGATCTTGAAAGCCGAGGCTCGGATCTTCATCACATCCATCGCGCATGCGCAACAGTCAGCAAGTCCTCACACAAGGACGCACACACACATGCGATCACATCGCTTTCCATATACCCATTCGACCCAGTCCCGTCCACAATCTTTTCGACATCTCATGACTGCACATTGAAACTGTCGGCTCTGGAGCCACCTGGAATTACCCCGGTACATACTTTCAATCTTGATTGTACGCCGTATGCGCACTCTTTCTCATCACAGCCCGGCTCGACCTTGCTGGTGGCAGTCGCTACCTCCGAGCACGCTGTTCGACTGGTCGATCTCCGATCCGGGCTAGCCACGCAAGGGCTACCAGGTCATAACGCTGCAGTGCTGTCCGTTGCGTGGGCCCCTCATCGGCCGCATCTCCTCGCATCCGGATCCGTCGACAACCGAGTCATCATCTTCGATGTCCGCCGGGGAGGCCACAACTCTGCAATCGCTACTCTGGATATGGACGATCCGGTCGGCCTAGCAGTTCCAGGATCTGGCTCGGTCCCCGAGTCCTTCGAGAGTCGAGCTGCTTTCTCACGAAACGCTCGTGCGCACAATGGGCCCGTCACTGGGGTGCGGTGGACTTCCAACGGCAGCCACATTGTCACGACGGGCCAAGACTCGCGGATAAGGGTTTGGGATTCGGGGACTGGCGCGAACACCTTGGCCCATTTCGGCCCTCGAGTTCGAAATAGCTCCACATCGCACTTGGCCGAGCGGGCGCCGCTGCTTGTTCCGAAGAGCTTCACGGGGCCCGGACAAGAGACGTTACTGTGGCCCAACTTCAACGAACAGGATGATCGAGGTGAGATCTTCATGTTTGAGCTCCGGGAAGGGACCTATATCAAACGTCTCCGGGTGCCGGGGCTGATGACCGGGTCGCATGTGGCCCGGGGTCGTGCGAGTGCACTTAGCGGCGCCCGTATCAACGACCTAGCGTGGAGAGGTAACGGGGCCTCCGGTGAGGGTGCTGAACTATTCTCAGCACACGGCGATGGCACTATCCGCACCTGGGTCTCACGTCAACCGGACGATGAGCCGGACGAAGAAGAAGAGGCGGAACTTGCTGATCGCAAGAGAAAACGTCAAGTACTGGACGAACTTTACAGGGGGTTTGTTGCGCCGGAATTTGATCTACAATCTTGACCTGATTATCTCTTCAACATGGTTACATCCTCTTTTCAACGCGAGTCATGCTGCCCTCTTATTGATGAATACATCAGGGAAAATTCATCATCAGTGCATTGATCATCGTAAACATACACAATATAACGCTTCTCAGCCCACGTCTCCCATGTCACCCAAGAAAGAAAATCACTCATTACGCAACTGATGCTCCCCCACATTCTGCGCAGCATCCTCGTCCTCACGCGCATACGTATCAAACCGACTCCGAGTCTGCACATGATGCTTCTCATCCCGAGCCCGACTCACCCCCTTGGGCTCATTATTCCCCATAAAAGCGCGCTTCGACTCGATCGTCGCGGGCAACGAGTCCCCCGTCCCGGTAACCACCTCGCCCGTCTGGCCGACGTCGCGCGTGGAACGGGGCAGATCGGTGGCATTGTCCGCGGCAAAGGCCGTGGACGGCTGGGCGAGACCCGCGTTTTCAAAGGCGGGATTGTCGGCGCGTTGGTCCGGGCGAGGGACGGACGGGAGGACGTTCATCTTGCCGGCGTCGTTGGGGATGGTGGTGCCGTTGACGGCGAAGTCGGAGAGGCTGCCGCCTTGGTGGGGGTTTTGACCTTGTTGGACCATGTTGGAGAGTCGGGACTCGGAGGATTTTAGGTGGATGGGAGGGGGAGTGCAGGGTTTGAGGATTATTGGTTTGATGCAGACGGTGTATATAGTGTTGTTGTAGGGTTTCGCGTGCTGGTGGAGTGAAATCCGATGGAACGAGAGCTCGCAATAGCTTTGGGATGAAAAGGAAAATGTATGTTTTGAAAGAGACTTCTATCTGAGGGTAATTATACTGCTCAGACACTCAAGCAAAGCAAAACAAATGAACACATCTTCCAAGATCTAACCCGATTGATGTCACCGACCTTGTCATACTGCATGGCCATGCGATGATGAACGGATGATCTCACAGCGTAGGAGGGAAACCCTTGAGTCACCATGACGGGTCGTAGCCCTTCCACGAGTGAGGATGGAGAATACCGGAGATCGTTCAGCGATCGACAATCGTTGAAAGAAGCATATCTGCAGGAGTTTTCTCCACACCCGATCAATGATGGCCATTGAGGCGATTTCATCGTGTCGATGCAGAGAGCTGCGGGAGCTGGATCGAGGCGATGGGACCCACAGGTGGAAACTCGAGAATGCATGGGACGGTCACTGGGGTGTCACATGATCTTGAAATCCGGGCGAGAGGATGTATGAACAAATGATGACCTCAAAGGACCGGGGATATGGGGTGCCAACGTGTGGGGAATGTACGAGATCAGTCCTAAGGAGCTTGTCTGTGGTGAGGCTTTTAGATGGATTGATATTGTATTGAGAATGAAAAAGACAGAAGACTCATGACGCCAGAACATGGAACGACATTGAACATTATCAAGACATCGAGTCTCTCTGGAGACCGTGTGGAAGACTGAAAAGAAGACATTAGAACTGCCGAGCGCACGGCAGCACGAGAATGCGAAAGAAGGCCCAGTTACAAATTGATGCACCCGGGGCGGAGGGAAACATCATTTTACAGCACAAAGGCCAGAACACCGACAACGGCAGCAACCGCAGATGCAAACCCACCCGAGATGCGAGCAGCACTACCTTCAAACATGTAAGCGGAGGGAGTGGCGGACCCAGATGGGCGGCCTGAAGGATGACGGAGAGCATCAGCACCACTGGGGACAGCGTAGCTGCCGGATGGGGTGGCGTAGGCCGCGGGAGCGTGGGACGAGGAGGCAGCGGGCACATCAACTGGGATCATGGAATAGCTGGCAGGAGAGCTGGCGGATGACTGCGAGGGGTAGGGGTAGTCATAGCTGGAAGAAGGAGCCGCGGAGCTCGGGTGGTAGCTGTTCTTCTGGTCGACAGGTGGCTGAGCGGCATGAGAGGAAGGTGTAGCGGTGGGCATCTGCATGGCATGGGACTCAACAGGAGTCGCGTAGACGGTCACTGTGGACTGGACATCCTTGTACTCGGTCTTGGTTACGGTGTGAACGACCTCGTGAGTCTGGGGCATGCACTCAGAGGCATCCTCAGACTGAGGGCCGTCCTGACGGGTGGGGTCAACAGAAGAAGGTTCCTCGGACTCGGTCATGGGCCCTTGGGGAGCTTGACCGGACTGGTTGTCGGCGGCGATAGGACCGGGGTGGCTGATGGGAGTGTTGTCCTTGTAGGGCATCCAAGGCATGTGAGGAACGTCGTTCTGAGGAGGGGTGACAGTAGTGCTGTCAACATTGACGGCATGGTTATCCTCGTGGTGCTCCTTGACATCGGTATCAACACCTACGGATGTAGGGTTGAAGAAGTTGCTACCCTGATCGTCGCCAGAAGGGCCACCGATGGCGGTGGCGCCGCCAACCGCACGGTCAGGAGAATAGGCACGACGGAACGGACCGCCATGGGTGACAGCAGGACCATGACCGCCGTGGGCAGGGAAGTGAGGTGGAAGGAAGACATTCTTTTGATCGATGTCAACCGAATGATCGTCCTCATAGTGCTCCTTGATTGAAGTCGCGACATCGACATTGATGGGTCGAGAGAAGGTCTGTCCCGCATCGTCCCCAGACGGACCACCGATCACAGTGGAGCCGTGCTTCCAGGGAGCCGCATTGCTTCCAGGGCCACCGATGACTGTGCCACCAACTTCAGGTGCCTGACGCTTGTCAAAGCCATTGCCTTGGGGACCAGGGCCACCGTGAGCACCAGGCCCGCCATAGGGACCTGGGGCGTGGAAAACGGGAGGAGGGTGGACATCCGTCTCCTTGACCTTGATCGAGTGGTCATCCTTGGAGTATTCATCAACACTAGTCTGGATGTTGGCGATCATTGACATATCGAAGATTTGCCCCTCATCGTCGCCGCTAGGTCCGCCGATGACCGTGTTGCCAAACTGAGGAGAGCGGCGCTCGTGGAATGGGCCAGCGCCAGGTGCGAACATTGGAGCTCCGTGGCCGTGAGGAGGAAGGTGGATATCCGTCTCCTTGACCTTAATGGAGTGGTCATCTTTGCTATACTCGTCGACATTGGTCTTGGTCTGAACATTGACACCAAAGTCGAAGCCACCGTCCGCATCATTGCCAGAAGGCCCGCCGATGACAGTCGCACCCAGAGGAGCAACATCGCCGTTGGCGTCGCCCTGCTAATCACATCATTAGTCCTGGCCTCTCAAAAGTAATTCGATGTGTCTGGGTTGATTGGTATAGTGACTCACAGGGCCATGCTCCATGGCCTGCGCGGCAATAGCCAGCAAGGCGATGGGGATTCCACCAATGAAGCCCTTCATTGTGATATAGAGATGGCGCTTTTCGAAGTTACTGAGAAATAGAAGGAGGATGGATTGTGCGAGATTAGTGGGCAGCAATCAGTATTGGGCCACAGGGTTTGGTTGAAATGAGCGTGATGCACAATGATATCGAACGAGATTGCATAGCTGCTGGATCTCAGACGAGCTTTAATACGTCCATTCATGTTTGGCATTCAGAGCCTCTTGCGCCATGCTGAGCCAGGAATGTTTGGCTTTCGAGCCCAGATGAGACCCTGACAACCTGTCAATGCCGGTCATACCGACAGAATGCCAGTGGGAATGAACCATCCGGGTTCTCGTCACAACAAATGCCCCTGGAATCACGGCGATGATGTTTGTTTTCCCAAGTTGAAGGGCATCGTAACATTCTCAAGTTCATGCGGAGCGTAGATCGTCCAGGAGCTGGCATTTGGCAGGGGGGACCGGCCACCCTACCAAGGCGAGAAGCCTGCCTGTCCTTTGTTGCTCCTGTTGATGACGGGTGTTGACAACGCGGAGAGTCAATTGTAACTCTGTAGCACAAGGTGTCCTGTCTCCCAAGTGTACCTTGACAGGAGATGCAATTTCCGGGCATTTTTCAACTTCCCGCGCAACACTTACAGTACTGGCATTCTCAGTGCACTGCTCAGACATATTTTCCGATGCTCGGGATTCGAGATTGGGCAACGATTCTAGGGCAACGATTCTAGGGCAACGATTCTAGGTCACAAAAGCATTGTCTTGGCCAATCTCGATCATCGAGCAATATGCAATGACGGATGCTACCCAGTGCTATCAGACGAGTAGTTCCTATTCCCATACATAGCCATGCCAACACCGTAAAACAAAAGGCCGATTGATTCCCATGCGCGACGTGAGGTCACATGCTTTTGCTAGTGCCCTGCGACAAGAGCATACCGCAGATGCTTCAATCGCACAAGGCTGCTCCCATAAACGCAAGACGCTTTTGGCAGATTATGAGACTACAATGGCAAGGCCAGATCAGATGGCTAGCGTCCATCGAATTGGAACGCCAGACTACCATACTACCAAGACTGAATTCTCTTCTAACACAAGGGATGTGTCCCGTCTTCGACATTCCCCTCCCATCGCCCTCACTGAAGAAGACCCAACGGGAGGCGAACTTCCTATCGGGGAAGTTACTCTACAGAGCCGATCAGCCCCGAAGGGCCGAAGGCAACCCGTCGCCGTGAAACTCGTCTCGAAGACCGAGCGGGGGTCGTGGCAGGCTCTGATGCTTTTTTGATGAAGAAAGAAACAAAGCCAGCTGGGAATTTTCGGCGGCTTTTTGTAGATGCGGGTGGGGTCACGTGTTCGGCCCGTTGTTGTTCCTGCAGTGGGGAACTTGCATCTCCCGAGTTACGTGCGGGTCGTCGAGGTCTCGAACAGTCTCATCGCGAGGGGGAGCTGGATCCGGCTCTGGCGTCTGGATTGCGTGGGTTGCGATGCATTTATACCTTGAATCTGATCTTTATTCTCTACAGTGTGATGCCGAGTCGCTGGTATGGCGTCTTGGGCAAAGCCTTCATGTATTGGGCGATCCACACATTGGGGGGGGGAATGTGCTCAAAGTCCGCTCATGAAAAATAGAACCGGTGGAGGATCAGCAGAAGCTACTGTACAGGAATCCGACAGCGTGACAAACACGAGCATTCTGAGAGCGCTGAGCCGATTTGTATGTGAACTTGACAAAAACTCCAGCGATGCATTTGGTGGAAACTAGGCATTAACACGCTCGAACGCACTGGACGCGGTAGGTGACCCTCTGGATCTGACCCACGGGAAGAGGGACAATCACAAGTCCCAGGTATGGAACAGCGCCCGCGCTGAACCTGATCCCAGCATGGCTCTACTATATGATGGGACCGCGAATTGTCTCTGTGTGATAACGAAGGTATAGTCTCTCACGATCCACTTGAGACTGACAGCCAACAGTGACTCGGGTTCCTATCGCCGAGGATCAGCCATTTCCCCCAAGTTCCGGTGCAATGCCGCCAGTGAGATCTCCTTTCGGGTGTGTCTGGCTTCAACTTAGGAGGGAGAGGGGGAGCTCAAGATATGGGAACTTACCATCACCCGCCCATTGCCACCTGCTGTGTGCTCTTTCTCCAGGAGGCTCCACCCACCGCAGCCGTGATTCCCAACGCGATGGCGATCATTGTGCCCACGATCACGATGGCTATGACTGCCTTCAAGGCCAAGCGTTGTCGCGGCGTGAGAGACTGTAAGCATGAGCGGCGCGGCTGATCTGCTCCCCACAGCTTGGACCGTCGAGGGCTCTCGGTTCTCGTGGTCGTCTGGTATGGATCGATACTCTCGATATCTCGAAGTCCGCTACAGTCGCGCTCGGTGTGCTTCATCTCCAGCGTGAGTTGTTCACGCGACGCGGTCGGCGACTCGTGTGGGTAAAATGGCGAGTAGGGCTTTGCGCCCAACGTGGGATCAAAGTCCTGACATCGGCGGTCCTCGTTGGTCGGGGTGGATTGGATTGAGAGTGACGATGCCTCCGTGGTTGTGGTCGTCGGCGTCTTCTCTTCATCGTTGTTCTTGTGGGGGGTGGTCACTTGGGCCCCCATCACGCCGAGGCCATGTAAATCCATTGGTGATTTGGAGCAACGGATGGCAATGACGATCAAGCCTTCGATTGGGAGTGTGTATGTGTGTGTGTGTGGAAATCAGGGACTTTGAACAACACTGGGGAGGTTTTGTCACTGGATCTAATTGAGAGGATAATGGAGACCGGGTATGTCTGTAGATACGACCGGAACACTTGCGCAACTTTCCGAGGAGGAGGGGGGGGGGGGAGTGTCAGTGTTCAAGAATCCACAGCAGTTCAATTCCCTCGTCCGTCGAGGGGGGGCGAAATCAAGAGCGAACAATGCCTTGGATGTGCAGTGCAGATGAATTGGTGTCATTGTGGAATGCGTCTCCTCTGCTCATCCAGGGGTTGAACGGGGGTACCCTCCCCCCGATGGGCAGGCTAGTTGCCCGCCCCGACGAAAGCAGCCACGCAGACCGAGAGAGAACGAAAAAAAAAGACCACTAGCTGGTCCTTTCCCCGCTTAACGTCCTCCTGAGAATGGGCGAAACACTATTTACTGTAGTCCGTCCATCCTGAATGCCTCTTTCCCCCCTCAAAGCCATTTGGCTTTTTCGAGGACCGTGGACGGTGTCGCATGGTTGGAGAAAGTCAACTCAGGCATTGGTCGCTTGGCGCGTAGAATGCTGTCCGTGTCGGGACCGGACAAGTCCCAACGGAATACGTGCTAGTGGGAAATTCTCTGGAGCAGGCTTAATCGCTCTGAGGACTTTGGTCTGTTGCATGGGAACATGGATCGATCATGATAAGGATGATGAATCTGTCTCTGCACGTCTGCACGCCTGCACGTCTGCAAGTTTATTTTCCGTCGGTCAACAAACATCCCTGGATATCTGAGTTCCACGGATCCTCGAGACACATTCTTCCTCTGGTGAAAAGGACGGTGTCATGTTTTATGAACCCTTTCCCCCTCCTTAGGAACCCGATAACATGCCGATCGAGAGCGTTGCTAGCCTGCTACCGTCTCGAGGCCTCGACAGTTGACCCTGAACATTGTAGCAGTAGCACCCTCGAGCCCGTCTCGTTGCAGGTAGATTAAACGTGGCTCGAGGCATGTTCAAGACCAATGGACAACCTCCGTCTCCACCGACCAGCTGCCAAGATGCAGTAGTCAAGAAGCTACCGTCCCAAAGGGTCTCAAGACTCCCCTCCGACCACCGGGTTCAGCGCGTATTCGGGCCCGGGGTCGGCGAAACTACGACCATCCTCTTGCAGCTTCCCCATGACTCAGTTCATGATCTCGACATCTTGCGGTTCATGCCCGTCCCAAGCATACAACATAGTCAGACAAACCAGAGGGGGGTCTGGCAGAGAGAGAGGAAAACGCATCGCCAGACCAGTCATCGTGATAGTCTTGACAGATACAAGCAATCTAGGCAGAAGAGTTAAGAATCAAAATTCAAAATTTGAAATTTTTTTTTTTAAAAAAAAAAAGAAAGAAAAAAAGAAAAAGAAAAACACGGTTCCTGCGGGGGACGGGGACCCGATGAAAGCGTCGGGCTGGACATCTCGCCCCAAAGCAGCCCTTGCGCTCTGATTGTGATTCGCCACCATGCCCTTTTAGATTGATTACGAGGCCAAGAGAGCGCCGGTTGGGCAAATTGAAGCGCGGATGGATCTGTTCTGGGGGGGGGGAACGAGATCCCTTGAACGGTGGACTCCGTACCTGGTCTGAACATTTTGGTGCTGTGGGCCTTGGACGAGCCTTGGACTGGCCTCTCCTGATCTGGGACCGGACCTGCCATGGCTGGTCCTCCGAACATTGGAACTGGGAACCGAACCTAGTTTATTTGGGATAGCCTTCTGACTTGCGCGGCCTTGGCCACGTACCTAATCGTCGGCTTGAGCACTATCGCTCTGCAGATCGATTCTCGGGCAGCGTACGCCGTCCAGCCGTCCAGTACACGACACATGGACTGTCTCACTGGATGATTATGTTTCGTGACGTCGCTTCGGGGCAGGCAAATCTGCCATTCATTTTCAATCACGAGGTGATGGACTCCAAATTCTATCCTATCCTCTCCCTGGAAGCTGGCGTCATTCTTTTGAGATTGAACCTGAATCCCGGGTTCAACAGCGCAGATACGCCAAGGTTAGTTTACCGAGGGGGTAGGTTTGAGGATTGGATAGTAGGTATGGCCTTGAGGTACTTTAGATCGTTAACGTCTCGTCAGTAGGTTAGTTATCAATTAGGACTGACTTGGTACTGTAGTACTGTAGTGCAGTAGTACAGTAGTACTGTAATACTACTCCTAGTCTACTATGAACCTAGTCGACTACGACATGGGAAGTTGGGAGGTGTTCGGGTACCGCCCGTTATATATTGTTGCTGCCGCTCCGGGGACATGCAACCCTAACTTGAACCTAGTCACCTACTGTAGTCCTACTACGACTGTAAGTGTACACTGTTGCCTGTACACTGTACAGTGTAGTTGTACTATGGAATTACCCGACCTACCCCCGAGTGACCCGACTTGATCTTAGATGGCAACCAGATCCATCCGCTTGCGCAGAATCCTGCATGGAGCTAACAGCAAAAACGTCTACCCGTCCAGCATTCTAGCATATCCTCTGGCAGCCAAAGAGAAATCGAGAAATCCAAAAAAATAAAAAGAATCATAAATCCTTCGACTGTCTCTGACTCTGATAACCTCATCTGGGCACGGGGCACGGGGCAGTCGTCGAGCGGGACTGGTCGACATTGAGGGAGGGGGAAGGGCGGCTTCCACCATTTAGTTAGTGGAGATTTCAACCTTATCGCCTTCAGTGTGCTCTCTGCTCTCTGCTCTCTGCTCTCTGCCTTCCCGATAGAAACCTTCTCTATCATCGATCTGATCCTCCAGCAGCCAGCTTATCTCAATGGACCTCGGGTAAGCGACCCCACTCATGGATTAGTCGAGTCCTCACGCATACCCCGCATGTCAACCGATCAAGATAATCTCTTTCATGGAGTGCTGGCCCTGGGACGCTGGGGAGGGGTGTATTTTCCAGTCGATAGCCCGAGCGCTACACTAAGAAAGTGGTGGACGACCTAAGGATGTCGAGTCGGTCCAATGTGGCTAGGTGCTGGGACCAAGCTGCTACTAGTCCAACCTCGTCCTACACTTCTACGCGAATCCTTTCCTCTCCTCCGAGGCCCTCCTCCGAGGCAGACGCATGACAAAGGGTGGAAAAATCCTTTTCTCAAGAAAACCTAACCCAACACAATTTGATTCCAACCACCTCCCGAATTGCTAGCACGCGATAACGCCCGAGTCCGACGACCAGTACGGGACTCGGTGCGTACTAATCATTCGACTCTCTATTCACGGCGAATGGCCGCTTTCCTCGCTGCAACAGCAATAACACCGCAGGCAGTTGAACGGCGGCAAAGCCAATCATGACCCGAAGCTGCGTCGTGTAACTGGCTGCAATCACATCCTTGACCTCCCGTTGTAGCGCCGTCCCCAGACCATTGATGAGTCCCACGTTCTCGAGGAGAATGTGCAGCTCGTGGGGGAAAAGACGCCCTGCAGATGACTGGACAGATGGCCGTTGAGGATATTCGACGCGATGGCAAGGCCGATAGCGCCGCCGAGAAAGCGGAATTGCACAACGGTACCGGTGGCAATGGCTGGAAAGATCCCCAAGGGCCCCCCGGGTTAGTGCCCGATCTCATCAGGATGGGGGTCTTGTCAGGCGAGAGCTCAAACATACCAAGATCTCTGTCCTCGACAATGTACGGTGTACAAAGCATCAGCACGCCTATGATGATCCCGATCCCTATGCCAGCGATCACACCGTAAACAATGTCCGTGGCGTGAAAGCCCTCCGTCGAGGCAATGGTCGATAGCAGGCCAATGCCGACCGTGTGGACGATACACCCCACTAGGAGCGAGTAAATAAACGGTATGCGGCCCTTGGCACTGATAAAATTGATGAGCGCCGCCGCCGCCGCCGCCACCGCAGAGTAGCCGATGAGATAGACACCCGAGTCGAGGGGTGACTTGTTCAGTAGGATCTGAGCTTGTTGTGGAACGTACACCAGGACCACGTTGAAAGGGGCCCCCGTTACGAAAGAGGTGCTGTATTTCGGTGGTCAGCTGGGGTTCGTGGAAAGAAAACCAAAAAGGGACTGTCAAACGAACAAGAGGATGCCCATCCACGCTCGGTCTTGGAACCACCGCCTAGGGAAGATCGGGTCTTTCCCAGGAATATCGGAGATGTAGATCTCCCACGCGAAGAAAGCGATCCATGAGATCCCTGTCAAGACAAGAAGTGCGATCGAGCCCCCTGAAGACCAAGAGAAAGCGAGATTGGTCTCATTGAAAACGGTCACGATCAGAAACGAGCCGGTGATGATCAGCAGGGATCCCACCAGGTCCAGATGTACAAATGATCGGTAGGACGCTCTCGTTCTGAATGAGGGCTTGTGTTGATCGAGTCCGAAGTTTTTGGGCATCGCCACAAGCACTATGATGATAGCAATGGCGCAGAGCGGTGCACTATGCGACTCAGTCAGGATCAGACCCAATTCATATCCTTGATGTCAAAGTCGCTTTACAGGTCGACTTACTTGATGAAAAACACCCATCTCCAAGCCGAATCTTCCGCAAGAACTCCTCCGATGATTGGACCGATCAAGCAAGCCAGAGCCAAGCAACAAGACATGAGAGCGCTGTAGAAAGGTAATTTCTTGCGGGGGGCAATCTCGTAGATGCAAAGGATAGCGAGCGCGTAAGCACCGGCTCCGCCAATGCCTTGCAATGCTCGAAAGACAATCCTAGAGAAGAAAAGAAGACACAGTCTCAGTAATGGAATACTCCCCCCAGGGGGGAGGCTTCTGAAATCTTACAGTTGGTCCACAGTCTGAGCACACCCACACGCGATTGAAAAAACGAGAAGGATCACCAGAGCGGCGATGGTAGTATGCTTGCGTCCGACGATATCGCTTGCTTTGGTCCATATCGCCATGAAACCTAACCAGACCCTCGTGTCAGTCCACCGGAGTCACGATGAACAATCCAATATTCCCAGGGCCGCCCAGAAACTCATCGCACTGGCCGACTAGGCTCACAAAAAACGGGTGGAAAAGGCGGATTAAAAGATCTTCAAGTGGACGAACATGAAGCTTACCAGTGTAAGTTGCGAGGTATCCCGTGATGATCCAGCTTCGCTTCTCAAACCCCTCCAAGCTGTCTGTGATGTTTGTCAAGGAGGAGCTGACAATGGTCACGTCCAAATTCGATAGAAAGAAGCCGATCAGGAGCCTATGCGCACGTTAATTTTGATTCCGCTTCCTTTCCCTTGACGACAGACTGTCCCTCGACTTTCAATTCATCACGCACCCTATGGCTGTGAGGACGAGCTGCCATCCCTCCAGATAGACAACATCATTTCCAGGCGACTGTGGTCGATGAATCGAGCCCTTTTCGATCGTCGAGCTGTCTCTCGTGTCTCTCGTGTCACGTCGGCAGAGTCGCACCTCTTTCTTCTCCCCGACTGGATCAGCGAACTTGATATGGCCTGTCATGGCGAGTATCTGGACGCCACATTCAAGACTGCTGGCAAAGACTGTCGACAGAGTGCAAGTAGTGCTAGTAGGTAAGGAACGAAAATACAGCCATAGCCAGGCACCGAAAGTTTTGAAAAAGAAGGACACTACAAGCGAACAGTCTAGGTAGGACACAACCCCGCACAAGTGCATTTAATCACTTGAAAGGGGGTATCATCAGTACAACACGGTCAACGCGTGATGACAGAATGTGGAATCATTCATGGGAGGAGTGATCGACGCCGATCATTGAACCTTGGACCAGCATCGGCCGACTTGGCAAAAAGAGCGTGCATTGCGGTATACCTTGGACGACAGAAACACTAAGAGACTGTCAAGAATCGTGTGACGTGACAGCGCCCTCTCGCTCTGAGTTGACAGTAGTTTGGGCTTTGTATTGTTCAGTATGTGTGCCTGATATGCGTGTTTGTTGATGTTTTCTTCGTGGCTGAGTACTGTGCCTATGCAACGAAAGGGGCGGAGCTCCCTTTTTTGGGGGGACGGACTCGCTGCACCACTGCGTCATCAGGACGGGCCTGCGAGAATCTTGCAAATCGCAACTTGTTATATTTTCGAACAGGAACCGCCAGCACCGGCTCCTTACCGAGCCCGTTTTCCTCAGACTGCCCCCTGAAACACGCCGGCAAAAGAAGCCATGCCAGCTTGATGGTTGTTGAAGGGCAGCGTGGTTCCCGCAATCCAAACTGCAAGTCAGACTCTTCCACCAGCTGGAGATTGTCGTCCCACGCTGTAGGTCTTCACGTCAAGAGAAAGGGATTGTTGGTCCTGAATCTGGATGCGCGATAAGCGTCAGGGAGAAGAGTTCACGACGTGCCAGGCCCGCTGCCCCCTGGCGTCTCAATAACTCGGCCACTAGCGCATCTGCCGAAGTGATCTGCAAGCCGGGGTCGAATCTATCCAGTCTAGATGCAGATCGACTGGGCCCACATCGATAAGAGTGAGGAAGGGTCATGATTTCCCGATGACAGCAGAACGTGAGGACACCTTAATTCCTCTTGTCGATATTCCCATTGCTGTTCTTCATGACAGCAAAGCGCTAAGAGCTTTTGGGAGAATCTGGTATGGCTGGTTTGGCGTAGGGAGGTAAACGCGGTCGGCTAGCGGAACCGAGACCCTGCATGAGGAATATAGGTGTTAACACAATTCAACGCCAGAGCAAGCTGGAGATACAGTAGGGCGTGGAAGGAAGGCGCATCCAGTGTTGTACTGCGTAAAGATCCATTCTTGGAGAATAGACAACCGGCATTGATGCGGTGATCGCCGCCCGCAGCGAGATCCGTCGAGACGGCTGCCTCGGGCCTTTCTCAAGCCGAATGGCTGAGGTTCTAGGCCCGGGCCAAATAGCGCACGGCTGTCGACACTCGACAGACTCGACAGCCTCCACACGTCCGAGGACAGATACTTTGGCAATACGTGATTGTCGACTATTGACGCTTTTTCATATACTTGGCAATCGTTCGTCCCAGTATTGGCTTCCATAGACAGAGTTCATGAGCGGACGCGATCTGAGGTCAGGTCAAGAACTACCGAGCTCAAACGTCACTTTCTCCTCAACACAGCCGAAAATCATGTACTGCTGATGACCAATACCACAGACGCTTACCAAGTCTCTTTTGAAATGCCCTGTGATCAGGTTTAATGGTACCCGAAAGTTAAGGTGTCTTCGTTTTGGTGACTCGCGTCCCCAGATAGTCTTCATGGTCTCGAGATAGTCCAGGAATTTGGTCGGGGCTCAAAAACTGTCTCCCCGTGGAGAGACCTCTTATTAGCTCTTGAAAGAAGTACAGACGGCCAATGTCTCGGTATATAACGATGGTCGTGTCAATCAATTTTTCCAGGAGATTGAAGCGTCTAGTAGGTGCCCACCTGCCTAAGAAAGAGAAGCGCTTTTCATCTCGCTTACTGAATCACAGTCAGAGGGACTGTTGTATAAGCATCAGAGCCACCCATTTCGGCAGACATGGCTCGCTTGCCATGGCCCAAGTACCTTGTGAGCCAGCGAGAGACCAATATCATCCACCCTTCCAGTCTACCAGAGGAGAGTCGGCAATTTCCCGCATTGCCAAGCACGGCGGGACGGCGGAGCCCTGCCAAGACGCTTGGGACGAGGACCTTGTAGGAAGATAAGACAGCAAAAGCTCTCACTGTCAAGTTATCCATCCCGCTAGACGGACTACTTTGGCTCTTGGCGTGCAAGCTGAGAGGGACGCTCCTGCTTGGCAATCAACATCGACTAGACGTATATCTCCAAGGTCCTCGGCCAGAACGAGATTTGTATCATTCATAAGTGAGCCCATGGTTTGCGAGCCATCATGTTTTGCGAGATATTGCTCAGCGTCTCCAAGAGTGCTTTACAATGTATCTTCTCAAGTCTTTTATCATCGCTTGGGGCGCAGTCGGCGTATATGCGGCCACGGCGACCACGAGTGCTGTATTGAGCTCAATCACAGGATGTCATTCCCACGGAGCTGACATTCTCTGCTTTGATCAGCACGGTGACGAAGTCCGTGTTGAGGCAGTCTCGACTTCGGAAAGTGCGGTACCGGCGCAATATACCGGTTGTCATGAGCATGGCACTGAAAGGTAAGCCTTGGCAGTGTCTGCAAATCGATTCATTTTCTAACACCTCAACTCGGTAGGTTTTGCTTCGATTCAAGGGGCAATGAAGTCCTCGTCAAAGAAGAAAGCGGTGGTGAAGATTCAGCGGGCAAGCATGACGAGCGTCACGATCAGAACGGCCACACACATGACGAAGGCAGCGACCCTCAACATGATCATTCCGCCGAGACCGATTCGGCAGAAAAGAAGAATTGTCATTTCCATGCTGGTGTAGAGTAAGTTCAGTCTGAATTCCAAGATATATACGAACGACTACTAATGACACTCAACAAATAGACACTGCGTGGCTGCGGAGGTCGAGGAACATCGAGGTTCGTCTTGCAACATCCAAGTCCGAGATTACGATGTGCCTCTACGCATCGGCACACTGTTTGTGGTTCTCATCACGAGCGCCGTTGGTGTCTTTGCACCGATTCTGCTCTCCAAACTACCATTTACATCTGTCAATGCCGTCTTTTCAACGGTCATCAAGCAGTTTGGCACTGGTATCATCGTTGCAACTGCTTTTGTTCACGTGAGTACCATTCGTGTGCCTTGAGAACGATTTGAAGCAGGCTCTGAAGCATAAAATAGCTTTATACCCACTCATCCTTGATGTTCGCGAACCAGTGTCTTGGTGAGCTTGAATACGAAGCAACAGCCTCTGCAATCGTCATAGCCGGAATCTTCCTGGCTTTCCTCATTGAATTCATCGGATACCGTATGACGAAGGTCCGAGAAGAAGGCGTTGTCGCTGTCCCAGCCGTCGAACCTAAGTCTCAGTCCAAGGATGGTACGCTCCGTGATTCGGAAGCGCCTGCCCATCAAGAATCAGGTCTGCTGAGGCTGGGACACAGTCATGGATGCTCCAGCCACCCAAGCCGACCTCCGACGAAGTTCTCCGTTCTCATCATGGAGGCGGGTGTCTTGTTCCACAGCATTCTGATCGGTCTGACCTTGGTGGTCGCAGGTAATTCGTTCTACAAGACACTCCTGGTGGTGATCATCTTCCATCAATTCTTCGAGGGCCTTGCTCTTGGAGCTCGTATCGCGACTTTGTCGGGTCCGATCTTCCCGTCCAAGGCTGTCATGGCTGGGGCCTTTGCCATGATCACCCCTCTTGGCATGGCGATTGGGCTGGGGGTGCTGCATATATTCAACGGTAATGCCAAGGGAACCCTGATTGCGCTTGGTACCTTGGATGCACTTTCCGCGGGGATACTCGTGTGGGTGGGTGTTGTTGACATGTGGGCTCGAGACTGGGTTATTGAAGGTGGTGAGATGCTCAATGCCTCTCTCAGCAAGGCTCTGACGGGAGGAGCAGCGTTTGTGACTGGGTTGGTCTTGATGGGTCTTCTTGGAAAATGGGCATGACTTTTGGTGGGCTCTTTAGCAGAACTGATTTGGTTTCCGGCGGGATTATCGCCTGACATTGTACCTAAACCTTTGTGGTGGGAAACCTCCCCGTCACGGAGGCTGATCTTGCTCCAGATAGGTGTGTCACGTGTACATCAATAAGCGACATCACAGCCAACATGGAATCGTGGATACGCAACCTCAAGAGTGTATCCAAAGGATGACTGGAGACACACAGGAAGCCAATGGGGATCGCAAGAGATCCACATCACGATGCCCGTCCCGTCGTGACTTGAGTCAGCAAGAATCAACAGGTCAAAATGATAGCTCGAGACGTTGACGAGGTGTTTGTCTGGGAGACCCCAGAGGAAAGTCGAGACTCGGATAGATCTGGCCGTGAGAACGTGACTACTCAGAAAGTCAACAGCGGCTGACTCAGTTGCTATCGAGTGCTGTACTTTGTCAGTTGGTTGTGACTGTGACTGTGGAGACTGGAGTGTAGAGAGCTGGAGCCCCACTCTGGAAAGTGCCCGCTTTCAAGCCTTTAGCCAACACTCAACTTAGGCAGCTTCCGTGGTGAGACTCGGCCAATTATGACTTGCGACTGTGGTCCCAGACCATGGGTTGCGTCAGCGGCACTATTTTTGGAGTTGGAACTTTCCATCTGTCTCGATGCCGGCCGTTCCAGTGATGTATCTGCCAGGGAAAGACTGGTGCTTCCCTGGCCTCTGGACTCGATTTGAAGATTTTGAGCAGGTACAGGAAACGATTCTCGAGGAATCCGGTGCTTTCGGCATCTTGGTGAAGGAGCATCGAGAAACGACGAGTTTGGTTGGTACCATGTACCCTTTGTTCCTTTTGCAGGTCATCCCACCCAACGATAGGAATAGATGATCGTATCACATGCAGGGCTCAGACTTGCGGGTGCCACGGGTAGTACCTAAGGTAATGTGTGTTAAGAGTACTACTATTCAGTAGGTATACACTTCTTGCACTCCTGACGCCTGAGTATTAGTACTCTATACCTCCTCGTAGTCGGCGATCCCTATTGACAATAAAAGTCAACTTCAGCCACGGAAAGGCTTGAGCAGTTCCTGATTGTGTGATTCTAATAGGCACCCAATGTCCATTCCGAATATTTTTCATGGTGAAACACACGCATGTACTCTGTAAGTGTGTAGTGGTCAAGTCGTACATACTTGGCCAGGGTCTACTATCCGACGTTCCGTGCTACCCGACCCCAATCAAGGTTCAAGGTACATGCGAGTACACACAATGTTGACAAGGCAGAAACCTGCCATGGAAAGAAGAGCTGGCGTAAGCGGGTTCGATTGAGTTCGTGCCTTTCAGTAGTGGTCGGTCTTTGTCCACCAAATGATGTACCTCACTATTTCACCTCTTGCCCTCTGAAACCTCTTTTGCGCGACAGCTTGCCTTCACCATCTTCCCTCTTCATCTCACCACATCTCCACCATTCTCAACAACAACCCTCGTCTCTCCATTCATTTCCAGTCCTCGACTCTTCCACCTCCTCTCTTTCTAGTGGTGCCTCGCTCTCTGCTCTCCACGGCGGACCATCCCGAGATCTATCAACCCACTATGCACTGACCCACGCCCGTGGGCCACAGCTACAACACCTTTGAGCAAAACCCCCGTTGGCCTTTCAGATCATTCACCAAATACCACCCGCCACGATTCTTTCGCTCGTTAACTCAACAACATGGCGCTGACCGACTCAGCCATCATTGTCATTGTTCTGGCAGCCTGTCTGGCAGTAACCGCCATGGGTGCCGCGCTCTTCCGTCACTATAGTCCTCTGGAGGACGAGGCACGATACGGTGTGTCCCACGAACAAGCACAATACATGCGCACAGTACGAATGCGCAATTTCAACTTTTTGCGACAGGAGTCAATGGGTGGAATGAGAGATCTGGAATCGCGATGTACGTGGGAGGGCCCGGGAACGATGCACTTTTTTTTAATCTCGTCTCGGCGAGATCTTCTTCGAATGGTTCTTCTTTATTTTCTTTGCTGACACTGAACTTCTGTCTGACTAGATACAATGGACGAGGCTTCCAGCTATCGCTCATCCCAGCCGTACACTATGTACCCGCCAAAACAGTAAGAGGTATCTCTTGCCCCTCGACTTGGCGCCGGAGTCCATGGTGTTTCTTTCTTTCTTTTTTACAATGACAACGAGTAACGAGTGAGAGATGGATGGCGGAGGTTATGTAGCGCCCAGATCGGAGCATACTCTCCATGCTCGTGGCGTGGGGAATGAGGGGCCGGTGGGCAGGACCCTGGCCCTCGGTCGGTGCTTGGTAATTGTTGGTGAACATCACTCAAAACGGCATTGGAATTGGTTTGCATCCCCGATATTCTGGAAGTTTCGGGGGTTGCCGGCACCAATTCAAAGCGGAAGCGCTGCTCCTCAAATGGGTGCGTCGCAATGACATGCATTAGTGAAATGGGTGAAAGTTGCTGATTTTCGCCAACTGCACCACCGACAAACGAAGAAAAATCTGTATCCAGTTAGACTATTCGAGAATCAGACCTGGAGCTGAATGGGGAATATAATCTCTCTTACCATTGTGATCCCGAGGCGCCATCATTGAAGACTTCTCTGCGATCCCCAGCCGGGGCCGAAGACGACCTTTGCGAGTGAACTTCGGACTTGCCATGGCTTTGCAACTTTTCCCAATCTTCTGGATTAAGGAGGACACTGGTCGTTTGGTCGCCGCTCATTGTTCCGTACGATGCGCATGATGAACCTTTCGGCGTTGTCTGCGTCTCGTCTACCGGTCTCATGTCAATCTCCTCTTGCCGGCGACTGCTGAGAGCGAGGAGCATGTTGATGATCTCGCTTGATGTAGCCATGTGTTTTGCTTCTTGGGTGCCTGTGTAGAATGCTCGGTTCGGTGTTCTGCAGGCGGCAAGCACCGGCGATTCGATGATGAACACCCTGCAGTTCTTGGAGACTGGCAAGACTGTGGGGAAAACCAGACGTCTTGGAGAAGGTCGTAGCCCGTGCAAGCCGATTTATTCCAGGAGGGCCGATTTGACTTCTCGAACAAGGAACCTGATATCGGCTTCCCTTTGTATCAATTGGTAACCACATGCCATCCACCTGATCAAATCACCATCTCCTTCCTCACAACGACGCTCCCTCGAGTTGCGATCCAAGAAATGTCGGAGCCTGTCTGTCGTGCTGGGCCGTGTCCTCATCTCAACTCATCAGATCTCACCCTCATGTCCTGATAACTCGAAACCGGCGTCTATCCCAGCCGCAAGACCCCTTCTACACTCTAGCTTCCTAAGCGACTCCACGAAGACCAGCTTCCATGAACCCAGCTCCCACCTATCCACATCTGCTGCGGAGGGTCTAGTGCTGATGAATTTCCGTCTCTCTCTAAGAATAGCAAAATGAAGCTTGCGGGGAGTGATCGCTAGACAGGCAGCATTGATGCGTTGATGGATTAAGGTTGCGCTTGTGTCGTCGACTCGACGGATGGAATTCAGGGTTGAAATGGAGCGTTTCCGTCAGCCCTCGGCAGGCACCCGTGTTTTATGATAAATCTTGTACCGCTGGTGCGCATGCATTGCTAGCAGTTCTTGTAGCTAGGCAGCGGTTTATGAAAAGGACACGAATAGATGATATTCGGTGTGTGCAACTGTGTACCTTGTTCCATGTGACGCACGATGCTCTAGTTATCCAGTAAGTGGACTCTGTGGAGAAGGGAAACTCGGTCCCTGCAGCGGTATGGGCAAGAAGCAGCAAGATTTGAAGGGACGTCCCGCGGAGGCGAGATACCCCATGTAAACTGCTATTTTGACCCGAGGCTTGATGAGAGTAGTCCTCGAATGATGTGACTATGTATGGGCCTTGACATCTATGCGATGAGCTGGAGATCCATGGAAACGGGGGGTTTGGGAATGTTGATGGAAACTTCTCAATCAATCGCGAATACGGTCCGTATCCAGGCTGCATCTCGTATTTTCTCGGGGCCCGTTGATTCGCTTCGAGGTACTGCTCAACGTGCGGGAAGTGGAACCGCGGCCAGAACACCCGTGGACTCGTGGACTCGTGGACCCTCGCCGCATCGCGACTTTTCCTATTCGACCTGACGGTTGGCGTCATGAAAACCACCTGCACCTCACTGCAGCACCTTGACCCTGAGTCGGCCCCAGACACGAGATCGGGAGTGACCGGCCCTTGTGTGAAAGTCCTTGCATGGCGGTGAGCTCGTACACGGTTTCGAGCGTTTCTGTCAGGCACGAGCCGAGACGGTCTAGAATGATGAGATATGCCCTGTGAGATGGTATGACTCTGTATCACTGTTGACTGATCTGCATCAGGCTAGGCCGAACATTGAACGAGTGCAATTTTGATCGGTGCCTAGCAATTCCAGCAAGTGAAAGAATCACCGCTCAGGGTCCTAGCCTGGCCCCGACATATCCGACGGAGATTCACCCATATCTCCACAGCGGAGGCTCCTGGATAAAAACCATATGGGTCAAGGTTTGGAACATGAAGAATGGTGACGGGCACGGACAATACTATTCACCCGCGGACATTCGTCAACGGACGGACATTTAAAAATCGAGAAAGAAGGAAAAAGGGGGTGGGAAATACCACGACCGCCCCGCGGACAGTCGAGAACTCGAGACGGACGTTTCAGATCCCGTGACACACACATCAGGGAGGGGTGGTGTCACTCTGGCGGGGTGGGGGGTCAGACTCAGATTAGATCTAATCTCGGATTCTATTTTTACGGCCGATGGCTGCAGGCTGCAGGCTGCAGGCTGCAGGCTGCCCGGATCTCATATCTTGGCCAGGTTCGATCGAGTTGAGTAGGGTCAGCGGTATGACAATGAGCGTGACCTTTGTTTCGTGGAGAGACTGGAGGAGCTACAGTACGACAGTGCGTAAATACCAAAAAGGAATCCGATTCGAAGTGGAATCACGCTTGATTACTACTACTGTAGGAGTGTTGGAAGTAGGGCGCACGAGGCCGATTCTGGTTCAACTGCTTCAATGCCAAGATAGTCCACGATATGCTCAGCCTCCCCGTGCCCGGTCACTGACAAATGGATCCCCGGTAGGCTGTGACGTGGTGAGCCATGATCACTCTATCCCAGTTCGAGGTGATTGCTTGACTACCGTACGTCTAGTCTGCTATGCCCTATGGAACGCGACGACGTGACATGCAGATCGAGTTCAGAGTTCAGCCCCCCGCCCCAGTGCCTCGGGGCCTGATCGACATCGAATCTGGGCTGTGGAGGAGGTCACACCAGATCAAACCGTCGACGGTGCGCCTGACGACTTTTCTTTGACAGGGTGACAGTCGGCACGGTCGCTAGGCTGGCACGAAAATGAAATGACCTGTGCCAGCCACGATATAGTACGGTTGCTAAAGTACACTGGGACAGTATCTTCGGCCAGGATTCCGAGACGGAACAAGAAGAAGATCAGCCATTGATCACTCATCGATAAATCATATCAGAGGACTCAATACTCAGTAGAGTCAGTCGTATTCACTGAATCAGTAGAGTACTAGAGCCAAGCCAGTACATCACTTCACCCGTGCAGGCTCAGGTACGCCGAGGCCGATCCGAGCATCCGATCCATGGGTGGCCCCCCTTCTTCTTTTTCTTCTTTTTCTTCTTCTTTACGCCTTTCACTTCTTCTTCTCTGCGGATCCCAATTTGACCGATCCAAGTGTCAAGAACGTCCATGACCCCCACTCCACCTGCCTTCGCCAATACGGACGTGACCCGATTAGGCAATCATCAGGACGTATCCGAAGTCGACAAGATGCCAAGGTGGGAACGTCTTGGAAAAAGAGGCGAGCAGTCCGCAGAGAAGAGAGAAGAGCGGAAAAACAAAAAAAGAAGAGCCCCGTTGCTGGCCCCCACATGGTTCATGCGTGGAACTCACAGAGTGGAAAAGATGTGCCGGTGGGGAGAGGATCGGGGCTAATTGAGTAGTGAAGGAGTCAAGTAGAGACTAGTCGGACTACTAAAGAAGTAAAGACTGGAGATTGGAGAAAAGACGGGGGCTTTCGGGCAAACCGTCGATACGATTACGGCTGGGGCAGATGGATGCATGAGCCCGGAGCCTGCATTTGACGGTTGACGGGGAAGGGCCAAGATGCAGTGTCCTTGGTTCTGGCGGTTAGTTGTTTTATATATGAAGATGATGATTCCCCTTCCCCCGTTCTAGGAGTTGCAGGAATAGAGAAAGGGGAGTTTGAAAACATCAAGACGGCAATCAATCTCTTGTGACGACTGAATTTTGAGAGAGACCCTTCCGTATTCCGGCGCAACAATAGGAGAATCCCTCAACGACGCGGTTTTTCTGCCGATTGATAAACAAACTCTCGACGGTGATCTCTTGCGTCAGTCCAACTTTGGCTTCTGTTGTTGTTGTTGTTGTTTTTTTATATATTCTTTCGATTGATACCCTCCTTCAAACAACACAACGCGATGGATGCGACAATGTCCCTGCGGGCCGCTTCGGTCATCTATGAAAGCGACACGGCGAGCGATGAGCGGTACGTAAACACTCCAAGTATACACCAAGTATACACCTCCACACACATATATACCAATTTCAAACACCACCACAAACCCGATCACATCCTGTCGCATCCTACCCATCACATACTAATTCTCATCAGATCCACCATCCACACAGCCAACGTCAAAATCCGCGCCAAATTCCAAATCGCGCGCCTGCCACCCAAATCCTCCCACCACTCATCATCCCTCCGTCTCTCTCCCAAACTCGTCCTGCAAATCCAACAACTCCTCCCCAATCACCGACCCATCCCCGTCCTCGAAATCTGGCAACCTTCTCTCCGCAGATCCAAATTGACCCGCGACTTTGTCCAGCGGCCCAAGCTCCGATCGGGCGATCTCTACGCCACGCTCGACGAGCCGTATGTCGCTAGCGCAGCGCACGGCTCGCCCTCGAGACCCGGTTCGAGAGACCATACAGAGGACGCTCATAATGAGAGCGCCAGAAATGAGGCGGTAGCGGCGCTGTGCCAGAATCAGAATCAGCCTCAGAATCAGAATCAGCAGACAAATACAACTACAACTACAAATGGTGGCAATCCGGCCAAGTCCGGGTTGATTTACTTCCGCGATACGCAATGCGGCTGGCAGGCTAGCGTGGGCACGACGGGGCCGGAGAAGAAGATATGCTATCGATTCACGATCAATGACGAGACCCGAGAGCCAAGTACCGGTCCCGGACAGATCTTCCTACAGTGGGAAAAACGACCACTGACGGGGAAAAGCGCGGTGTCAGGCAATCGCCCGGCTACGGCGACGGGGTCGGCGTCGGCGTCGGCGTCGGACTCGGAGCATTTTGTACTACTGCTGATTGATCGCACGGCGCAACGCAAGAGTCGCATTGCGACAATGACGCCCGGGGGTTGGAGCTTATGGTGCGCAAGAATTCCATCTTGGACTGTGTGCAGAGCTGTCGGGATCTGCTTCGGCCAGTATCGGGCACGGGGACTGAGCAACATGGTGTCCATGCGAGTCTGGAGAACTGGCTTTGTACGCAGGTTCTTACGTTGGGGGTTTGGGTTGCGCAGCAGGAAGGCTGGCTGGGATTATGAAAGATTACGAATATGAATGGAATGATATCAATGTTCGCTTTTTCACGTCAGGTTGAAAAGCACCACGGCGAAAATAAGCACGGTGTTCCAGCCTCAGGCTCTAGTACGAGGCAATCCCCTCTTCGAGGGCCTTGATTTGCAAGGCCAGCAGGCGAGAGTAATATCGACACATGGCAAGATTCCCTCCCATGAACCAGAATCCAGGATAGCCACTACGACGCCACATGGTCCGAATCTCACCCTCGGCATCAAGACCCCATACATCTCCCAGTCGATCGGCAATCTCGTCGCCAAAGATCACGCGCGCTTGACTCCGCATGTTCTGGTATCCCGTGGCAAATACAATCTCATCTGCCTGCAGTTCAGTGTCATCTGCGAATCTTAGACCGTGTGGGAGGACTTCGGTGATCTCCTGACCGTGCTTGACCTTGATCTTGCCGTCGGCAATCAATTGGCTGCCGCCCACGTCGATGTAGTAACCACCACCACGCTGCAAATACTTCATCAGGAGACCGGCGTCCATGGGACCTTTGTCCACTATGAAGCCGGCCTTGGCCAGACCAGCGAGAGTGTCGGTGTCATTCTTGTTCATCTTTTCGGTGATTTTGACTTGCTGCGTCTTGAACAGCTCCGGGGGATACTCCATAGATACGCATCCGCATCGTCGGTCAGGGGACCATTTTCCTCGTAGAGACCTGCGAGACCGATATTGACAATAGAATCTGAAGATACTACGCACGTCGAACTTCGTTGAACCATCGTCACGTCGTATCCCTTCTCGACAAAGTCCTGGGCAATATCGTGTCCGGAATTGCAGGAGCCAACCACAACCGCCTTTTTACCTCTGGACTCGGGCTTGGCCCCTTGAAACTCGGAGCTGTGGCACAGCAAGTCACCTTGGAAGGTATCCATCCCCTTGAACTTGGGCATGTTCTTCTTGCCCGAGTGACCGGTGGCCTGGATGATGTGATGTGGATGGAAGGTCCGCGAGTCAACCGCGCCATCAGCCGAATGTCGCTCAACGACAACTGTCCACTGCCTTTGGCTTTCGTCATACGATGCAGACTTCAGATTGGTTCGTGTCCACACGTTCAGCTCCATCAGCTTGACGTAGGAATCGAAAAATTCAGCCAGTTTGTCCTTGGGCGTAAACACTGGCCAGTTGGCGGGAAAGCTCATGTATGGCAGATGGTCGTACCAAACTGGGTCGTGTAAGACTAGCTGGTGATATCTGCGACGCCAATTATCTCCGACTCGCTCTTCCTGGTCGATGATCAACGCATCCACGCCGAGCATCTTCAGTCGAGCTGCTGCGGTGAGACCGCCTTGACCGGCGCCTGGATATGACATTCACATACAGATGTTAGCTTTTTCTTGTGAACTCTTCAGTAGCAAAAAAGAAACAAAACATGCATTATAATCCCGTACCAATGATGAGCACAGCAGGCTCTTTATCCTTATATTCTTGCTCGGCAATTCGTCTGTCCTGCCAGTTCTGGCGCCCTTGTTGCACTCCATGCTTCACTCCCAATGGACGACGACCGTTTGTCTTCTCTTCATGGCCGGTGAGCTCTAGTAAGGTAGTCGACAGGGTGAAGATCTTCCATTCATTGCCCTCCTGAGATAGACGGGCGACACCATGTCCCTTGCCAACCCCGGTCGTCACCTTGATGAAGAACTCAACTCCATGCACATCACCCAGCGCATCAATGGGTCCATTATGCGGTGCTTTAAAAGTCGACGACCGATCAATCTCGATCTTTATGGAGGAGGAGCACCCGGTGATAAACTTTGCAATAGCATCATTGCCTTTGACGGTCCGGAAATCCCATGACAAACACAGGTGGTCCCGCCAATAGCCATCCGGAAGGAACAGCTGGGCGATGGCGCTGGTGTCTTTCTGGTCCAATACTTTGTTCAAACGATCGATGATTTCCATCGCAAGTTGGTCAGGGTTGTCGGCGGCCTTGATGGCTGTCTCGGGGAACTTGCCGAGCGGGATATTGTAGGATCCAGGCTCCACTCGCTCTCGTGAGGGGATATTCAGCTGGTCAGGTCCGTGGCTCCCCATGATGATGGTTTGAATGTGTGACGACAAATGGATGGGCTCTTTTCTTTCCGTCTTTCGCACGCAGATGTGGCAGTTGAGTCCTGGTGAAACTGTTGTTTTTACGTCGGAGGAAATGCGAGATGATTTATGCCTGTTTCAACGGACAGCCTCCGCAATCCCCCCCCCCCCCCCCCCGCCAGACCGAACCCCGCACCGACTATGATCGCCACTCCCGGTTGATCTATACCCGAGAGTCCAGACTGGCGATCGTTCAGGTTGATTTGATCCTGTGAGCTCCAGATGTGGCAGAGACCTGGTTTCTCTACTTGGTACAGCTTCGTATAGCCGAGCAACCACCCGCGAATGGATGTGGTTATCGGATGTCCGAACGGAGTTGAGTCTCATTCGGTGAACACCCAAAATGAGACTTGGAGGCATCAGACTTAACCATCTTTAATAAGCCTGAGATAGCACATTACCTAGGGTGAGTCTCTAACGGCTCTCGCTGCTCAGAGTCTTATGCACCTCGCTCTCTGAGAAGTGGGAGGGAATGATCCTTCGAAGCCCCACGGTGAAAGACAACCCGTGTCCGACGTCGGATGAATCTGTGTGTTTGTTGCTGCATCTCGGAGAATTCTCCGGCGGAGAGTCTGCTGCAGTTGGGAATCGAAGCTGGAGAGACAGAAGAGATAGGCCGGTCTGGACCTTGTCTGTGTGTGTATGTGGGTGTCCAGCACATGAATGCTGGGGGGAGTACTGGTTGAACGCATCAACAACAGAGAGATTCAAGCACGTACATGTACAATGAATGCTGTCCAGGTTGATTAGTGACAGCATCCTTGACTTAGGTACGTACGTACTCCTGGCTGAGGCCGGGTTCCGCCTCCAGCTGGCGTGATCACGCAGACGCAGACGCAGACGCAGACGCAGACGCAGACGCAGACACGACTCGGCTACACGATACGCACTGGCAGTACCGAGGGTACTTCTCGTGTAGGCACGTCTTGTATCTGAGATTCTGGTCTATTTATCCCTCTGTACCGGTGTGTAGATAAGTCGGTGGTGGAGCCTGAGTAAGGCTGTCGGGAACATTGCTGGACAGCCAAAATATACATCCATACGACCCCGGGCTTGATCGGCGAAAAGCCCACGCCAGGTTCTCTACGAATGATAAGATCATGACCGGTTATGCGCATCCAACTGAGCTAACCAATTGAGCAGGCATACCAAGTAAGAGACCGTTTTAATACGATAATAACTGTCACCAATTACGTGCAATTGCTGCTACATGTAGGTAAATGGAAAGATGTCCGTGATTGAGAGCATCTCAACTAGGCGAGCTGGTAAAGGAGATCATATACTTTTATTGCGACACTGCTTATATAAATCAGCATCATTGGTCTAGTGGTAGAATTCGTCGTTGCCATCGACGAGGCCCGTGTTCGATTCACGGATGATGCATTACCTTTTACTCTTTTTGTACCCTCCCCCTGATTGCTCGAAATAAGGGGTTTATCGATCGACTGGAAAGTCTTGACTGGGTCTATCGCTCGGCCCACGACTCCACTTGGAATCGCGAAATTCGTTTCCGTTTCCTGATCGAGGGCGATATAAGAGTTACCCGAGCTATTATTGGAACGACAATAGGTTCTATTCTTGAGAAATGAAGAGATTGCGAATCACGCGCCGCCATTGTGCATGTATGGAAAGTCTACAACCAAGTAGCAGGGTGCCAATTATTTACAATACCTGCCCACAGATACTGTACAAGGGGCACATGTTTTATTCAACAATCTACAAAGCCGCCGCAATCAACGCAGCCGCCGCACCACCCAAGACAGCTCGCGGATTCCCAGTAATTCGAGGCAAGCCACCAGTGCTAGTCGACGAGGCCGCACCCGAAGCCTTTGAGACAGTCGACGGGGCCGCACTCGAAGCCTTTGAGATAGTCGAGGTGGCCGACGCAGTCGCTGTCGTCGTGGAGTCACCCGCTGTGATAGCGCCCGCGGTCACGGTGACGGGCAAGTAGGTGATCTGACTCTGGGCGAGGTCGAGAGTCGAAGTTCCGGGGAAATTGGCCGCCGAACCACCCATCATCTCCGTGCATTTGGCGGTCGTGGTGCCGCCCATGGAGCAGACAATTCGTGCAGTGCTGAATAAGTTCACGGTGATAAGTCAGTTCGCGACACACGGGTGCATCCTCGCAGAGACACGTGGAGCAGTGGGCGGAAAGTGGCCCGGAGATACACTTGGAATTGCGCTTACAAGTCATCGCTAGGCTCGACGATCGACCATTCGATATCATTGGGGGCAGAGGTGTAGAGCATGCCGGGGCCCATTCCACAATTCGTCGGATCGGTGCCCGCGGGACAGTTGATGCTGTATGTCACTTTACCGGAAGACTAAGGCTTTTGATTAGCACTAGTACAAATCGACCAAATGGCTCCCCAGATGAACAGTAGTAATCTCATCCAGGGTACTCTGAAGTCTGCAGTATTTTCGTGAAAAACTGCCTCTTGGTCCTGAACTCACCTGTCCAACAATCGAAGCCGCCAGGGGCTGAGGATCGGTATCGGGCATGAACAAGGAGACGACGCTAGACTGCGCGGTCGCCACTCCCACAGTCGCCAGCAGTGCAATGCAGGATTTGAAAGACATGATAAACCGTCCTGTAGATTTTTGACGCGTGGAAGATACGATTCTGACAGACACGAGACTGACGTTGCAAGGAGGAAACGATGTAAGTTGGAGTAGTGAGTCGTGGGTGTTTTTTTTGGGAAGGGTCGCATCGACCCCGGGCGGCGGCTCTGTCCGCCCCCGAATCATTCGTCAGGAACAATCGGCCCCCGATAGGATATCAGCCAAGGCCGGGCTTGTTTCGCCACGTGAGGCTGAAAATTGAGTCTGGAAGGTGAATGTTGTGGACTGTGGACTTGGGGAGTACATGAACTCCTGTTGTGAGTCGGTGTCATATGAGTGTTGAGACTGTATCCCACGGAAGTAAAACTGTCTGAAACTGTTTAATCCAGTGACAGGTTTTCCGATTGATCATCAGTGAAGTCAATGCTAAGCCAGCTGGGCTTTCCCGAGTGACGCTGACTTGATCCGCTGAGGAACACTTCCATTTATGCTCGTCCAAAGCCAATAAACTTCAGCCTCGTCCGTGTTGGCTGCGGAATCCTCTGTAGGGTAGACATCCTCGGATCGGCACTGGAATGTACTTTCCAGCTGTGCGACGGAAGCGAGATGTGGGATCAGAGGAGACATTCTACGAGGAACGAGTTGCGGGCTAGAGAGCTCCCTCAATACTGTGCGAGGGCGAGAGTCACAAAAATTTCTATCAATTCGTAGTATAGACAGGAAGGGGTATCTTTCTTTCCAGCTGGGAATATCGTATAATAATGTGCTTCTCATAGGAAGCCAAGGTAATCAAACAAACTGGATCAGAGTCCAAAGCTCCAGCCAGTACGCTTTGACCCAAGAAAAAGAACAGAGAAGGAATGGAAAGGTAAGTGAACAAAGGGGAGGACCCACATTGATGGGATCGGGACAGAATGAGAAAAAAAACACTGTAGAGTGTAGAATGGAAGGAGAGACACAGTAGAGTCGAAAAAAAAAACACAAGGTGAGATGAGTTCAGCCACTGAATGACATGGCGCGCTGCCGAGACGCCCTTTTTCGCAAATTATTGTCTCGACTCTTGCGGCCCATGCGGCCGAGGGACAAAGTTTCCAGCGTATATGGCTTGCCACCCCATATCAAATTAGAGCCCTTTCGAGCCTGAAGAGGTGGTATCCAAAAGTGTGTGACAGCTGCGCCGATGATCATGCATGCGCTGAAGACGAAGAGAATGATACCGTGACGGCGCGTGGAGGTCGAATCTGCGCCTCCAAAACGATAGTATGATGAGAAGACTTGAACGAGAACGGAGCCGAGTTTACCGGCACCGGCGCTGATGCCGTGGCAAGTAGCGCGATAGCGAGTGGGGAAGATTTCTGCGGGAATCATGTATGTTGTGGCGTTGGGACCTAGATTTGAATTAATTTAGTTGTCTCGAAAAGATTTCGCACAGGGCTTGAATTTCTTACCAAAGTTGAATAGCGTTTGGCCAATGATGTACAATATCACAGTCACAACCGAGCCCGTATAAGCAGTTAGGAGCAGACTGCCCAGGACGATGAAGAGAACCGCCAGAGCAAGGAAACCGTACTTCTGGAGAGCAACACGGTCGATACGGTGTGCAAGTAGGATGAACAGCAAGCCGCCAATGAAGCTCCCCAGATTCAGAATGACGAGACCGCGGATCGAGGTGTCGAAAAGCTCGTCAAACACATTTGCGCCGGGTCGACTGTCAGTTTGCCAGACCGGCGCAGGACCCGTGATGTGCAGGTCACCCCATGTTTTGGCCAAAAATTGCGGGCCCGAAAGGCCAATGCCGTAGTAACCAAAGTCAAGAAGAAGCCATGCGAGGGCCGTACCCGCCAAGCTGCGCCAGTTGCCTTCGGTCCAGAAATACCTGATTATGTCTGTGCGGGCTAGGCGCCAATGGGAGTTCAGCGTGGTAAGAGGTAATTCGGTCCACTCCTCGTCTTCATCAATGTAATCACTCGTGATCGACGACATGGGAGGTAGTTGAATGGAACTGCCCGGAATCTGAGAGAAAGACGCTTGATCGAAGCCGGGACTGGAAGCGGGATCGCTGAAAAGTGTCGTGGCGTCAAATTGAGCAGTCACGGGATCGTCCTCGATTTCCACGAGATATCGCGGACTCTCTGGAATGGCGAAACGGAAGAGAGTTGCAATTGTGCCGGGTATAACGCCGATGCCGAGCACCCACCTCCAGGTCATGTCCATCGTGCGGACGGGATCCTCGGCACCTTGGCTTCGAGAAACCGCAACGACGATCAGTGAGACCAGATTTCCTGCAATCTGCCCGAGAGGTTGCATGAAAAAGACACTGGCCATCATACGCGCGCGGTGTTTTGTGGGAGCAAATCTGTAGGCCATGTCAATATAATCGCCGCGAGGAGAAGGCTGGTCGCAGAATGAAGCGCTCCAACATACTCTGATGTGATGACAGCAGACAATGGGTAGTCTGCTCCGACACCGATTCCCACGCAAATTCTCCACCAGATCAACCAGGCGTAAATGTTCATGCTATCATTGACACCCGTCGAGGCCATCACCACGCCGAGGGTGGATGTAATCAACAAAACGAGCTCCACGCCGTACATTTTTTTCCGACCATTCTTGTCGGCCAGATAGCCGAAAAGCACCATGCCAAAGAGTGTACCGCCTAGAGTGGCGATGTTGATGCTGGTCTGTCGGGTTGAGGAAAGTTCATCTCTCCAGTAGACGTAAGAGATCATGGGAAGGGCCATGTTGCTTGCAAAGAGCTAATCAGATGATCGAGTCAGTCTTGTCTTATACTATCTTCTGCTCAGAACTGCCAATTCGATGACTGACTGTATAACCGTCGAGGAAGAAACCGAGACCGGCAACCAGCACGACTATCCACTGGTAGCCTTGCCGGTCGATGGTCTCGTAGATTTGGCGCATGCGAACATAACGATCCTGTCGTCATTCAAACACTTCATGTCAGCTCATACTCTCGGGAATCCCTTATCAGGAAGCGATCGCCCACGATCATTTGAAGATGAAAGCGTCAGCAAGTCCTTTCACAACTCTACATACCTGTTCATGATCGAAATCCCGCGCGCGGTCGGTCTTGTACAATCGAGCCCGAAACCCCTTCATTTTCGCAGATGTCAAGGGCAATGCACGCCGATCGTCAGGCGATGTTTCATGAGGGCACCCAGACACACTACTTCAAGAATAAGTGCAGGAGATCCAATGTGAGATATAGTCAGGGTTGAAAGCCCAAGCTCACTCTGCTCTCGGCTGCCGTTGCCCCTCTCCAGTGCGTGACAGGCACCGTACTGTACTATGATCCACTGTCCACTGTGCCCACTGTCAGTGTCCAGAGTGTAGACTTCCACAAGGCGGATGAGCCGGGCCACCGGGACCATTGAATTGAAAAACAAAAGCAGCCATCGAAAACCCTGATTGAGCACGCGAGACATGGGGCCAATGAGTGCCGCACGTTGTGGCCCGGGGAAGGTCCATTCTTGATGGCGTCTTGTTCGGGTGGACAGGCGGACTTTCGCCAAGGGTCAGCCCACATGGGGGATAAGTATATCGTGGGCGCGCGTAGCGCAGGGCCAGGTCCCCGTCCCCCAGTCCCCCAGTTCTCATTGACAATAATCAGTGATACTGTAAGTGTCATGCCTGATCGGGGCGTGAGAGGGCATCTTGAGCACGGGACCTCACGAGGCAGACCGTCCCCGAGTCCCGACAAAGAGATTCCAGAGAGGCGAGTGGATCATTCAGTTCCGATTCGATTCCTGGGCCAACGATGAGGGTGAGCTCTCGACGGTGGTCATTCTCCACACTCGAGTGCGAGAGGTGGAAACACTACTGCAAGTGGAACAGAGAAGAAAAATGAGGACATGGAAAAATCATCCCACGTCTTGTGAAGTGGACAGAGGCGCACGTTCTCGGTCTCGACTCGAATTGAAAGGCAGTGATTTCTCTGCATACCATTGTTCAGCATCAGATTCAAAGCGGCTGCATGGATGATGAGTGGAGTCGACCCGACAAAGAGTCCAGTGGAGCAGAGAGATCGGAATGAAGCTAACGCCTGCCACAGAGAGAGGCAAAACCGCTCGACCGCCCGAGGTCCCGTGCACACCTTCACCTTCAATAATAAAGCCGTCAAGCAAGAAAGCCAATTTCCCCCGTCTGTCAGGCCTGCGCCCCACGGGCCCGGGTACCTGAGCAGCCAAAGCCAGCGAGAGCTGCCCACACGTGCGGCTAACAAAGTGCTTGTATCGATCAGCCGCGTCTCCACTCGGCGCCTTTTAGTGTTTGAGACCACGCCTGTTTAGACCTCGTGGAATCGGGCATTCACGGACGTGCACTCCCTGTTGGACATTGCATTCGGGGGTCACGATTTCACGTAGTAGTAACTCGTGATGAGCACACAGATGCTGAATTTTAGCGAGCTGGGCAGAGCAATGCAGGCTGTGACGCTCGTGCAGATGAGGCTGTCCTGTATAGCGCATAGTCGTATACTACTAACTCTAAAGAATGGCCGAGGCAGTCGTCCACCTGGCATGGCGTGCCTTACTACTAGACTAGGTCGGGCATCTGAGAACATGTTGAACTACTGAAGCATCGGCCTCGAGAATCCGCCAAGCCAGTAGGGGTCGAGTGCCAGGGGAGCAAAATGAGAGGCAAGGATGAAAACAATCAAATGTGCACGTCATAATGAAATTGGCTCAGTACATGGTATCATAGCCTTGAAACGCCGCCATGCAATGGAACAAAAAGAAAAAAAAAGACGATCAAAAATTCACAAATCCCATCCGAAGATTACCCCTTGGTCAGAATTGCAAAGGGGAGCACGCCAAAGTGGACAGGGACCCGAAGGGGAGGGAAAGACGGCTGAGTGGAAACGAAGAAAAGAGTCATCCGCCGGGATCTGAGGAGCGTACAAAGTCAAAGGTTTTCCGTAGCCCTAGTAGACTTGGAGAACTCTAAAACAAAGAGAAGGGGAAAAAGAGGACATTATTCTAATCATCCAATTGAAAGGTCGGTCGACAGCAGCTGGCAGAATGTCTTGCTATCTAGAGAGCACAGCTGGTGGTCAGCACACTGAGCTCGGACTTTCGTCATGGTCGTTGTTCGGCGTTCGGATATGGCGGGTAAAAGACACTTAGGTCGAGGGTGGGGGGCACTGACCTTCATGGTTCAGGAATGTGATCTGTAGATTTCGCATTTGCGACAAAAGATCGAAATTGGGATTCAACTCGATCAAAACGGGTCGACCAGCTTTCTTCGCCGGTTTAACATTTTCCACGCAGTTGACTAGGAGACTCTGTTAGAAAATAACCGATCGCTTGCAAAGTAAAACGCAGGTAGGAAGACAGTGAATAGATGGGCGCCGTTCAACGTGCTGAGGGTAGAAAGTAGAGCGGGAGACTCACGAGGTAAAGAAATATATCTCTTCAGCGGACCCCGTTGCGAGTTGGCAAAGAAGAGCATGACTCGCTTGCCGTTATGCCCGCGTAAGATGCGAAGGTTCTGGCTGATGCATTCCTCTCCGCGACCTTTGGACTTGGCCTCAGCCATGCCTCCTAGGAATATCAATTTGGCATTGAGAAGGAGTTCTTGGAATTGGCAGCAATCTGTTGGAACTTGTCAACACTGCGTCGGGACGAGATTTTCTCCATACATCGGTGAAGTAAATGACATACCTTGCCAATTCTCGAATTTGTACGACAACTGTGTCATAAAGACCACATGGGCGGCCTGTACAGTCTGTTGGTCAAGAAAAGAGATGCGAAGAGGAAAGCGCTCGTCATCCTTGGGATGTTCAATGTGTGGGACGGGTAGTTTTGTGTTGTGGACTGATCAGGTCTTGTGTCAATACCATGCGCGCATCTCATCGGAGAAGATGCTTGACGTCCTTCCCAGTCGTGCATCCATCGCATCTCGTAGTCACTTACAGGCGTGGACAAAGGGTGCTTGCTGACCGAGACCTCCCCCAAGCTCAAGGCATTTCAACGCCCCCGTCGTGTCCTTGCAGACATCAATATAGGTGTATCGAAGTTTGAATTGTTGACCGTTCTTGACAAAGGAGCTGCCGAGAGGAATTAGCAGCGGTTTCACCTTATTCCTCTGGCGTGATAGCGCCGAGACATCATCTCTCTTCCCGGTAAGGATCAACGTACATGGTTATGGACGGATTGAGCTGAAGTCGTACCACATCATCGTAAAGCTGCCATGAATGCTTCCGCGAGCTGACCCCGGGGGAGGTGGCGGGGGTCGGGAAGAGAAGACTGGTTGAAGACGACGACACGGTGGACGTTGAGACCGTACTTTCACGGCGTGAAGAAAGGCTGTCCCAATCCTGATCGTCCGGGCCAAAGGGGAAATGATTGCTCATGATCGCGAAAGAACCCTCCCCGAAGATTCAGTCCCCGCAAGGTCTCTTATCTAAAATTTGCACGACCAACGACGGTGGGGGTGAGGGGGCAGTCGAAGGCGCATTTGAGGTAGGGTTTTCCGGCGGGTGTCAAGGCGGATCTCTGACGGAGATCGACCGGCAAGGCAACATTACATGTGCTGGTCCAAGGTGCGTCGAGGAGGAGCAAGAAGTATTAAGCACTGGGGATCAGGAACAGAAATATCTTGTGAATATACGGAAAGCCCGTGATAAGCGCCCACACCAGTCGTCACCACGAGGATGCTCCTTCGGCAACCAGTCGCAGCAGGGCTGGGAGGCCACGGCCTGGCGCAATGAAAGAGACCGAATCAATCAAGTACGCCAGATGGAGACTGTCAAGGGAGACACCAGCGCCATCCGGTCCGACCATGGACCGTCGAGAATATGGATCGAGGTTCGATTGTCCCGAGAGCACCACATGGGAAGACTATCGGCCCTTGTCACTTTCGAGCTCCAGTGCTGGATGAGGTGGAGCACCAGCAGCAGAACGTGCCCAGATGGCTGGTCGACAGACCTTCGGTCCCGTGGGTCCGCCATTAGACAAACGTGAGGTGCCAGTACAGTACGACTGCCAGTGATTGAAGTTAGCCCACCCACTCTGATGCATCTTCTTTGCCTCTGACATCTTCGCAGAGACAATCAATCCTGGCCATGCTGGGAATGTAACAACTGTATGGGATATGGAGATTAGGTCGTGGTCTGTCCGTTGACAGAATTGCGCCTGCGCGCTCTTGCGTCAAACGATGAGCTCCGCTTCCGTCGAACGGGAAGGTTTTCCATGTGGCACGGGACCCGCCTTTCCTTTTTGTCTGTCTGTCGTTCATGTGTGGTGTGCATGTCCCTTGTTTCTCTTCATTTCAAATGGCGACGAATTTCAAACGTTGTGTTTTGGGTTGACCTTAGTATACCTAGGGTTCTCTTCCTTGATTAGACCGGAATACAGGGTTGTTATACACTACTGTCCAGTGTACAGAGTACAGACAAGGCACAACTTTGCTTATTCGAGTCAAGTTAATAGCCACGTCTCCGGTAAGACTTGGTCTCAATCCTCGATTGGCCTCATATGTATGCGCAAATTGATCATGTACCCCGAAAGTCTAAAAAATCAACCGACAGACCATGGACCCTCTTGCAGTCCCTGAGCAGACCTCAGACTACCTCTTACCAATACTCAAGGGATGCCACACGTCTACCTAGGTACTCGAGAGCTTCTGAACTGCCAGAATCCGAGCTCGCGCACTATGATCATGCCGTCGGGGCTCCTCAGAGGCGGAACCGACCTACGGAACAGGTACTTACTTCCAACTTGATTCTTGCTTCAATAACACCTCCCTTGCCTGGTTTACATCTCGGCTTCTACCAACACTTCACAGTGATCACGGGGTCTGCATCAAAGTTGGAATCCAGTGACCTGAAGATTTCAATGGAGTCAGCTCAATGGGCAGTGAATAACTGAATACACCTGGAGAATGGTATCGGATCATGAGGTAGTGGGTTGGTACAAAGTTTTGCTGGATACTACAGGTAGATGTAAGTACCTATCCCCCATGGAAAAAATCAACCAGATCTCCCACCTAAGCGAGCAGTAGCCCTACTTAAAGTCCTAACATTCACGTTCTCGGTCGACGGAGATCCAGAACGGGAGAGATGCAAAGCCACTGAACCTAATTATGAGAGAAGAACGAGAAAGTCACTGGAGCTTTCCTCCTCGACGTTTCCAAAATCCCAATCGAGGAATTTCTCCGGAACACGGGTGAGATAGCCAACGATCCGGAATTCAGAGATGCTGTATCGAGCCGTTGCAGGCCTTGATTGAAATCATCGATCTTAATAAGCCAGAATATGGTTTGAAGCCTCGAACTACTCAAGGGGGACCGGGCTGACATTATTGCCAGCCTCATGGCCGGACGATCCTCGGAGTAAACCCAATAAGAACCGAGGTGGAGTTGCAGGCTTCTAATAGTCCGTGCTCACTTGCAGGGTGATGGGATGGGGCTCATTGCGAGCTGGAGCTTGCACCGCACGGGCAGAGACTTTTCCAGAAAGCGACGTATGTATCAGCACTTGAAGGAAATCAATCCCAAGCATGATCAAGGCTCGCACTACGTAGCCCGAGATAGTCTTTTGTATTATCCTGCCAAGCCCTGAGTTCATGAAACCTCGTTTACAGCGAAAACTTTCCTTCATGGCGCAGGCGTTATTCAGATTAAATTGCTCGCCATATGTTGTGGCCTTTCCAATCTGCCCCTGAATCAGCAGGATCTCACCAGCTTCACCACCTGTACCACTGGTGCTAGGGTGCAGCCACAAAAGCCACCCCGGCCTCAATTTGTTCAAATCAATAAGCCCACGTGTGTCGATGGGCCATGAAGAAGCGCTGAATACTTGGTTGGATCGATCACATCCATCACGCGCCGGAGACAATGTGTCATTGTGAGCTGAACAAGTCCAGTCTCTGGGTCGCAACGGCCCCGAAATGTCTCCAGGAACTATGAGACTCTCGGATCGGAAATGAAAATGACACCGGTGCTATTAACTGCTTTAACCCAATTTGAGCAGTCCATTATCGACCGTGCTTGTCGCACGCCGTCGTGCGACTATTGATCCTATGTTTGAGAAAGCGGCCTCCACTGCCACATGGACTCGGTGAGACATCCATTCCGAGCCATCGGAATCCTTTTTCGCCACGTGGGTTGTATGTGGCTGGCCGTCCGTTGAATAGAAGGAAGTGTTGGATTCTGGTGGAACACAGCATCAATTCCACACGCTCGGCTTATTTGGACGATATATGATCAGACAGGTCCATCGGGATTCGGATTGTTCGGCAACGATGGACTCAGCAAAGCCCTAGGGTGCGCTTTCGCAACTCATCCCAGGAGTCGAGTCAGGGGCATTTCGTCTTCCAAGTTTGAGCATGGGAGCCCTGTAGTCAGATCTTGTCGGTGTATGAGAGCTGGGAGTGCTTTGCCAATCAAGCAAGAGTTTGTAGATTTTTGTCCGTGATTGCTTCCAAGTACACCAAGGAGCCTCTAGATGACAGATCTCACAACCAGCCCGTAGAGTTAGCATTGATAGTATATCGTTACCCCTGTAGAATATTTTGACAACTTCTATCCCGGATTCCATGCAGATCACGTCAATTAAGCTATCGCATCCCCAGTATCTGCCATGTGGCCGCTTCCATGCGCGATGGTGGTGTTTTGTCGATCTCCCCTTATCCACACATTCTTTCCGGTAATGATTCTCACGACAGTCCGGCCTTGGGGGTCGATCTGTAACCCCTTCTAATCCTTGCAGGATCCACAGCAGAAGTGCCGTTTTGTCTCACGATATTTTCACATCAGCATGAGGTAAGGTGCCCGTTCGATTTGGAACAAGATGCCTTCTTTCTAAAGTATGGGAAACAAGGCTTTCTCGGATGCTCCATGGGAATATGCGAACGATGACCGAGCGAAAGAGCCGAGCATCAGCTGTCTGTGAAGGGAAGCGTGACTTCCACCTGACAGGATCCCGTGATCTGCGCAGAACAGTCCGATGACCATCCTCATTCCCTGGTTTGACAATTCCTCGGTGAACCACCTAAGCGAAAGGGTGTCGATCCAAATCGTGTTACTCATATTTCATGCAATCAATATCAAGGGAGCGCGACGTCTTGTATTTGTATACTGATGCTACATTGCCCAAATAACAGGCGTTTCTTAGTAGTTGGGCCCAGGGATAAGAAAGCGATTTAATCAACAGAAGGGAATCAGCAAACCTCACACCAGCGCCGTAAGTATAACCGAAAGAATCATCAACGGCTTCAGGAATAGAGCCCCCGTGGATTTCATGGATGCTCTTCATCGTCGTAGCTCGGCATGATCACATCGCCCACCATGACCGTCTTGCGATCAGATTGTGGATGATGCACTTCAGTCTCTTCCGGAGCGAGTGCCGCGTACTTGCCGAAACAAACCTTTCCATTGATATTCCTTGTCTTCGCTAACGTAGAGAATGGCTCGGCGCTCCGCAGACCTGTGAACTGGTCAATGCAAACCATTTGACATCGCTGACAGGCGTCCAAGACATTAATTCGGAGTTGGTCAGGACCGATGCGAACAGATGACCAGTGATCCTCCGCGTAGGGCTGCTCAGTGTCGCCAGGACTGGCCAGTCGTTCAGCTACCACAATATTGCCCCGGAACACGTCTGCGGCGACAGCCTTATGTCCACTGTTCACAGACTTGGTTCCAGCCTTGATCGTCTCATTGAGACGATTGACAGATGAGCGCGAAACAATGAGAAGTGGAGACTCATTCGAGAGTGAGAGCGGGATCTGGCGTGCATCATGCACAGGAGGTGGCAAATCAAGCGGAAAAGCGCCCGGCATGATTAGCTTTCGAAACCTGCTTCTCCAGACTCCAGAGGATCGACGAGGGCGTGCATATCGATGAGTTGTATGGGATGGGAATCTGGCAAGTGTGCAAGGTACACCAAGGAAATCGGAGAAAAAAGCGGAGACAACGGGCGAGGAATACGCGTGGAGTGAGATTCGGTCGCCACAGACCGTAGAAGAGCGCTTGGTGTTGGGGCATGATGATGTTGAGATGAGACTCGTGTCCTCCCAGCTGAGCGATATTTCCAGACTCACTTGCTCCGACATAACCCCACAGGTGATACGCAAGATACTGCGCTCGAGATCAACAGAGGGACGAATAAGAGCCATGCGAGGATAACGCTTCTGGTTCAGGGCCGTGCCTGTACCTTGGTGTATGAGGCACCACTCTCGATCCCAAGCCAAGCCCTCTTGCTTTATCTCCCATCGCTTGCCTTCGGGGATTTTGAAAGCTGCACAACTCTTGATAGGGAAAACTGACAGACTTTCGACGTAGAAATGCCGTTCAACGATATCGCTGTTGTCCATAGGGGACTTGAGAGCCATTATTGGGGGGATTTTCTCCACATAGAACTCCTCTATGAAATTGACAAGAGATTCGACGTCTTTCATATTGGTCATCGCACCGAGACTGACACGAACTACCCCCGTCGGACGCCCGCCGATGATATCATGAGCATCTCCGCACCGAAGACCTGTACTATAGTGTCTTCGTAGATCCAATCCGGTCCACCCCAAGGCGTTTGCTGTACCTCCAGGGTTACACACCGACCCCGTGCGAAGTTGAATATTTTGGACATTGGCGAGTTTTTCAATCTCGGTTTTCGGGACGTATTCTCCTTTGCTGTTTTGCAGATTGAAGGCAATGATGGGTCCCTGCGCGATGGAACTTCCGTAATGCGCACCAGGTTGATACATGTGACAGACATTTGTCTGATTCCAGTGACTCAAGACGGATAATCGATCGTACACTCGTTTCGCTAGACAGGCAGTGTGCCGTGAGACATTTGTCATTGAGCCATATAGTCGTTTGTGAGTGTCCAAAGCAGCATCGAGAGCGATGATATTGTGGAATGGCAGGGTCCCGTCCTCAAGAAGTTCGTGAACGGACGATTCTTTCTTGGCATGCCACTGTGCACCTGCTGCAATGACCATGTCGACAGTGCCTCCCCCAAAATACTTGCGTCTTTCAAAAACACGAGCTGCTTTCTTGCGTACAATCAGTGCACCAAGATCAGGGAACCCGAAGATCTTGTAAAAGCTCAAGGCTGTGAAATCTGGCGACACTGCAGAAATGTCAAGCGAGCCTGTCGACACGAAGGAAGCAGCATCGAGTAGCGTGAATACATTCCCATCCATGGCTTGGGCGGCGGAACGAAGCTCCTTACACCAGCGGAGTGGGAGACGTCGCCCATTCATGTTTGACTGGGCTGGAAATGCGACGAGCTTTGGAGCTTTCGTTGGAAGGTTTGGCAGGTCTTTGATCCAAGTGTCCAAATCTGCATCATCTTGGAAACAGCGATGGCCCATTTCCGCAAGCTCTCGAACGCCCACGAGACTGGTATGCGCATCAGAATGGTAGCCATACCAGAAGCCACGATGGTCAGAGTCTCGCAGACCATCTGCCACTAACTTAATGGCTGCTGTTGCGTTTGCCACAAATACAAGATCAAACTCATCGGGATCTGCGTTGAAGAATTGCAGGACACGAAGACGAATGTCGTCTGTCCTCTGTGTCGAGAGTTGAGATGACAACGACATTGAGTGAGGGTTCCCAAACAAATTAGATGTCAGTTGCCGGGAGAACTCTTCAATTGTGGATTTAGCATAAGGCGTTGTGCCGGCATGATCCAGATACGTGGTATCTGCAAGAAAAACCCGGACGCATTAGTATTTGAAAATATTGATCACGGTCCAAGTTTGACTGTCATACCGTTGAGGAGAGGATATTCTTGTTCGCGGATTATGTCCACATCAGCAGAATATCCCTCGCTGTATCCCGACGGGTACTGGTCTGCGTTTGACGAAGTCATAATTATTCAGGATCTGCGTGGGTGGAATCGACGAGGATGAGCTTTGTCGATGATTCCCGGGGTATATATACATATGCGTCCCCAGCTTCCTGGCTGGGACTGAAGCTGAGTCTCGCGAGGCAGAGGTAGTTGTATAGCCAAGGCTAAGCCAATAGATCATGGATCTGCTCGTCAACCAATCATGGATCATGTGAAAGAGGAGAGCAGGATCCGCATGAAATATTTGAAATCAAGCGATGGAATTTGATGGGATCAAAGGTGGAATCATGTGAGCTCGGTTTGACGAGGCCCAAGTCGATGTTGCATAATGATCAACCCGGGGTAACTATAGGTTGTCGGGGCTCACTTGGATGTCCAGACAGATGAAGGAGTCATGCGCGTACGAAAATACTTCAACCACCGCTCAAATTGCGCATCTATGAGCCAAGAGACAGATGAAGAAGCGTTAAGGCAGATTTAATGAGGAGGCAACTGCTCCCACGTTGTCGATTTTGATAACCATTGTGTTTTGGCGAGGAGACGTCGGGAGCCTCCTCGCTGAAGCGGATGAATTGGTCAGCTCGGCCGCGAGGGCCTACAGTGGCGATACAGGAGACGGCCGCGTCATGTGATGACTGAAGTCGCAAGAACACCACGATGATGCTGAAGCTTCACATTGTCTAAAGTCGGTTGATGCACGATTTGATTGCTCGGACCTCGATCATGTGCATGAGAATTCTTGTCATATGTGATAGAGGCTACATACATCTCCCCCGCTTCAAGGGCTCCGTTTAGTGACGCACAGCTCAGGCGCCAATGATCGCCCCGACTAGCTATAGCATACCAGCAATATACTACTGTTTGCATGAACGGGCGACTTGCGTGATCCAGTGAAAATAGTGAGGATTGCCTACCTTTCCGGCCACGGATTGCCGACTATCGCAAGAGATTCTCTAGTCTACCTGGAAGATCTGTCGATTAGTGCCCAAACAAAACCGAGATATCTAGATTTCGGACGATTGGAGATCCTCTAGGCGGGCCCCAATGCACCTACTGGACCCATTGCCAGCACACTCTCGAGCGCCAGCCCTGTACCCTGACCACTATCGAAACAAGTACATTGTAGTCCCACAATGCATATACGAGAGCCGAGTCAAGGGCGCTAGCGCTATAGTGGCAGTAACCGGCTGGAATGCTTCGCAAGACGCGAGCGTATGTGAAAGAGACTCGTTATGTGAGGTTTTGGAAAATTGCCCATGTGAATCTTCGCGAGTAGACCGTCAATGTGACGTAGCATTTTGTACAAACCGGCAGATTTCCACCATCCAAAGTGAGGCCAGACAGAGCATCCTGGGAGGAGTATCTCGGCTGGGAGAACGTGCGCCTTCTCAGCCGCAGATCTGGCGTGTTGCCACAGCTGAAGCCCAATTCTCATCACGCGAGGCTCCTTGAATACGCCGCAGGCTTGCCCAGATCGATATCGACAAGATCGACATTCACAGCAGAGTGATCCCAGTTGAGGGGGACATGAATATCTCAACATCCTAATCGTATGCAGAGGCAAGATGATCGGAGCCCGGTGCGTTGCAAGGCATGGAACAAATTGAACGGAATGTTCGCGCTATGAAGTATTGTACAAATATTGGTAATAAGTTGAGTGCAAACCTGAGAGAACTCCCGCCTCCGAATCCCTGCAATAGTCCGTACATTTGCTTCCAAGGAGCGATCTCGCGCTTCCTGGTTCTCCCCGCGGAAAGATAAGAAGGAAGATAAGACCTCTAGACTGGAGAAAGCAAGATGAACCGGAAGCAATGTGAAAAATGTGTCGTCGTCATTCCGTTTATCGCTTGGGCCACTGTCGCCAGCCACGACCATGACCTCTCTGTGAGAGCAGATTTTAGAGCAATTCCAAAGGCGTTCATATCAGCAGAAAGACTTACTTGTTTCCACAACCGAATCATCTCCGGCATCTCGATCATCGCCTTGCGGCGATCCTCGAGTTTCGCCTCCATTGTACGCTCCCACTTGTGACCCTTGACCTTTTGTCCAATACCAGTTCCCTTGATCCGCAGACCGCGCTCGGCGAGTTTGGCAGCCTTATATTCGGTGGATTTGGGACCAGGAGGAAGCAGTGGCTCAACGTTATACTTGATCGCCAGCTTGACTAGATCTGCCTGTTGGCGGAGTCCATATCGGGGGCCCATCCACTTCTTGGAGTTGAAAATCTTCCGTGGCAAGAAAGGATTGGGATTTTTCGGGTCATTGAACAATAATGAGCGTGATGGTGAGAAATCTTCAGGATCTGGTCGGTGAGCACCTTTCGCATCACGGTCAGGCGTGTAGGGCGATGGAAGGGCTTGGTCGGCGGAGGTTTCAGCTTCCGGGGGTGTTGGTCGAGGTGCGACAAGAGAGGAGTAGACCTGGGGGGGATAGCGAGCAAAGAAATTACGTAGTCGAGTGGGTAAAGCGCCCACGTTCTGAGCGATAGAGGACATATCGACGAGTTCGACAGTCAATTGCCGGCCTTCGTCGATTATGTTTATTGAAGTTGGACGGGATGTCTGATAAAAGTTGAAGCCGCCGGCGGTGCGGCACTAGCCCCCGGTTGGCAGTCTTTAAGCCTTGCGGCCTGAGGCATTCGAGTATCCCATCACGTCTTTTCCGCCGACTCCAGATTTACTTTCCGGAATCCGCATCCAGTGTCCCTTGAAACTCTCCCCATTGACACCCAATCTCTTTCCTTTTACGCCAATCTCAGGTGCAACTCACACCTATCTACCACTGGAGGCAGCGTGCGCATACCCGAAACTCTCTGCCATCATGGCGGACTACAACTTCGGCGGTTCGGAGGAGGAAAACGCGGAGCTGAGGAAGCTTGAAATTGAGTTGGTACGCGCTGCGAATTCACTTTGGATAGCTCGCTTCATCTTCATAGCTGACATGCGACTCAGTCCAACGATCCGGACAATTTCGAGACCTGGGAGAAGCTGGTGCGCGGCGCCGAGGCACTTGAAGGCGGAATCAATCGCAATTCCAATCCGCAAGCCATCACAACCGTGCGCAACGTGTACGATCGATTCCTAGCCAAGTTCCCTCTTCTGTTTGGCTACTGGAAGAAATATGCCGATCTTGAATTCTCCGTCACCGGCACTGAAGCCGCAGAAATGGTACGTTATGTGAGACGCTTGTTCCTCCATGTATTCTTCGAATCGATTTAACCCGCTACCGCACAGGTCTACGAGAGAGGCATTGCTAGCATCTCACCTTCTGTTGATCTCTGGACCAATTACTGTTCCTTCAAAGCGGAGACATCTCACGATGCCGACATCATCCGAGAGTAAGTACTGAATGCCAGGTTCCCTCCCCTACCATGTAACCGTTACAAACGCAGCCCGGGAAGGCCTGTGTGATGTCGCAATATTGCTGTTTGAGCATGGGAACTTGCTGGTCGCCGCATTTTCATGATGGGTGAGAGATCGTCGCCACCCATTTAGACTTCAGTGGGGTTTACTTCTCACCCAAAGCTCATTCAGGCTGCTTTTTTTTCCACCCGCATGAAGAACTTCCTCTATCTTCCTTACGAAAACTACACGAAACAATCTTTTTCGATGGCACATCCCTTCTCACTTCCTGCGCGGCGCACCCAATCTGTCCACATACTCATTGATCACCAAATCTTTGGAAAGTGACAGCGTGATCACTTGTGTTTGCCCCATCGTTTCCTCCCTTCCCCCCCTCCCCCCCAAAGTCCTTTGGAGACTATTTAGATCATCCTTACTGACTTGTTCTTTTATAGTCTATTTGAGCGAGGCGCTGACAGCGTGGGACTCGATTTCTTGGCCCATCCTTTCTGGGACAAGTACATTGAATTTGAAGAGCGAGTCGAGGCACAGGAAAGAATCTTTGCTATTCTGGGCCGAATTATTCACATTCCGATGCATCAGTATGCACGTTACTTTGAGCGATATCGCCAGCTTGCCCAAACTCGCCCTCTAGCTGAGCTGGCACCGGCAGATACCATGGCTGGATTCCGTGCCGAGATTGAGGCTGTATCTGACCAGGTTGCACCAGGCGCCAAAGCTGAAGCAGAAATCGAGCGCGATCTGCGACTACGCGTTGATACCTATCACCTTGAGGTGTTCTCAAAGACCCAGACCGAAACTACCAAACGCTGGACCTATGAGTCTGAGATCAAGCGGCCATATTTCCATGTTACGGAATTGGACGAGGGTCAGCTTCTGAATTGGCGAAAATATCTTGATTTTGAGGAATCTGAAGGTTCGTACAACCGCATACAGTTCTTGTACGAGCGCTGTCTCGTGACTTGCGCCCATTACGAGGAATTCTGGCTTCGATATGCCCGTTGGATTGGCGCTCAGCCTGGCAAGGAAGAAGAAGTGCGAAACGTATACCAGCGCGCTAGTTGTCTATACGTTCCCATTGCCGCCTCAACGGTTCGTTTGCATTATGCATATTTCGAAGAACTCTCCGGTCGGGTCGACGTTGCCAAAGATATTCACAGCGCCGTTCTCATGAACCTCCCAAGTCACGTTGAAACCATTGTCTCCCTGGCAAATCTATGCCGCCGTCATGGCGGTCTTGATGAGGCTATCAACGTGTACAAGACTCATTTGGACTCACCGCAATGCGAGTTGGCCACAAAAGCGGCTCTTGTTGCTGAGTGGGCCCGTCTGTTGTGGAAGACCAAGGGCGATCCTGATGAAGCTCGCAAGGTCTTCAAACAGAACCAGCAGTCGTACCTCGACAGTCGACCATTCTGGACTAGCTACCTGATGTTCGAGATTGAACAACCCACGAGTGCTGACGTTGAGCCGACCCAGTATGAGCGCATCAAGCAGGTTGTCTCGGATGTCCGCTCCAAGAGCACTCTGTCCCCTGAATTTGTGAAAGAACTCATTCAGATTTACATGGCTTACCTTCTCGAAAGAGGCACAAAAGACACTGCCAAGGAGTACATGGCCCTGGACCGAGAAGTGCATGGCCCCGCGTCTGTTGCCACCTCTCGAACCGATGGCGCACTTGTGACTCCCGTGGTGGTTGCTGCGCCAGTCGCTGTTCCTCCCACAGGTCAAATTGCGGTTCCAGACCAAGCGGCTTGGCAGCAGCAGCAGACTTCTGTGAATGGGGTTTAGCATCCCAGACCACTATTTTTGGCGACATAAGTTGTCTACGGACGCTCCGTTTTCTCTTTTGATTCCCCCTCGCTTCCTCTCTCAGTCCCCCTCCCTTTCAGTTGAAGCCCATCTGCCCCATCTTTCCCACTTGGTTTTATTTTTCTTTCTACCATAGCTGAGTGGTGTTTTTTCGCGACTGGAAAGGATTCCCTCACTTTAATGTAGATTCTTGCATGCGCTGCCCATGGAACGATCGGCAAAGCACCCTGTTCCCTACAGGTTTGTTAGCGACGTCGGTACCTCACAGCAAGTTCAGGCTGTAATCGGCTTGAAGCTGTCTCAATCGTGACACGAGGGCCAAGTACCCGCTTTACAAGCATGGTCTTCACCAGTGATCCGAGAATGAATTAACTGACCAGTCCAGACTCGGTGAACTATAATCGGTCGCTCAATACCGGACATGGCGTGCTTCTGAATTCCATGTTTCTTTCACATTTGCTAGTTAATGGAACAAGTCAAGCGGCTCAGATGCTCGAATAGACAGGTTCTTAAATCCTCGCTTTGAATTTCGCTTGTAGCATCTCTGACTTAAAAAGGTGCTAGCTTCACTATCCCAGTATGATTGTGCATTTCATGAAAAAGCGAATGCGTATTTGGCCCTTTGAGCAACTCTCCTCCATTATGTCCCCAAAGACGTCGCCGGGCTGACTGAACTCCGACTAGGAGAGTCGAGACCTGTGGGTCTGAAGGTCATGTGATAACGCGGCTGGCTTGCCTCGATCGCCGTAGAAATTCGAGATGCAGATGCGCTTGACGGCCGGTCCGCCGCCCGTTCAACAGCACAGACAACCTAAGGTAATTATCCCTGCGCCATGGAAGGAATCGAGATGAACGGTCACTCGGCTCCTCCAGCACCACCTTCAGATGCGTTCGAATGCCCTCCGTCTCCGCCTCCTCCACCTCCTGATGATTCGGGCGCTCCTCCGCCGCCACCGGATACTGCACTCCCACCTCCGCCGCCAGAGGATGCACCACCCGCTCCTCCACCAACAGAGCCTTTGAAAAAGAAAGCAGGATGGGGTTCAAAAAAGCCAGCTGTAGCTCCGCTGAGTGTGGAAGAGCTCATCAAGAAGAAGAAGGATGCCGACGCTGCTGCCGCAAAGGTATGTTTAGTATCACAGATGCGTTGTATCTATAAAGGCTATCACCCTGATAAGTCGCGAAAACTAACATTGTCTTCTTTGTGACAGCCCAAATTCTTGTCCAAAGCAGAACGTGAGAAACTCGCACTAGAAAAAAGAGCCAAGGAAGTGGAAGCTGAACGACAAGCAAAGGCGAAACCCAACGGGGCGTCCCATAACGGTCATCTGCGCGACTCACGGCCAACGAGAAACGGAGAATCAGACTACGATCGCAGAGATATGGGTGGCCGAGTTCCTACAGGGCCACGCGCCATGCGTAACGACATTCCTACGGGTCCAGCTGCGTCGCGCAATGGACCGGGACCTCGAAACAACAGGGACATGGACCCGCCACCTCACCCCAAAAGCGAAGAACGCCAAGGGGGAGAAACGACCGATGACAGAGGAAGATCAGGCCGCGGCGCAGGCTGCGCTACTGAAACAGCGATACATGGGTACAGAACAGGTATCAAACTTTTCTGCCAAGAAGAAGCGCAAGCGCACTACAGACCGCAAGTTCAACTTTGAATGGAACGTCGAGGAGGATACAAGTGGCGACTACAACCCCTTATACCAAAGTAGACATGAGGCAAACTTCTACGGACGCGGGCGACTTGCAGGATTTGGAGAGGACGTTGCGGATAGCATGGCGCGCAAGTATGCGCAGGCTCTTGAGACACAGGACCAAGAGTCGGGAAGCTTGCGTGCCAAGGAGATTTTGGAGATGGAGCGCCGTCGCCGTGAAGAGAGTACGCGCAACCAGCTCGACAAGCACTGGAGCGAAAAACGACTGGACCACATGCGCGAACGTGACTGGCGAATCTTCAAGGAAGATTTCAATATTTCCACAAAGGGTGGCAGTGTTCCAAACCCGATGCGTTCTTGGGAAGAGAGCAATCTTCCGAAACGTTTGCTTGAGCTCATCGATCGGGTGGGCTACAAGGAGCCCACGCCAATTCAGCGCGCCGCAATCCCAATCGCACTTCAGTCCCGAGATCTTATCGGTGTCGCTGTCACGGGTTCCGGTAAAACGGCCTCATTCCTACTCCCATTGCTGGTCTATATCTCTGAACTGCCGCGCTTGGACGAATTCGAATGGCGCAAAAATGACGGGCCCTATGCCATTGTCTTGGCACCAACTCGTGAATTGGCCCAACAGATTGAGATCGAAGCCAAGAAGTTCACACAGCCCCTTGGTTTCAACGTTGTCAGTATTGTTGGTGGTCACTCCATTGAAGAGCAAGCATTCAGTCTCCGCGATGGTGCAGAGATCATTATCGCTACACCCGGTCGTCTCGTAGACTGTATCGAGCGCCGGATGCTTGTACTCAGTCAATGCTGCTACGTGATTATGGATGAAGCCGATCGTATGATTGATCTTGGTTTCGAAGAGCCAGTGAACAAGATCCTCGACGCTCTGCCCGTCACCAACGAAAAGCCCGACACAGAAGAAGCTGAAAACCCCCGTGCCATGCAGCAACATCTGGGTGGAAGAGATCGTTATCGCCAAACAATGATGTACACAGCCACCATGCCTGCTGCCGTGGAGCGCATTGCACGGAAATATCTTCGCCGTCCAGCCATCATCACCATCGGTGGTGTCGGCGAAGCAGTCGATACAGTCGAGCAGCGTGTCGAAATGATCTCCGGCGAAGACAAGCGCAAGAAGCGTCTCGCCGAGATTCTCACCTCAGGCGACTTCCGACCACCGATCATCGTTTTTGTCAACATCAAGCGAAACTGTGACGCGATCGCTCGTGAGATCAAACAAATGGGCTTCTCGTCCGTCACATTGCACGGTTCCAAGACGCAGGATCAGCGTGAAGCTGCACTTGCGTCAGTACGGAGTGGTTCGACGGATGTACTGGTCGCCACCGACCTCGCTGGTAGAGGTATTGATGTTCCGGATGTCTCGCTCGTTATCAACTTCAACATGGCCACCTCCATTGAGAGCTATACGCATCGTATTGGTCGTACTGGTCGTGCCGGTAAGAGTGGTGTTGCCATCACGTTCTTGGGCAGCGAAGACTCCGACGTCATGTACGTTTTTACCCCCTTCCAGTCGTGCATTCTCTTTATTTCGCCCCCCCCCCCCCCCCTTTTTTTGAATTCTCATGCAATAAGCCAGTCATACTGATCTCGTCTCTATAATAGGTACGACCTCAAGCAAATGCTCATCAAATCACCCATCTCGAGAGTACCGGAGGAATTGCGAAAGCACGAGGCCGCCCAGTCAAAACCAACGCGCGGTCAGGGAAAGAAGATCGAGGATAGCTCCGGGTTTGGAGGCAAAGGTGGATGGGCGTAAACATGAACTTAAGAAGCGTCGCATTCCAAATACTATCCACATCAAGGTGGTTTTTCTTCCCTTTTTTCTTTCGAGTAACATCACTCTACATCCAATCTACATGTAATGAACTTTCGAGGGTGTTTTACAATAGAACACCCGTAGTGGTGTAGTCTGGTATCGTCTACTTGTCATAGCCCGATCTTCCTGAAACTACAGATCCAGTCAATTTCACACGACATCTTTTCTCGTTGGACTTTTGTGAGCGTTGATTCCGTCAACATACGATTGTTTGAGCCAGCTATTCGGAAAGAAGCCGTCATACGAGGCTGCATGTTCTGGTCAAGCGAGGTGTGATTCGATCTAAGTCTAATTGAATTACACATTGCCAGGTAGGATCTTGGATCATTTTTAAGCCCGGTGCCCAGGCGTACAAGTCATGAGTAGAGTGTTGTGATATTTCGTTCGTTCCCAGAAGACAAAGGGAAACTTTTCAAAGTTACTCCATCGTATGCTAATCAGTCAGAATTTTGAACCCGAAAGATAACACCAGGTAAGGTCAAATCAGAGCTTGCCCTGAAGATACTGGTTGTTCTTCAACCAGGTCTTGACATCCTCACGGTCACGCTGCAGCCAGTTAACCTTGGCCTGGATGGCATCCAGACTCTGGGAAACGGCACGGTCATAGCCCTAGATGAAAAGTGTTAGGAAATGTTCCAGAGTTTGGCGGCGGCATTTGCAATCAAGTCGGACATACCTTGGTATCCTTGGAGCCGAAGAAGTCTTTGACCTCCTTCAACTGAGCCTCGGTGCTAAAGGAAGACGCGGAAATTTGAACCACAGAGCCAAGCATGCCCAGTGAGGGAGGCAGGCGTTTGTAGATAGCATCCCAGTTCTCCTTGAGCCAGGTCCAGCGGGCTTCAATACCAGTTACATGGCCGCGGAGACCGGCCAAAGGCATGAAAATATCCTGGCTACGGACTTCATCGCCCATAGCCATGGCAAGAGTGCGCTGCACAAGAGCGGGATCCTCAGCCACACCAAGGCAGCGCAGAGCAGTGGTCTTCTCATCGGAGGTGGGGGCTTCACGGAAGCGCTTCAGGATGACATCGTATTCCTTGGCACCGCCGTGCTTGAGGACAATGGAGAACACATTGCCACGAATGTTGGGGTGAATGGCGGAGTGATCCCCAGCGGCGAAGCGGGCGAACATGTCCTGGGCAGCCTTGATCACAACAGGGTCGCCGGCGGAACCGGCACAGCCAAACAGGAGGGCCTTGAGCTGCTGCAGGATGTGGCCATCGTTCTCAGAGAACTCCCAGCCCAGCTCGTGGGTCTTGGCTGACACAAGCTCACGCTGGAACTTCTTCAGAGCATCCTTGGTCTCCTGGTCCTCAAAGATCCAAGAGCTGCGGAGAGCGCCAATGCGGGTCAGCATCTCATTCCAGACAATGAACTCGGTCTCGCTGTCCAAGCCCTTGAGCAGGGACAGCAGACCGGAGGTCTTCTGATAGCCAGAGGAAGCCAGAGCACCAGAGTCCGCAATCAGACCGGCACGGTCCTCGGTGGTCAAAAGTCCCTTCTTCGCAGCCTGTCCAAGCTTGGTGAGACGCTCAGGAGAGTACGAGGTACGGTAAATGCCCGAGTGATCCGCGTTGACCTTGAAAAAGTCCAGATCAGGCACCTTGAACTCCGCTTCCCGCTCAGTCAACATAGTGTTCTCGTCAACGCCATCCTTGGTGCGCAGACCCAGCATGCAAGGGTAAATGGTCTGGTCTTCCTCAGCACGAACATCACCGGTACGCAGGAAGCGGTTCTGCTTCAGGTGGATAGAGGAAGATGACGGGTTTTCCGTCACACTGATGACAGGGAAACCGACATTCTTCGTCCAGATATCCATGACAGACTCGACAGGCTTGCCACTGGCGTCTGCCAGAGCGGACCAAAGGTCACCGGTCTCCGTGTTGCCATAAGCGTGCTTCTTGATGTAAGCGCGGACACCCTGGAGGAAGACATCTTCACCGAGGTACTTTGAAATCATGCGCAACACGGAAGAACCCTTGGAGTATGAGATGGCGTCGAAGATCTGGTTGACCTCGTCCGCACGTTTGACGGGCACCTCGATAGGGTGAGAGGAGCGGAGGGAGTCAAGGGACAGTGCGCTCTGCAGGTTGTCAATGACGTAGGTCTGCCACACCTTCCACTCCGGGTAGAATTCATTGCAAGAATACCACGACATCCAGGTAGCAAAGCCCTCGTTCAACCAGAGACCGTCCCAGAAGTCCATGGTCACCAAGTTACCGAACCATTGGTGAGCCAATTCGTGCTGCACGGTCTCGGCGATTCGCTCCTTGCGTGAGGCACCGCTGGTCTTTTCATCCAGCAGCAGGTCAACGATACGGTAGGTGATCAGACCCCAGTTCTCCATAGCACCGGCGCTGAAGTCGGGCACGGCGACCATGTCCATCTTGGGGAGGGGGAATTCGTTGTCAAACGCCTTCTCGTAGAAAGCCAGGGTTCTAGCGGCAAGCTCGAGGGAGAAACGACCGTGCTCAATATCTTGATCAGGCGTAGCGTACACACGAATGGGAACGCGGAAGTTCTGGGTCTCGACATACTTGAGGCGACCCACGATGAACGCAACCAAGTAGGTGGACATGAGAGGCGAGGTGTTGAACTTGACAGCCTTTTTGGCACCGTTCTGGACTTCGGTCTCAGAAGCGACGTCCATGTTGCTGAGACAGGTCATGTCCTTGTCGGCAATCAAGGTAACTGTAAACTTGGCCTTGAGAGCGGGCTCGTCAAAGCATGGGAACGCACGACGACAATCTGTGGGCTCCATCTGTGTTGACGCAATGTATTCGGTCTTGCCATTCTCCTGGAAGGATGATCGGTAGAAGCCGGCCATGTTATCATTCAGAATACCGGTGAATGTGAGGGTGAGCTTAGCATCGGCGCCGGCTGACAGGGACTCCTTCAGCTGAACCGTTGCGACTTGAGTATCATGGTTGATTACAACGTCGCCCTTGGACTCGATGACAGCTCCCTTATGGTGGACAGAGGCGGTGTGAATCTCGATTTCGTTGGTGTTGAGGGAGATGAAGTCCGTGTCTTCGTTGACCTGGAGGCTGTTGAACGGCTGTCAGCGATCACGCCGGCGGCAAGGATGGCTGGATGCCAGATAACCGGTCATGAGTGAAAGAACACTTACTCAATCGTGACTGTACCGTTGTACTTGAATGTCTTGAAGTCTGGCTCCAGGGTCAAGTCGTAGTGGACTGGCTTGACATTGGTGGGGAGAACCTCACGACCATGAACATTGGTCGAGCCAGAGGGCTCATCACGGCGAGAGCTGCACATTCTTCGATAGGAGCAGTAGCGTTTGGCGGTTTGAGAGAGAGGGGATCGAGGAGAGCGAGACTGGAGGGAACGAGGACGGGAACTTAAGCTGCGAGCTGATGCTGACCGAGGGGCGGAGAGAAAGAGGGGGAGGGGTCTGGCGGATATAAGCGGTGGCTTTGCTTGAAGCAACGCCCGCGTGGAGAAACGACGCATCGGTGGGTTGTTCCAACGGGGATAAGCTTCAGCAGCCTTTCGATTTGGAGAGACCGTGGGGACTAGCGCAGGCAATGAGACGGACGACAACGAAAGACTAATATACACGCAAGGACCAAGCGCCCAATAATATACAGAGATGCCCGATTGAAAGAAAGAACGACTGTAACCAAGACTCCAAACTAGAGAAGACAAGCTTCGAAGGGCTGAACGGCAATCACAAAAACATCGGTTTCCCCGGCAGAACATCGCAGGCGGTCAACGCTCAGGCCACGTCTCATCTTGACCGCCTTTCCCTGGTGTACCCTTCTGCCGCCTTTTTCTTTCCTCCTTTTTTCCCCCCTTCAACTCACGCAAGTATCAAAGCAGCGCATGCCCCGACCAATTCTACGGCAGTCGACTGTGAATGTATTTCTGGAATTTCAATTTCAACTACTCGTCTTGCTAGACCGTGCACCAGTCAGTTTGAGGGGTCTATGACACAGCTCTCGAAGTTGTTTCCCTGGATAGGCTTCCATAGAAGATTGGGACATTCATTGTTGCCGAGAGAGAAGAGTCTCACCAGTTACTCGGTTTTGAGCATCTGAAAGCTCGTCAATCAATACAACTTTCGGCTTTTGAAAGCAGTCAGCTGGTGAATCATCCCAAAGACATTCGTTAGACAAGAAGTAGACAATGGCCAACATTGTGTGTTGCTCGAATGAGTGCGCATCGATTGAGCCAAACCTTGACGCTTTGCTTCAAGTAGGTTGACGGCCTTGGATATTGATTGATCAGTCAATTGGAGAAAGCAAGGATACCCATTGTCCAGTGCCCAATCAGACAGTGTATTATCGAGATCCATCTATATATCTACCTACTCCTAGTCAGGCTATCACCAGAATGAAGCACCATAAGAGAGAGCTACAGAACTGCGGTGCGGCGCTGCGCCATTGTCTCACCACGCTTTCGATCGCCAAAATCGACCCAAAGAGGCTTGAAGGGAGGCACGCTATGAGTTACCTCAAACGGTCATTCCTCCTGCAAAGATTATCCAAAGCTTAGTCGGCTCGAATTCGCTGCTCCACAGGCTGTAATTGGGATGTTTCGCAGATTTGCGGTGATCAACCAATTGCAGTCTCTTACATAACTGACTTTCGAGAAATGTCGAGCTTATCGTCTTTCCTTACACGAGTCAGATAATTACCCCAATCGGGAAATGTTTATCAGATTCCATCCAGATTCGTCAAGACACTCCCGGCTATTCCCGCCTAATTCCGGATGCTCGCTTCCTCGAAAAGACAAGGCTCGATTGAAAAGAGCACATCACAGTCTCACACTCCAAAACCGCTTCTCCGGGACTGTCAGCAACGAGTCACAGAGACACAAATAAGGGTCCTTGGCGCAGCCGAAACGGGAGGAGGCGGCTACGCGAGAATGCACGTGGGGATGTTGATAAGTTTCTGTCGCTTGCTATATCCTGATTCACAGCTCCGACTGTGATGATCGATATAGCCAGGGCTCAAAGGTTCTTGAATGTTTGATACCGATGTCATACCTTATCTATTTACATTGTCCAGTCACTCCATCTCAGATTGTAAATTAGAAGTGATGTACTGTACCTCACTAGTCTAGGACTAGGACGTATCTAGAGCGGATGATCGCGCTCGTCGTCGTCTGCCTGTCTCACACCTTCCGTAGTTGGAATCTTGATGCCTGCCAACTACCTAACGTCCCACCCCATGTGACACTCGGACAGCTGATCCGCCCAAACACAGGAACGGTATACCCTTCTCCAAAACCTACACGTTAGGTATTCAAGGAACGCAGAGCCTCAAAACATCTCAACTAAAGCGAAATGGTCAAAATATCTCTCCTCGTCAAAGACTACGGTACCCACTCTTCACACCAAGATTCAAATACCCCTGTCATTATTTCCTAATGACTCTCTTATCGCTCCTGTTGACCACTCCTTCCAATCAGTCTGAATTACTCAACATGAGTCATGGTAAGCTTACGGGCCCGTAGTCGAGATTTATCCACGCCATCGTGATTCACACTAATACTACCAGTACCTTGAGTACCTACTACCTAGTACCGAGTACCTACAAGGTTTGAAGTCTACTAGTCTAGACTCCAGACTGACATGACACGTGTGCAACTGTGCATAGTGTAAACTGTGGACCGTATCGAAGCCCTCGTCACAAAACGCGGCAGGTATGAGATACAAAGACGCTTTCGGTGTCCTGGTCTAGAGTCTAGAACGCAAGGGGTACCATTCAATCCAGGACGTTTGCGCGGTTTCTTTGTGTCAAGGCCTAATTCTGACGTATCGGGGATATAGCAAGGCGCCCGACGGACGAGATCGAGTTCTAGGTGCTGTTTGGAGGCTGATTTCAGGAGCCCACGGGGCTTACGTACGTGCTGTGCTGTGCTGAACTGAACTGAATAACCTCCAGCGGCGTCCTCATGTTCCGAAGGAACATCTCCTCCAACTACCATAGCCCGGTCAGACTGCCAGACCTTGAAACTATGCCCACGGACAACCTCCCGCGTAAGGCGCACTATGGAGGTGTGGTGTCATAAAACTGAAACAAACTTAGGGAGTTGCTCTCAGGTTGACACCGAGAGAAACGAGTGGATCAATTGAAGGCATCAAAAAGAGTCAATTCATCAATTGAACAGCAAAACAAAGAACTCCGCATCAAACTCTCCATCACTTAGTATGTAAATCCACTCTCATGACCAATGCCCGTAATTGGAAAAAAAAGACTCCCCGTACGCCATGATCAGGACTAGCTGATCATTCTCGAGCGTATCATGTGGCACGATAGCAAGGTTTCATTCTGTGAGACGCAAAATCATCCAATGACGCCGTCCGAATGACTCGAATCAAATCAGGAAAACAAAAGACAATGGCATGAAACTTCCGCAAGAGCAGAGCAGAACGCGGCGAAGAGACACTGAAACGAGACCAGGCATAAAAGACATGAACCATGAGAAGTATAGACAAAAACAGAAAGACGAAGTCAAACTCCTTCCGTATAAGATGGTATGTATGATGAAACACCGAAAATTTGAACATGAATCAAGGGCATACACAAAGTAAAAATAGGCGGCATCTGCCTCGAACGCTGGAAACCCCCCTCCCCCGCGGAGTAAAATAGAAGATGAACAACGACTTTATGGGTCGTAAATGTCAGTAGCTAGGCAAGTCGACACGTTGTCCAGTGGAACCAAGAGTGGAGAAAAAAGAAAAATGGGGAATTGGGAACAACCAGAGCGCGAACTATTTCTGAAACCTAGGAGACAGCAGGCACTGTTGATCGAACTATCGAGGCGGCGTCGCGCCCGTCGCATGCGTCACGGGAACGAGGTTGGACGAGGGTATCCTTCCGCTAGTCATTGTTGGCGTGACGGCCGAGGGTCGTTTGGAGAGTATGGCCAGCTTCTTCCGAAGTGATGCAAGGCGGCCTCGCATGCTCGACACCACTTGGTTCACAAAGTCAGCAATCTTGTCGCCACACCCTTTTGGAAAGGAATTGATAGATAGATTGACTCACGCTTCACCACGACCTGCCGGTCCTCTCCTTCCAGGCCTGGGACTGTCCTCCTATCGGCACTCGGGGACGACTGACTATTGGACTGACCCGTAGAAGAGCGTAGACCGTCCTCTTCCAAGACGGCTTCCAGCATGCGAATAGCGGTGACATAGGCGATTTCGCATCCAGCGAGATCCTCACTTGTCAACTCGCTGATCGCAGCGGTGCGACTCATTTCCAATGCGCGATCATACATGAGCCTCTCTGCGGTGACTCCCTGACTCACCGTCACATCACCGGATCCGCTGGTCGCAATGGTAGAGCCATGGACTTGGTTATCGGGATGGCATGGATGATCTGGTGGCAGACGCTTCTGATTCTCGATCAATTTGAGACGCACAAACTCTGCCTTCTCGAGGACCTCGTTGAATCGACTCCGAACCCACTGTACAACGTTGTTGATTCGAGCACCCGCGACAGCAGTGTTGTCATTGCGATGCGGAGAGTCACTGTAAGCGTCTTCGCGATTCTTCCGTGACCACCAGGCACCGGCGATATCCATGGACCTTGCGAGCAGAGACAGGGCCTTGACATAAAGAACCAGAGCTTCCTCGGACAGTGTCACAAGAGCATCCACGGTCAGTCCGTCATCAGCTAGATCTTGGTGATCCTCACTTTGGCCTGTGGGATCCGTCACGGCCGACGGGGCGAGCGGGATCAATTGCTTGTATTTGACTTCTGCAAATCCGTAGACGACATCACTACGAGTGGCGCATTCTTCGATGGTTTGGACCGTCCGGCAGTCTTCATCAATGGCGGAATTGTTCTTGGCGCCGCCAGCATCTCCCGTGAGCAGGAGGCTGGCTTGCGCCGCAGGATAGGCCGGGAATGGATTGTAAGCAAGAGGGGGAGACCGGCCCCCTTTGGTCAGTCCCAACGGTGGTGAAAATCCCATGCCGAACAAACGGCCACTGGCCATGTTGAGAGCCTTGGAGATGGCAGAGGTGGCGGAAGTCGGGCTCTGTCCGTATCTTCGCTCGTAGGAATGCTGACGCTGGTGAGTCGAGTCGGCTCGCGCTCGGCCAGGTATGATCTGCATTGCTTTGGAAGCAAAATGCGGAGACGTCGATGCCGCCGAAGGCAGTCCCTGGGTCGTTGCACGTCGCGGCATCGGACCACCCGAACCACGAGCGAGTCCGCCCTGAATCCGAGGGCTATGCGCCAATTCATCCGCGAAAGCATTGACTTCAACTGCCCTCTTTTCGACGACCACGTAGTCACGTTCAAATGCCACTTCCTGAGCGGCCTGCTCGTTCTCTTCTATTGTCTTTTCGGCCCGGTCAACTTTGGGTGATCCAGCGTACGTTTTTCGACTCCTTTGTCGTTCGAGTGCACTGACCGGTGTGTCACGACTCAGCAGCTCTTGACGACCAGGTGCGGTGGCATGCGTCACAGGGGAAGGTCGTTGCGGGGGCGTGTTTCCTCGTGCTGATTCCCTTGCGATCGCCGACGACGGGCGATCTGCGCTTCCTACACGCTGCATGGGGGAAGCGCTGGGAGGTGTCTCTGACTTTTGCCGCGGCGGCTTGGGCCATTGGTTTGGGGCTTGTGACTTACGGTCCTCATGGTCTGTGGTATAGGGCGAATCTTTGGGCGAAGGGTGCTCATTTGTTGGGGATCTCATGGGGCGCGCGTCGTGTCGAGCAGGCAACGATCCCCGGGTGACATCTGCAGAGGATCGCCGACGGTCTCGCGGAAGATCATCCGCCACAAGCCCTGGAATTGCATCCGTAATCACCTTGCTCTTGAAGAATTCGGAAAAGTTGAGACGTTCGATTGGGTTTCGCTTCAAAAGACTCCGAATAAGCTTCTTCATGTCGTCCGATGCCGGATTTTCCTCGGGGAAGCGTATTCGGTCCTCGCCTTTCTCAATCTTGCGTAGTAACTCGACATGATTTGTCGCCCGAAATGGCGGTCGTCCGACCACCATTTCGTATAATACTGTCCCAACCGACCAAAGATCTGCCTCAGCGCCGTACTTCTCATATCGTAGGATTTCGGGTGCCATGTACAGAGGTGAGCCACAGAGGGTCTCAGCCAGTGAAGTTGCAGGCAAAGATCGAGCGAAGCCAAAATCGGCGATCTTGAGCATGGGTAGCGTCTCTAGACCCGCCATCGGCTCGTAGGAGTCATCGCTATTCTTGTACGGAACGACCTGGGCCGACCCAGCCCGATAGGAGGTCGGCGCCGGGCACAACAAGAGGTTCTGAGGTTTGATGTCGCGGTGAATGAGATCACGTTCACGCAAAAAGTGAAGTGCACTTGACAATTGTTTCAGGAAATGCCGCACCACCACCTCGTTGAGAGCCCCGCCCGCGGGGTTAGGATATTTGGCGATCATGTCCTTGGTAGATGAATGATCATACAGGGTATCTCGTTTCTTGATGAATGCTGAGAGGTCCCCGAGAGCACAGAATTCCATCACGAGATGGATATGTGATGTGGACTCATGGCAATCGATGAGGGCGACAATGTGCGGATGATGGAGACCCATCAAAATGTCGATTTCCGAGGAAAGGTTGTCCTTCAACTTCTTGTTCAGCTTGGAGAGGTTGACGGATTTGATGGCCACAAAGGTACGGGTTTTCTATCCAAAGAAGATGGAGCGTTCGTCAGTCTCCTGTGCTCACTGCAACAACGCATCTTCCCTCTCTCCTATGATGAGGATGATGATGATTGATTTCCACTCACAGTGTGAACGCCTTGATAGACGGTGGCAAAGCTCCCTTGGCCGATCTTGTTATGCCGAGTATAAGGGCCAATGGCCATTTCTAACCGAGGGGTCTCGCGTGATCGCCGTGGAAGTTGAGCTGCCATGGTTGTTGCCGAGTAGCTTCGCCACTCTGTTCGTGGAAGTGCTCACAGAGAGAGAAGGACCCTGCTAGGCTCGATATCGCAACCCCCCCGTTAACGCTTTACCCACCACAGCTACCGCAGCAAATCTTGAAGTATTATATTCAGCACCAGGACCATGAGGGAGGAGAGCCAGAGAGTGTGTATGTGATTATGATGCTAGGAAAAGCTCGAAACTGTTGAGCCGACGGTTGAGCCGGGATTTCGACTGATGGCGCTGGGGTTGGTGCCTCGAAGCAGTGCTGTGGAACCTGCCTCGTCGCGTGGAACGAGTAGCGCGAGGAGCGATCTTGAGATTCGAAAAGGGAACTATACACTTAAGGAGGGGTTGCCAGTGGGCGAGATGGTCAGAGAGGATTACGAAGCTTTGATCGCACGACCGTCGAGTAAGGTAGATAAGTAGTATGCTAATCCCCAGTGACGTGGAGAGAGCGGTGAGGGGAGGTGATGTATATCGAGATAGGCTTGTGATCGAGGGCCGTGTGGATGGGAGCAAGTAGTTGTATGCACCACCGTGATAAGAGGCCGACAAGGAGAGAGAGGAATCGAAAGGGAAGATGGATGAGGGAGGTGTGGAGAGAGAGATCGGGAGCTCTGGCTGGTGTAGTAGTAATGAAGGAGGGAGATGAGGTGATGCCTGGAAGGTCTGGAAAGGGCGGGACTGCTGGAACCCAAAGGGTCGATCCAAGGGGAGACGAGGTGGTGTTTCTCGACGGTGGATGCAGAACGGGTTCAGGATGGGCGATGATTGGGGGCGTGACCAGATTCCGATGGGCTTGATACGCTTCGCCTGGACCAAGTACTTCCGATAACGACGTCGATAACGAGTGACAGGCGCCGATGATCGACTGCAGGCGGTGAGCGGAGCGGTGGGTCAGCCGTCCCGGTCTTTCGGGCGATCGTAACTTTGGTCCGGTCGCGATAAGATGGGAATTCGATATACCGTCGTCGCCTCCAAGGCAGGTGTCTCTCAAGAACACATAGACGAAAATTTACAAGAACCAGTATGCACTGAGACCGAGATCCAAGATGACCAGAAAGAAGAGAAAGAAAAGGAGCGATCCGCAATTGGGAGGAAGCTAGAAAAAGGGAGGACCGTGGAGCAAAGAGGGCGATGCAGGTGTTCAGGTGCAGAGGCCCAGCTTCAGGCGCGAATTCTTGATTAGATAAGGCGGATCGTGACCTATGGCGGGTCACGAGTCACGTTCCCGGGAGGCGTGAATGATCCCCCATGTGGGACGACTTCTGGTGGTCGTATTGGACCCCAACATGTACTGGGGACAACTGGGCATGCTCACTTCGTAGTACGTACTACGTAGTATGAACTATGTACTATGTACTACGGGGGAAAAGTGGCCCAAAGAAGGGGGGTACCGTGCTCATTGACATCATCTCGAGGACTATCATTCTTATCGCCCGGTTCTGGGAAGACAACCACATGGTAGAATGATGCCATACTATCAAATGGACAGACTAAACGAGTTGTGCATATGGCGTACTCAGCGTAGTAGTAGTAGTAGTAGTAGTAGTAGTAGTAGTAGTAGTAGTAGTAGTAGTAGTAGTAGTAGTAGTAGTAGTAGTAGTAGTAGTAGTAGTAGTAGTAGTAGTAGTAGTCGATGCGACGATCTGCATCCCTAACCAGATCTACAGTAATACCGACACCAAAGACCACAATTGCGATCGCCTCCCCAGACTCCATCGAGAAGTGGACTCTTGCTGGCTCCACCTTTACCATGGCACTACTCACTTTCAGTACTACTAGTTAACTACCGATACTCACAAGAGTCCTTCCAGACTTACTGAGAAGTGACTTGTGAGTAAGGAGTAGGTATTAGGTACTAGGTACTACGACTGACTTTAGTAGTCTACTGACTTTTGAGTAATTGCATTTACCTCTTTCCCCCCCCCACGATCCGAGATCGGCAGAGTACCACTAACCCCTAAACTTCAAAGTGCCGCTGGGCAACGATAGGTAACACTAACCACGGCAAAAGCTTATCATACCACCCGGGGCCGGCAGAAAGCTGGTTTTCCAAGACGGCTCCGCGCGTGAGGTGAGCCTCTTACGCCAACGTCCAGGTCGGGGTGGTCTGGGAATGACTCAGATTGAGATGAGACGACCGATGGATGATGGAGGACCAACGTTTTCGCCATAAAAATCACTTGGAACTTGGTGCGGCGTAATAACATTGTCTTTCCGTCGCTCCAAAAGAGCGACCGCTTAATTTACAGCAACGGCAACCTTCTTCTCAGGGATTCCAGTACTTGTACGGTACCCCTTGGAGGTCGGGAGACTCGGGACAAACATTAGGACTTTTGGTAGAATCTCAATCGGTAGATTCGGGGACTACTGTAGTAGGGCAAAAGTACGAAAGATAGTCCAAGACAAATTGGCAGCCTCCTACCAGTGCAGGATTGTGAGGCAGCGGACCAAAGAGCCGCTGCCACGACCGGAGGAATTGGTCTTCGTACATTAAACCCCCCATCAAGGCTCCCAGGGCAGAAATGCCCATCTGCACGATCAAACGCCCAACCCCCGCACGAGCAACCACAACACCACCGGCACCACGACGTTGTCATTGCATCCGGTCAGGATGGCCTCGGTCGCACTAGTGCCGCTTGCCGCCAGGACGACCTTGCAGACCGTCCAGACCCACCACCACGCAGTAGGGGAATCGGCGATGCCTGCAAGACGATCCCCAGTCCTCACCCAACCACCAATCATCATCCATCCTCGGGCCACAAGCAGTCCGCATATGACAGCTATGGCGAAGGCGACGCTGCCTTCGAGAGACTTGCCTCCGCCCCAGAACCACTTGAGGCGACCGTAGCGACGACCGATGAGCGAGGCAGCAGCATCCCCCATGCCCACGCAGATCACGCCACTCACCATGCTCACATCGCGAGTCGGGACGTCCCAACCTGCCCAGGGGCCATCGCCGAGACGAGGGAGATCAGAAAGAGACAGCCACAGGGGAATGGAGCAGCCGATCAGCAGGAAGATATGTGAGACAATCACTGGACCGCGATGATCCCGCCCATCCACATAAGGAGCCAGAAAGTAAGTCAGTGGACGCGAGATGGGTGGCAGCTGGGATGCTCGGAAGAGGTCGAGCAACAAAAACACGGCCAAGACGAGAGCCAGAGCAAGTGCACAAAAGCTCGGATCGACGAAGATCGTGGGGAGGAACATCAACACCATCATCCCGTGGAACACCTTGCGCCGTGTGTCGACCTCGGCAATGGAACTGAGTTGGAAGACCACCGCCAGTCCGGTCACTAGAACGGCGACACAATACGCGCACATCAACAGACGAGTGTTGGCAGGGCCAAAGTCCGACTGGCGCACATGTTCCAGCCATCCCACCCAGCACGAGGTATCGCGAGCAAGATCATCCGGTCGAGGGGCCAGGGGAATCCAATACTCGAGATTGAGCATCAACACCCAAAAGCGAACCACTGACAAGTTTCCAAAAAGGTATGAAATAGCCCAACCGAAAGGATCCTGGCCATGAAGGGCCTTGTCGGCGATGTATGTCCGAATAGGACCCAGAACCACGGCCAGAGTGATAACGTAGACGTAGAGAGCATAAAGCCATTTGCGAACCTGTGCCTGCGCTGCGGTCATGGACAAGAACGAGGCAAGCCCAGGCCCCATCATCTTCTTGCGGCGACCACTGGGTGTAGTACGCACTCTCTCGTCCAAAACGACGTCCCACAGGGACGAGATAGTATGCCTTCGCTGCCGGTTCTGAAGCTGAGCGTGTTGCTCAAAGGCTTGTTCGGCGGTCAGGTTGTCCACAGCTGACGCAGGGCTTTTAGACGACACCACCGCGCGAGCATCGTGCGTACTTCTCGACTTGCGCGGCCGAGTCATACTGCCGGGGCCGTCGCTATCGGACGTAGGCTCATCAGACATTCCAGTCCGGCTCAACCTCTGGCAGATCTTATGATCCATCAGATTGATGAATTTTCGAGCATTGAACGAACTGCTTGGTGCTCGACGGAACTTCCATGTGGGAATACGCGCCAGAGCCACTTCCCATCGAAGAACGTATCGGCAGGTTGCAAAGAGACACAGTCCACCAAGCCATAGCAAGGCTTTCAAGATCTCCGCATGAGGAGAAGCCGCGAACAAGTACAAATTGATGAGTGCTGTCGCCAAGAGTTGCAGTTCAGCGGGTAATAAGCTGGTGGCCAGCAAAAAGTCTAAAGTGGGTATCAGCGCTTGATGCAAGGGAAAAAGAAGAAACAAGAACTCCGCATTATGCCCGCGGAGAGACAGGGGCGTCGGAGATACCCCGTCAAATGACAAGAATTCAGAAACCACAATCGGCGAAATCGTCACCAACCAATGTGTGACGCTGAAGCCATGCATCCAATTCTGGAGAGGAATGACTGGGGCTGGTAAGGACGAGAGACTCAAAATCAAATTCGGCATGACCAAGTCTTGGGCGTGGCGGGTCAACGAAAGCGAGACAAAAACGGGGATTAATATGGGATACAACAATGGGGCTGGATCGAAGGTCGCGGGTATAGAAAAAAACGTCCGTCGAGGCCATATGCGCCACCTTCGACTTCTAGAGAGCCGCGGCAACAACGGGTAGGTAGTGTACAAGCCGAGAATGGTCAGACCATGGGCCATCATTTCTAGGTAGAGTCAGTATGAAATGAACTGAAGCCAACAAATTCCAGAGTCACATCTCCTACCTTTTCTCCAGGCCCAGGCGACACGGCGCACATCCTCTGGGATCAAGACAACGGCACCGACAGAAAGTAACAATGTAGTCTCTGCCAATCTTCGCATGACTTCAATGCGCCTTCTTCGCCGGTCACGTTTCCGAGTCGCAATGTCATTCTCAAGTTCTTCTGATGAGCTCCGCCGTGACACTCGAAGCGTCTGCCGCACGAACGAGGGCCATGTTGGCAACGCGGACAGCCACGCATCGGCATCGAGGGAGTCGTTTCTACCCGCACGTAGCCCTTTGTGCGATCGCACCGGAGGCGCAGGAAGACCTCTTAATATGCCGGTGCTCTCATCGTCGGCCTCGGTCCCGCTGTCGCTCGGCGTGCGCGATGGCTTGGAGTATGTGGAGAGTGGGTGGAGGCGATCGCTTCGTTCAGAGGGAGTTCGCGTGACTGCCGGTCTGCTGCTGCGGTGATATGGATGTGGAGAGCGGGTGAATTGTCGCAGATCTTCAACGTTAAGGTTCGAGTTGGAAGTAGGCGTGCTACTGCGAGAGGGCGTCTCCTCTTCCTCGTGGCCCCGCGGAGAACTCATGACAACATTCCTAGATTGTCGGGGCGCTCATGCCGAGACTGCAGAAAATACGGACTGCGGAGAGGGTTTGGGAGTATCACGACTAGAATTCACTCCAGCCCAAGGAACAACAAAAGAGACAAGTCGACAGAGCCGTAGAATGAACAATCGCTCATGAATTGGAGATGAAGGTGTTGTTATCCTTCCTGAACACGGAAGGAATCCAGCTTATCACATGTTCGGGGGCCTCAGAGCTCCACATCAGCAAATGACCGCCCGGCCACGAGACCCACGGCGTGCCGAGGAGAGCGAGTGTTATGAACGGAACTGCTACCGGGTGTGCCTCCCTGCGATTTTGCTTGTCGTGATTCGGAAAGCCAACAAGATCCGTCGGTCAGTTTGTGTGTTGAGACAATGCAAGCTTTGAATTCAATGTGGAATTCTATGTAAAATGTTCAATGTACAGGCTTCTTATGTTGTAGTGGAGACGCATTCTTATCGATAGCCCATGTCTCAATGGTACTAATGTGTGTCTAAAAAAGTTCCTCCTGTAGAACCAAACTGGCGACTAGACGTTGTCCCTCTGGCCCCCAAACAGACCGACAAGGAACGATTTGGGAGGGCCACAGGTCGTCTGGCACAGGAAATGTACTATACAGCACAGCCTGAGTAGTGTTAGGACGCCGGCAATAGGACGTCACCAAAGACCGCAGTCTCTCGAAGCAGGACTCATCACCCTTCTCGGAGCCGATGCCTACACAGCGATACCTGTATCTTCGATCTATCGTGCTGGCGACACCATCTTCTGATTCTTGCATCAGCACCTGCCGGCACCGAATACCGAGACCTTGCCACTCGATGTCGCTGCCACGTGGGAGCTCGTGCACTTCCACCGCCAAGAAAGGCGGCACGGTCGTGTCGGAGTCATCTTCCACCACCGAGAAGTCGGGGAGATTGCGCGCAATGACTTCAGGCGTGAGCTCGCCGGCTCTGCCCCCATACTTAATATCCCAAGCATCCAGCTGCGGACCTTCGCCTTCGTTTTCGTCTTCAAGATTCTCATCGGATTTGCTATGCGTGCTCTTCCAAAGTTGCCATGCAATGCGAGCTTGCGCTTCAATATGCTCGCCGCCTGTCATGAAGACAACGGCACCCAGCCACCAATTGACCTGCATAGCCTCACCAATTCTCCAAAGATGTTGAAGGGCTAAAGTTGCTCGCAAAAGGTAACCGTCAACAAGATGTTTGTCTCGGGCGAAAATTTCCATCGAGGCCGGCTCAAGTGGAATCTGGCCCGCAATGAAAACCGTGTTGCCTTCATCGCGGAATGGAATAGATATTGCCTGAGAGTACGGACCAATGTTTGCAGGCGCCCAGTAAGAGCGTGATTGAACGTGGAGACCCTGTCGAAGATGCCGTGGACCTAGGTCCACAACGATGGACACCGATACCTTTGTATCGGCAGGAAGACGGTCACCGCATGCGACCGTCACGCGAGCTGGTGGATTGGGCTTCTTGAAAATGGAGACGTATACTTGATTCATCATAGCAAAGTCGGCCATAGAGTGCAGAAGCACTGTGGCAAAGACGATATCGTCTGTGGACCGAGGGACTGCTATGGAGTCCGGGGGGAACAAAAGTGCTTGTTGGATCTTGGTGACGATACCTTCCATCTGCTCCAGAGCACCCGGACCTGCCTCTGGCGCATTGATGTTGGAGATCGTCCACGTAGAGGAACCGACACGATGGTTCTCATCGCCCAAAGACCAAAGCGACGGAGACAAGACTTGGGAAGGGAACGGTGAGGGTGAACTGTCCACGAAATTCGAAGACATCTCACGCAAGACCGCAGCGAAGGAGATATCTAGCAAAGCCGGCTTTCTGACATCTTCTGGCCGATCTTCCTTGCCATCCTCTGATTTGGAGACACATTTTGCCCTTGTCAATTTCGAATAAGCAACACCACCTTCACCCGTGCCGACATCCCTGCTCTCGACTTCGATCCTCTTCTTCCACAGAAATCCAGGACCATCAATCGCGAGCGTCTCATACTCCCCACCCTCTCCCAGAACCGCGCCCCGAATGTCCTCCGGCGCAGCGAAACGACTCATACTCTTAACGAGACGTCTTCGCACCCCCGAAGCCCCAGACACATTCTCCCACAAGAACCCGTCATCCAGCCCGCCCGAGGCAACTTTGATAATCCGCGCGTCACATCCACAGGCAGCCATGTCCTCCAGCAAGCCCACCTGCGCGACAGCCGCGGGATCCGCGTCCCGCTCAACGGGGGCCGGAAGAGAAGGGTACATCCACAACCAAGCCAGTGGCACAAGACCAAGTCGACCAGCGACATTTTCAATACGCGTGCGCTGATATGTGGACAGGATTGCGCCAGCCGAGACCGCATTGGCTTCCGGATGAGCCTGCATGATCCGGCGGAGCAGCGGGACGAGAGACTCGGTCTCGTCTTCAATCTGATCCGGGACCGAACCGGTGTGTGTTTTGCTTGGTGTGATGGTCTCTGCAGCCTGGTCGGCCGCATCATGTCGGTATACACGGGCAGTGTCGAGGGCGCCGCCCTTGATAGGAGCTCGATATAAAGGGATACCCAGTGCCGTTTCGTAGAGCGGGATGATGCTATGGCCGACGGTCTGATACATGAAACTGTCGATGTCTTCCTCCTCTTCCTCATCCTCGGCCTTGACGGGATCATTGTCATCATTGCCTATCTCATCGGGAGTGGCGTGATCGCCGGGTTCAGCGCAGGTTGGCTTCGATCGTAATGCGGGGTGTAAATTAGCCAAAGCGACTACTTTGTGTCCATTTCGAATGCAATGCAGTATCGAATACAAGGAGTCCTTGCCGCCGGAAATCAAGGCAATCACATTAAGTCCTGGTGTTGGCGGCGCCGTCGCGGCTGAAGATGACATCTTCCTTGGTCTCAAGATTCTTCACAGCCCCTCATCCAAATAGTCACTTGCTTTTTGCCTTATGACTTGGTAGCTGCTTGACGATGCGATAGAAACGTCTCCCTCGCACTGCGTCCAGTCTTGTTTTTCCACTTCCCCGCCAAGTTCTTATCTTATCGGATAAGAAATCAAGTAGAGGCTCAGGCTACCACTTATCGGTGCCGCCCGCGTAGTAGCTCGGTGATTGATGGGAGATTGTCACGACTCACCAGTACACGAGATATGGTTGACAAACGCAAGTCTCTGAGGAGGCGATAGATGATGATTCACTATCGACCTCAGATCATGAACGCTGTACGGAGAGTCATCTGACGACATCGGGAGCGGGGCTAAATGACACGCAAGAGCTCAGCAGGCTCACCGGACACGGATCTCAAAGACTCACCTGAGACCTGCCTAGTCGTCGATCCTCGCCTAGAAACCAAATGCACCGAAGCAATTGAGCATCAAAACGCTTAGCTGTTATCTTTGAAGATGGAGGAATTCATGGGAGTCAAAAATTGATTGGAATTTATTTTGTACACGAATTGTGCCCTGCACAAGACTCAGAAAAGGGCAACAGCAAAGATTGTTAGAGAACAAAAAAGCAGATGGAATCTGCAAAAAAAAAAGGTGGGAAAAATTACATCGAATAGAAATCAAACATGGTATGAAAGAAACAGACAAGAAGGTAAGAAAATGGGGATTGCTCGATGAGTCGAGACGAAAGAAGAAGGAAGAAAACAAAATAATAAACCACACAATGCAGAGGGGATCAGAAGGAGTCGAAAGAGGGCGAGACCTTTTTGTCGCTAGACTCGCAAGCACGTGGTGATGCGAAAGCATCAGCAGTGAGGAATCTGACAAAGGAAATCAAATCCAAAATAAAAGCACAACATGACAAAAGAAATAAACACCTCCCCCACCGCTTGGAACCGCGACGGCTCAATTCCCGTCGCAATGGCTCGGTATTATGTGCTGGTTGCTTGATGTAATGGGCTTGCGTATTTGAAAGCAAGCCTGATCTCAAAAGCCACCGCCATAGATACCAACAGTCAGAAACAAAATGGTCTTTCCCACAGTCGCCCGATGATGCACCCCGTTCCTTGGTGAAAGATGAAATATAGAAATGAGACTCAAATGTCTGTACACCGATGACCTTGTGATGCCGCCACCAGTGTAGAATGCCCGGACGCCAAAACCCAACCAGAGACCGCAACGGCGCCAAAGAGATTCCCTTCAATTGTGAAGGGAAAGGCTTGTGGCCGAAGATATGTGAATATTATATATGCAATAGGAGAGAAAGCTCCTGGAGTCATGGGAATCATCAAAAGCCGCAACGCGACAAGCTCGCAGAGCATGTAGAATGGGGGCATAATGCCCAATTCAGTCACGCTTGCGCTTCTTGAGCGCGCGACGGTCTGTGCCAGACGATTCCTCGAACTCGGTGGGCTGGGCAGCCTCATACATGACTTGACCCAAAGCACCGGCGTCGCGCTGGTCATCAAATGACATCGCAGCCTCGGATGGGTCCAGGACACCCATCACGATGGAGCCGCCGCCATGGGTACGAGCATGCTGTGCGAGGTTGTCGCTGCGAGAAAACTTCTTGCCGCACTCATTGCACTCGAAAGGCTTGTCTTGGGTGTGCAGGGAACGATAATGGCGCTTGAGGTGCTCTTGGCGGCGGAAGCGGCGGGAGCACAAGGTGCAGACGAAGGTCTTGGATGGGTCATCCGTCAACGACTGCTTGCGGCCGCGACGGTTAACGGAGACTGGGGCGGCTTCGGAGTCAGTGCAAGGAGAGCCTACAGATGGGCCACTGCACTCGGAGTGCAGGCGAGCAATGGGCTTGGCAGGCTCGTCTTCCATTTCCACATCGGAGTTCTTGCGAGAACTCTTGCGACTGCCGCGCGTCTTCGGCTTGGCCTCGGGTTGAGCAGTCTCATCAATTTCGTCGATTTGGTGCAAGTGAGACTCGGACCACTCGAACGCGGGAAGACCATTGGGCCCAAAACCGTCGTGGTCGTCGGAGTCCTCCAGGCTGTGCTCACTCAAAAACCCATCATCCTCGATCATGTACTGACCCAGTCGCTGGCGCTTACCACCGAGGTAGGCGGCATTGGTGGCTGGGGGGAACTCCACCAATCGGTTCAGCTCATCATCGGAATCTAAGTCAGAAAAGCTATCAAAGCCGGGCAGAGAACCGAGCGGGTCTTCAGTGGAAGCGGTGAATGATGGAGATGGGTTCTCGTTGACGGGCAAGGTGACGGAGGCACTGCCCAGGACCGCACGGGGAGTCTCTTCGTCGCAGGTCAAAGTTGGGAGAGGGGGCAGATCCTGAGGAGCATGGACGTTCACTGAGGGCTCGACAGTGAGCTGGCGAGGGTCACAGAAGTTGGAGGTGATGGAGCTCACGGAGTCGACGGTCAACGCCTGAGAGTGAGAGAAGAATTCGGAGGGAACAGGAGAAGGAGATGGAGAAAGCGAAGGGCAAGATGTCGCCGACAGCAAATCTGTCTGGCTGGCGACGAGTGATGGGGGATGGATGAACACTAGAGGAGCCGCACGACGTTAGCCTTATCGCTTGATTTACATGCCCAAAAAAAAAGAAAAAAAAAAACCCTGAGGCTCGGGTCTTTGGACCTCCATCTCTCCAAACGCCCCTTGCATGCCAGATTTGTATGTTCTGCATGTGGGTCGTTTGTGTGAGATATGAGGTCTCAATTGCCTCTATGGACTTACCAGGTGTCATGGGCGGGGAATCACAGCGAGACCAATCTGAACTAGCCAGGAGCTCGGTATGCACATCGGTCTCACAACCCTCCTTGACGCCCTCGACCTTGTCGAAGCAGAAGAAGCTCTCATGGACGGGGGTGTTCAAGCTGCCATTGGCAGAGGGGGGACTGCTGACGGAGCTCCCCGAGGTCGAAAGAGGTGGCGTGGAGGGGAAGGTGTACATTTCCCCATTGATGAATCGGGTGTCGATGGGCATCAATGCAGGAGAGCCCTGCTGCACAAAAATGGCCGGCTTGATCTGGGAGGGCTGAGGCGAGGCAATGGGACTCAAGCTCAAGCCCGCAGCACCGCGGAAGGCATTGGTGGTGGCCATCTGATGCATATTCATAACGGGCTGTGTTGAGTAGATTGGCTGGGGCTCCGTGCATTGCTGGCCAGAGTACTGCATCTGTCCAAAGTACGACATGTCCTGAGGTTGACTTCCATAGTGGCCTTGCTGCGATGTGGAATCGGCAAAGTATCCAAAGGTGGATTGATTTTGGACCGGAGTCGAGTTCACTGTGTACGTGCTGTCCATGGTGAAGAATCTGGTACTTGGAATCAGTTTACAAATCTGACTGCGGGAAGGGTTCCCCATTCTCATTCCATATCCTTGACATGGTAGAAGATATCACAGGTTCTTTTTTTTTCCCGTGGACTTACCTGTGTGGTTGTGAGAGAATTGGAAGTCGGGCCGTGGTTTTGATATTCAAGGGGATCTATCTCGCTTTCGGGGTGGAAAGCTAGGCTTGCTCTTGTGATAACGGCTCAAGCTTCGAGGCGACTGACTCGGTTCTGTGCGAACTGAATCCGAGATACCAGAATGGTCAAAGGAGTGTGACAATCGAAACGGCGATTGGATGGGTGGTAGACGATGTTGTCTGTTGCGTTCTTGCAATCCCGCTAGAGAGTGTATGGGGAAAGACAGTTGTGTAAAGGAAGGACAGGTTCCTTAGCAGAAGCTCAAGGAAACCGGATGGAGTGATGGTGATTTGAAGGAGTGAAATATCGCAGAGATGCAGAAAGTCGTCCAAACCTAAAATGGTCAAGAACACAGTCTGCGCTAGTGTGGAAAAAAGCGTCTGAGAGTTTAGGAACCGTGAAGGGTTTAAGAAAAAGAAAATAAAATGATTAAGTGATAAAAAAGAATTTCTGGAGGATAGGAAGAAGAAAAAAGCGAGAGACAGGGCCGATGATAGGCACTTCGGGGAATATGAGAAGAGAAGGAAGAGAACGAGATAGACCAGAAGGGTGACGCTGTGGATAAAAAGAGTGATCTGCTTGTGCTATTTTCTGTACTTGCCAGACTTAACTAGTCATGGAGCGAGTGGGCCAGAAACGGGGTACATTGAGTGGGAGAGGGAAATAAACGGGAGAGCCCAAAAAAAATAAGAATTCATGAATTCAAAAATGAAAGGTTGTAGAAAAGCAAAATGAGAATTAGATTAAAAAGGGAAAAAAAAGCGTTCAAGACAGCTAAGATTTGATCACCAATAATGCTGGACCAGAGAGCGAGGTGGGAAGGATTGTATGACATTCGACAGAATTTCAAAGAATAATCTCCATGATTGCCCAGATTTGGGTGGATGCCCTGTCTGGTGTTGTGTAGATTAATGAAAAACGGGGTTATTTCTTTTTTCTTGCTTTTTCTCTTTTTGGGGGGGGGGGGGGGGGGGGGAGGGAGGCTTGTACACTTTGGGGATAATCTCCATTTATTGGCACCGCTTTTTTTGGATTTTATTTTGGGAATGGCTACCCATCTTTTGAATTTGGGCTAAGCCAGAAGGGGAAAAAGTAAAATAGAATGAATTCGGGAATTTCAGCAGTCTAGCGTGTCTCAGTGTGAGCGATGGAGCACTGGGACTTCCGCGTCCTGTCCTCCGTACGGGGGAATACTGTGAGTGTGTGGGCTCGTGGGCAAGCTGGAAATCTGTGATGCGGTGTACCACCAGACGGCAACTTTTGGTAGTCGTCCTACTGTGCTGGGATTGAGGTCAGTCCAGGACGCGATTGGCAATGGCACTGGTTCCAGAGCACATCACCAGTGATGGAGAGAGTTCTCGTCGAACGAGGGGGATTATATGACGCCATTCACGGCAGAGACGGTGTGATTACAATGGACCGGTGATCTCGTGTATATGCCTCTATGGATTATGGACTATGGAGACTGCGAACTACCGAACGATCGGCTGCACATGTACAAGACTTGAACACACAAGTATTCGTCCCTCGTCGCTACATATGATCCCACTGAACGAAGCCACGAGACACACTGACTTTGAAAAAAAAAATACTGTGACTAAGAGCAGAAATTTACTACGAACACTAGGGCCAAACAAAATCTCAGAGTGCAGTAGAGCATAAACACACACAGAGAGAGAGAGAGAGAGAGAGAGATAGAGAGAGAGAGAGAGAGAGAGAGAAAGCGAGCACAAAGAACCAAGAGAATCTCCAATGGTGTTGAGCGCCAGCAGCGGGGCATGAGAGAGTCAAATGTGGACTCTGTGGAGAGCTACCGACTCATCCAATATGAATGGTCGGCTGGAGGGTTAGTGTCGCGCCAAAAGCACCTCAAGGAGGGACCTTTTGAGCACTTTACGGCCGGACGGCCAGCATGGGTTCGGGCCTATTCCTGAGCGGACCATACTACCAAAAGGATTCTTGGCATGGGATACCCTGGTCCTTTTTCACGGCTCTGATGCTCATACACTGATACAGTAGTGTACTACGGTAGTTTCCAGAGTTCAAACTGACTTTGGTTTCTAGCATATACCAGTTCACGGCCATCAATCCTGATCGAGTATACGAAGACCCTCAAAATAGGCCAGAGAGGGACAACGATGCCAGCACCGGGGGGGGGACACGTATAACTTAGCATCCGTGGAAGCACCACTGCTCCCACGGGACCGGAATATCATAAACAATCACATGAGATGATTGAAGAAGAATAATAATAGCAGCAGCAGCAGCACCGGTGGGAGACAAGCGACGGACACTGACCTCTCTGGTCGCTGGCACCTCTGCTGAATCGGGTTTGGACTCAGATCCACATCGGTCGAGGAGCCCAAAAAGAGAAGTGGAGCAGCACGGTGCGACACTGAAAATGCGGAGAGGCTGTGCCGCAGTGCTTGATGCTGAATGGAAAGCTCGATACCGCGAATAATGCCTGTCGGGGCTCTAGACTTGGGCAAGTCCGCCGCCGTCTGGATCAAAAGACATCACGAGAGGGGGAGAGAGAGGGAGAGAGAGAGAAAGAAAGAGTAGTCGGTCACTATTGACAGCAATTGGTGCAAAGAGTAGAAAGTGGCTTTCGGCCTGTGTCTGAATAGCGTCGGAGAGCAGCCCTATCAGTCTCTCTTATCCCACGGTCTCACTCTTATCTCTTCCACCAGGCCACTCTGATGCTCTGATACTCCTCAACGTGAGGTGGCACACCAGATCATGGAAAGGTCAGCTGGTCCTACGTTGCCGCAGGTCTCAGCTCGACGCCTCATCCAGTCGAGTCGCCATCACGGTCAATTGTTGCCTCTCTCTCTCTCTCTCTTTCTCTAACACCTGTGTGATGTGGTGTCTCTCTCATACCGGGCAGGCAAATCATCATGCAATCCGTGCCATTTTTGTGTTGCGCGTGCGCTGCCTCCCAAGTGGGAACTTCCCACTGGGAAGTGCTTTGGGGAAAAACAGCGTGTGGCCGGATAGAGGATGGCGATTGGAGCCGACCGGTGACAGCGGCAATCATTTGCTCTTATCAGCGCCGGTGCGCACTGTGCCCTGAGGAGCAAATGGCCGTGGATCAAGTGGAGTGTCAGTGGGAAAAGAGAGAAAAAAGTCCAACTCCGACTACAGTCTTACTCTTGCCATTCACTTCTGTAGTGCCAGTGCCAGTGCCAGTGCCGGTGCCGGTGCCGGTGTGGTCCCTAGTCCCTACTCCCAAGACTACTGCGTCCGGGCTCGGTGAAGATCAAACCAGGCATCCACCGTCCGCAAAGACGCCCCACGTCCCGTCTCGTCATTTCCCAGGGCATCGACCGGCCATCATCATATTGGCTCTGGAGCGAGATCGACTACCTATGATCAGAGACGAACGGAGCATGGGTGTAGTGCCACTCTAATGTCTCGAGCAGCATTGGATCCTAGTGCTACTACCTCATTAATTTGTACAGCACTACTACAGACTCGGACAGTGTACAGACTACAGACTACAGAGTAGTGGTACAGACCACAGACGATGGAATGAGAGGCCTCTTCGACGTGAATCGAGCGTTGGAAACTGCACTACGGGACACGTGTGCAGGGACATACTGTATCTGGTCACGTACCAACATCCTCTCCATGACTCAATCATCCACGTCCCATGCGTAATCGTATAGACATGATACTGATACCCTGCGTGCACATCGAAGACTGGACTGGAGCCTGGACTCCGTAGCGGCGTAGACTGACCGACATGACGCCCAGTCTCCGCTATGTCAGCTTGTCCGTTCTCCGAGCATCATCACCACTACACCACATCAGTGTATGACTACATGTAAGCTCGGGAGGAAACCTCTTGATTCAGGACCCAGCGATCGGCAAGCGGAACGCGGTGCTGCGCGTCCTCGGCCTCCACCTGGGCTTTGGCGAACAAAAGCACTCCGCAGTCCGCACCCACACCAGGTGTTTGGCCTTGAATATCGTGTGGAAATGGACTTGACGTGGTTTTGGTCTCCCACGGGCTCTTAGCATTGCTAACGATGACCGAATGATCAATTCGAACGCATCATTCCATGTGTCGTCACATGCCTCCGAGCTTCGATCATGCTGTTTGAGGAAAAAAAAAATGCCGGGCGGTGGCAAAGGATCAGGTTCGAATCAGGTCGCTAAAAGTACTACTAACTTCTAAGTGCTAACTAACCAGTGACCACTCACAACTGTAATCCTACGAACTCCTCCGCGCTGACTGAATCCCACAACGGTCGGACATTAGCCGCAGGACGGGGGGAAAGGAATCACACCGGCAGACTGGCTTCCTTTCCCCGTTTCCAACACCAATGCCGAACGCTCATTCGGGCCTGGCCAAGCCTCGACGCATGAGCCCTGATCGGTTTTACATGATCCGGACCAGAATCTCTGGAAGAGAGAATCTTACCTTGAGGAGGAGGAGAGGGGGGGTTGGAAGGCGAATGAGCAGTCAGACATGACATGGTCGTGGTTCATGTAGACCGAGTCGGATTGATCGCACCACGAGAGACCTAGATGTACTCGACATTCCTTGGGCCATGCGCGTCGATGAACTGTCATTCGTAGATCATCGCAAGTAAAGAATATGTCAAAATCCCAGAAGTGGTCGCTTTGGAAACCTACAGGATTGACCAACGATCAGATCTATGAGTGTCACAACCGATCTTGAATCAGCGAATCTTACTTGCCAATCCTAGTCCATCTCGGGTCTCTAGTAGTACTTCCAGCATTTAATTGCTTTCATTGCTTCGTATTCACTCTTGACATAGATGCACAATGATCCGCAATCCAAGTCCCCTTTACCCAAAATGGTTCGGC